GTGGTGCATTCTGGTGAGAATTTTCTCTAAAGCTTCAAAACTGTCGTGAGGATTTCACCGCATTTTGTTCAAGACTCATGTGCTTCGGTTGAACATCCACGCGGCCTGGACGCGGCTAAATCCTATTGGGTGAAAAAAAGTCATGTGACATACCCTACCACGGTAAAAGTGCTGACTGTATTTCCGTTTCCACGAGTAGATTCTAAACTTTGCATCAGGAGGGAAAAACGAACGTGGCGATCACTGATGCCTCGTCTGTTAGCTTGCGTAAAAGTTGCATACATTTCACACTACTCGCTTTTCGAAAAAAAAATGTGCCATGATTTAAGTGAGTGTGCGCGGAACCTGAGTTCAAATGATACAAATTCGACCAAACTTCCGGTTCATCCACTGGGATTTAAACGAAAATAAAATTAATTTCCTCGAAGTTACAATAAAGACAGCTTTATTGGAGCGTTATTGTACTCTTTTATTAGGTCCTTTTCTTATCCAATCAACAGCTTGTCAAATAATGTCGGTAAAAAATAAAACGATTAAATAGAATTAACAAAGAATTTTAAGTGTTTCACCTGTTGTCAGAAATGTTTTCCGAGATCTGAGAGATATTGCTAATTTGCACTGCGTTCATGTGGCATGGTTTTAATGCAAATAAACATTTGAGCCCCTATTGATTTGAAGAGTTATTGAATGTGTACATTTCAAGGTGCAAATAAATTTTGCAAAGAAGAGGTAAGTTTTCCATCTAATTTATGCAACGAATGAGAAATCAAGATATCATGGCTTTATGTAGGAGCTCGTTACTCCCGCCTTATAGTAACAATGACTAAAACTCTTTTTTTTTTCCTTTCTCAAAAAAATACAGGTAACCAAGATTAGCGGATCTTCTCGAATGAACTTTGCGGTTTTTAAGGAATTTTCCAATGCGGTGTCTATTCAAGGAAGGCATTTACCGTACTCAAAGGCAGAATCTGTTCTCGCATAGTATTTCTTTCATTACTGATGACAACTCTTTCAAGTCACTTGAAAACAGTAAAAAAGAAATCCGTTTGAAGTTTCAAGACCTCCCTTGTTTGCTGAATGACATACGCTATCTGGCTTGAGATATTCATTAAAAGGATAGCCTATAATTTCGTGTTGTACTATAATAATGCTTGTAAATTTGTAGCAATCCTAATTAGCATATATTAATATTTTGCCGGCACTTATCAGAGCGTGGAGAGTTATGGGATCGTGGTTTGTGGGGCAAGGCATTCTACGGTCAGCCTTCGCCGTGTTTAATTGTTCGTTTTCGTTTTCGTATCTTTTGTACCTTAAGTGACTGTGTACAACATGTCATTCATAGGATACCCTAAAACCCCAAGGGTGGCTTCGCTGCCATGGTTGGGGGTACGCGTTCCCCGTTTTTTCCACCTGCTGGTTTTTAGGGGTTTTCGTGTCCGGCTTTGGTGCATTTAATTCACTTCAATCCCAAAAGACCTTTCTAAGCATATCGATTTTGCATCAAATAAGCGGTGGCTTGTCTGGCCAACGTGCCCAGATATCAACTCTTTGTGTGCCAGGTTGATAAGTGGAGGCAAAATTACTAGTTTCCATCACAATCATCAAAGAACGCCGCTAACTTTGCTTCCTCTCGTAGTGTTTTAGTAAGTACACGCTACTTAGCACTTAAACTCCTAAAAGTGACTAACATTTTATTTCTCCTTACTGTATCACCCCTGAATCAACCATGACTGTCACGAGAATATGGGAAATGATAATCAAGTAAAGAAGCCAGAATGTGAAAACAAAAATTCTCCTTGTCAGCACCTCAGGGAATGTATAGAGAACAGTATGGAGAATATGCATACTGATGTCAGGGTTTGAGGGGTTAGTTTGGAGGTTGTTTGGCATTTTATAGCATTTCACTGCAAACATAAGTAGTTAGTGTTGCATCAAAGGCAACTTAGGCTATACTCTGCACACCCCCTTCAGTGAAAATACCCCCAGATCTTGCAGATCTCAGATCCTTGATGAAACTCCATGCATCAAAGAAAAAATTGAGAATTAAGTTTCAGTTTTGTCAACATTTTATTGGTTGTTGTTTTATTTGTTACACCATTTAGACATCAGCAATGGTCACTTCAACCTCAACACCAGGCTCAATACTAATGGATGTCTGAATAATGATGGGTCAAGGGAAAAAAATAAAAATTGAGCAAACTTTTTATTGACAAAAACCTTAAGGTAGTAACAGGAGTTCCATTAATAGCAAGTTACCAGCACTCCATATAGAAGTTCTTACCACTGTCTGTTTGGCTTTCAAGCAGGCTCTCCTGTTTAGTGTTTGCTTTTGCTATAACACTCACAGCAGCAGCTTATGAAAAAAGCTTCATTAAACCCCTGAGCAGTACCATCAGTTAATAGTTCACATGTAACACTCAAGGTGGTTAGTGAAGACAAAGACACACAAACAGATAGCTGTATTTCCAAAATGCATACAACCCAAGGATAAGTAGATATGCCCAAACTAACCACTAGCACCATATGGTTGAACTTCAAATATTTGGACTCAAGGGACTGGGCTTAACAGTCTGGATAATCAAGACTTCAAATAATCAAAAGTATGAACATTGATAATGTAAATAATGGTACCAGAAAAGAAAAGTCCAAATAATCCAAAAATCAGGATAATCCAGTTCCAGATAATCACGGTTTGACTGTGATACATCTGCTGTGGCTGCATTTTATGTATAAACCAGCCCTTACACAGAAAAAAAGATTATCAAAGCCATTTTTTTTAAACTAATAATCCAACAAACAAAACGAAAATTGTATCAACCACATCTTCAAAGATAAAAGTAAAGGATACAATTTGCTTGACAATCTCCGATGGACTGTGAAGATCAATCAGACGCTTATGGATCCTCATTTCGAACCTGTCCCAAGTCTTGGAGCCCTCTCCACAGGGAGTCTTACGTGTGGTAATCTTCAGGTATTTTGTTGGCATTCGGACTGGACCCTTCACTCTGAGCTTCTTGTCCTTAGCTCCACGGATCAGATCAGCACACACTTAGGAATAGAAGAGAAGGTTTAGAATAGAAGCTAACGAGCAAAATAGTGACAACTTGTGTGTGGCTGGTAATAGAAGGTTAACTAGGAGGAGTTAAGATGGATCTCACTGTTTATGTCTAAAATGTTCTCTATACTTTCCCCAAAATTAGCAGATGAGAGGTGTGGTGATGGACAGAACAAGAAATTTTAAAAAGGCTTCTAAAACAAATGATAGTTGGGTACCATGAATAATTTTGTGCGCCCTCCTTTGTTCCATACCAAAAACTGAAAATTTTTGTCATTTATTTTGGCTAAGCAGCATGGCAGTACAAAGTACACTTATATGTGAAAGGCTGCATCAGTTTCAGTTTTGAACATCATTGGATTTTCACCAAAAATTAAGATGCATACTATATACATTTTATAATAAAAAGGGCCACAATTAAAAAACAAAGTAATGACCAGTATTTTGACTCTTAGTAAAATATTCATTAACCCCCTTCCCAGGAGGTTTTCAAAAATGTTAACTAGAATACCAGAAAATACTAAAGCCTCCCCCCCCCTCCCCATATACCACAAGAAAGAGTTAACACTAGCACTGACCCTTTTCCAAACTTTTCACATTTCGGCTGGTGAGAGTGATACGGATCCTGTGGATCTGAGCCTCTTCTTCTGGCACAGCACTTTTTTCCTTATAGTGAGACTAAAAAGCAAAAAAAATATCAAATCTCTAGCTTATCAGATCCAATTTGTGATTTGACATTAGGCCTCATTAACATATCATTGTAAATTAGTTCCTCTAGAGAAAAGCTTGTCAGTACTGATGACATGTTTCTAGGATGACATGTTGAAATAAAAACATGAAATTCCAGGTTGATAATTTCAGAAAGTTTAATGTTAGGGGTTAAACATCAACTATATTATCACTGAATTGGGTGCATTCCAATATTCTGTGATCTTTCTGAGGAAAAAGAAATTGGTTCAAAGAAAATTTAAAGATTGAAAAGTCAAGGGTTGGTGTTAAAATGTTCCACCAGCAAAGGGAAGTTAATTTTGGTTTAAATAATGGAAAATTTCAGCAGAAGATTCAATTTATCAAGACATTTATTTTATGAAACTTTCATGATAATTTCCTCACAGGTTTGAAAAATTATGATTTTGTTAATAGGCTGTCATCTTAATTCAAGCAAACATTCAGAATACATCAACATCAAAAATTACTGGTTTTTTTCAGCTGATATGATTGTGTACATTATATAATTGACAGTTTTAATTAACCCTTTAACTCCCAAGATCTCATTGATAATTCTCCTTACTATCTCCCTTACAGTTCTAGTGATGTTAGTTCAGAGAATTTGGTATTGGATCAGCTAATCCCCAACTGATATTTTTCTTTATTCTCATCACTTGTCTGCTTGATATTGTATTGATATTATAGGGAGAAATTCTGTCATGGTCACTCATGGGAGTTAAAGGGTTAACATTCTCATTTCGTGAGCAGATCTCGTAAGGTGACACTTTAAAACAATGGAATGATTTCCAAACAAGATACACCAAGCTACAAGAGGAACATTGAATGTTTGATGAATTAATGCCGTTTCCATAAGGAAAGGAAGGCTTCAATTCCAAACAATCAGTAGGTTGAACACGAAATTACGTTTAAAGGGAGATAACATCCGGTAAGAACTAAAGCGTTCTCGTCTAAAATGAACGATCTGACGAATTATCAACCATTTATTGTTTTCTTCGGTATAGCTTTAACCTTAACTTCTCTTTATAAAATGCTGGTAACCTACCATGCTTAAAATTGGCCGACTTATTCTTTAATGAACAGCGGTGAGCCAGATCTCTGTAACAAAATGGCGGCGAGAGAGAAAGAAAGGAGACACGTGGTGTTAATATATATCAATGGTCCGCCAGGCATTCTGGGTATTCAACCCAGTACTTCTCAGTTTAATTCACAACTCAAAATGGCGGAAAAGCTTCGGTGGTTGCTACGTTCAACATAACAGTTATGTTACCATATTCATTGCGGTGATTTCGTAGAAGATGACTCGTAGTGTGAAAGATTTGCGAGAACTTATCAACGTCTCCAGATTGTCATATCGTGATGACGATGAGGAAGAGGAACTGTATCATAGTAGTAGTCCAGAATCATTGCAAGATTTTGGTGACATTCCACTTGAAGTCCCGCAGCCTGCTCTACCAAAGAGACGTAATAAGGACTTAGAACCTTTACCTATGAAGGGAAAGCCTGAGAGTCCTCCATTAAGCCCTGGATCTTCAGACAGAGGGTCACCATTACCGCCGATTGGTGCCTCATCAAGTGCTATATCTAGCCCATCTTCTTCTGGTCGGAATTCACCAACAGTTCGCTCCCAAAATGCAAATGACTATGGGGCCCGAAGGAAGGATACTAAACGACAGAAACCTAATTTTGATTCTGTTCTTCTTTACATGGACGCAACTGTCGTCAGTGATTGGCTAACAAGAGCGAATACTTCAATTCAACAACTGACCTCGTGGTTGCATTTTAGTGACAATTTTATTCAATTTGCCCACTTTTGGCTGTCTGAAATGCCAAGATCAAAACAAAGAGAGCTTATAGAAATGGAGTTCACAATTTCAATGGAGGAAATCAAATTTGCTTTTGGAGCTGGCTTGGACGGAGGATCTGTTTCGAGTCAAGATATTGATGCCTTTGCTAGATCTGTGTTTTGGGAATACCCGGAAAAGTTTCATAACTCTGAAACTAAAGATTTCTTCCTCAAAATTTTACTGTGTTTGTGTTCTGGAAAGAAAAACACTTACCGTGCCCTTCTCTCAGATGTTCAGTGTTCAACCTCAAACAAGCAGTATGTGCAACTTATATTAGCAACAAGAGCATTTGCAGTTGTGAATATATGCTCAGGGGTACTGGAATTTTACAAGCAGGCATTCAACAGAAGTAGCTACAAAGACCTTAAAGAAAATTTTCTTGTTAGTAAAACTCTTACTACTATAGCAACTGAATTTGCATTTCAAGCTGTACGGAAAAACCTTCCAGATGTCCTTGATTATTTACTGCAGAATTATGGTTTACAGCATAACACCCTTAAGGACAGCAGTGGTAAAAGCCTTGTTTTTGTATCTGTTCTCAGCAGCAAAGAAAACATCCTGAGTTCTCTATTGAAGGTAGTGAAATGTTAGGTGTATTGCTACTGTTGCTATTGTTGTTGTGGCTAATGTCATTGATCATCAGGCAAGCAAGCTGGAGAGAAGCATGTTAGGGAGCAGATGTGTGTGTTGTTGTAGCCAGCTTTTTTAGATTATTAAGGTTGCAAGAGAGGATGAGTTGTATGGCCAGATCAAATGAGGGCTGTCCATGAGACAATGTTGAAAAAAGTGGAAGGAACATGCATTTTGTCAAAGTGAGGAGGGTTGTTATGGTAGAATTTAAAGGAACTGGGGGGAGGGGAGAGGAGGGGAGGAGAGAAAACCTAGGCCTGATTGGTCATCTTGTCCTGTGGTGTCGAAACTACAAGACTTCACCCTGAACATGAGGACATAGAAGTCAGGCCAGGGATTAAAAATTCACTGGTTTGTCTCTCTAATCTTGAATTACACATCTTACTTTTTATGTTTTGCATTCAAAGCTGAATCCAAGAGTGGATATCAATGAAAAGGCACCTTCTGGGAACACTCCCCTTCATGCAGCAGTGAATACAGGTAATATCACCCTGGTGAAGGTGTTGATTAATGCTGGAGCAGATGTCAATGCTTGGAATCCTGAATGTGAAGGAGCAACACCACTTCATCTTGCGATAATGAGTGGTAAGTGGTGTTAGTAAAGAGTGGTATATCATCAGAAGAATGCAAAAATTAGCCAGTTGCAGAGACTGAGACCTAAATGCTCAAGAAGGCTACTAGTCAGTTCTACTTTGATATGTTTGCATTTTTGTGAGAGGGGAGAGTGAGGCTCAATTACCAGCTGCTGTTCAGGACATGAGCTCCCCTCTCCAAAAAATAAAATCGAAGACCACACCCAAGAAAATGGCAGAAGTTGAGCTGAGGGAGGGGCATGAGTCAGTAACATGTGCTGCAATGCTTGAAATAATTTCTTGGGGGCACCAGTCAAATTGTCTGGTTAAACCTTTTTTCCTATTTTTGCTCAGCCATAACCCATTTTTGGCCTGACAAATATCCTTTACCTCATATCTCTATAAATCCCACCCCCCCCCCCCCATACATGAACTATTGGAAAAAATGTGTGGCCATCGGAAGAGAGGACCAGACAAAACTGATAGTTCACTGGACATTGATTATCTGTTGTGTTGACTCGCCATTATTTCAAGCCCTGTGCTGCAGTGACACTTAAAAAGCAGCACTATAAAAACTATTTACCCCTCCCCCCCTCCCCCCCTCCCCCTCCCTGCCAAAAAAAAGTCATGGCTGTTCTGCAGGCAGTAGAAAGTAAATTTTATTAAAATATTTATTTCCTCTATTTGAGTAAATTGTTCCCTTTTCTCAGGTAATGCTGAAATGGTCTCAGTAATGTTAGAGGCAAAATGTGATCTGGGCGTTAAGATGGGCATCCCTGCCACTGTGACACCCATGAGCTTAGCTGAGGATTTAGGACTTGATGACATTGTTGAGCTCCTATCTAAATTCACAGTGTCCAGATGAGAAGTTCTACCTCAGAATATTAGCTTTCACCGCAAGATGGATTGTTGGGGAACAGCTAAATTTGATTTTTGGGTGTACTGAAGTGTTGCTTTGTAAAGAAGTGAAGGTCTTTGTAAAACTTGCCTCATCTCATGAACACAAAACTACTGCTAGCTATATCACCAATAGGAAATGAGAAACATGTAGGATTCATTCTGGTGTAGAGTATCAAGACAACTGCCAGAAGGCTTTTTCACAGATATGACTTAAAATCACTCACATTTCCCTCCAGAAATTCTGAAAACAATTTTCCAATTATCACTAGGATTCTAAGAAAGTATGTGAAAGTGAACACTGCTGTAATATTCAATGGTTGTCATTCTCATTGGAGACTACATCTCTCATTCTTGTGTGTATTTTTCTCTCTTCCAAGTTTCCAAATTGAGTTTTCTTGAGGAGAGGTTTCAAAGCTATAGTCCCCAGAATTACCATGCACGAAGATTGTATCACACTTCTGTTTCATGTCAATAAAAATGTGACCCTTGAGTTGTGATTGTTTTCAATTTCCTCCTCACTTGTTTCTCCTTCCATTGCTGACTGTCCCGTTTGGGAATCTGCTTCTGTCTCGAGCCTCTTCATCATATCGAGGTTGAAGATGGGGGTGGTTGTCCTGCTTTCATCCTCAGTTTCCGACCCATTTGCTTTTTCTTCTTTAAATTTATTTTCTAATCTGGAACGAAAACCATCTGTTTATTCTTTTTCGTTGTCCAAAAAATTGAACAAGAGATGCATAAAATAATTTTTTCGCCAAGCTGAGGATGTGCTAAGTATATTGGTAAATTAATGAGGCTTTAATCCTTGTGTCGTGAACTTATACGTATACACACCATTTCAGGTACCGTAAAAACTTTTCAGTCTAGAGAAAAACAATTATGTTCACCTCTCGTATTTTTGTTGTTTCGAGGCATAGAAGTATTAACTGTCATTAATATTGTTAGTGTCCTGCGTGAACCCAAGAGATAATAACCTTGTGAACCGTAGCCCCCGAATTTGACATTTAACTCAAGCTTTTGAAGCATCAATTGGTTGCCGTCAAAGCCATCAATCACCCACAGATTGAGTTCAAAGAAAGTATTGATTTTCACTGGAAACAATGAATCGTTCACATTTACACTCTTGTAGTTTTCTTCACTGCGGCTCACGAAATGGCGTACATCGCAGAAAATACGTTACGTGCAGATCAAGGACAGAACTAAGGTGGCGTTTTTGTCGGCTGGGACCTCTTTTTTTTTCCACTTTCGTCGGCATATTTTGTTTTTTCTCGAGTTTCTATTTAAGTGGGAAATATCGTTTGTCAAACCAGGATCCTTAAGTTTCACGCAATAGCGGACCAATCTTAGTCAAAATAACCAAAAAAAAAACTATTCTCACCTTTCAAAAAATTTTACACAGCCCTTGTGCCCATAGATCTGTGCGACTCGTTTCGGTGTGTCTCCAGTGTTGTCCTTTTTTGTTACACTAATCCCATTTTCAGCAAGAGCCTGCAATATTGCCACGCTGCCATGTTCAGCAGCACAGTGAGCTGGCGTCCATCCTCCTGCCATGCGCATCTCACCATCAGCTCCATGTTCCAGGAGCTTCTCGACGCACCCCAAATGACCTTAATGTACATCACAGGAAAAAAACGCGTGAGACGCAGATTCGGAGAAAACGGAACGGTTTCGTTGCAATTTTCCGTTGAGTTAAATAAAGAATGTTTGGCGTCCGGAATAATAGTTTTCATGGTGACTCAATCTAAGGTGTGATGATTATCTGTGCCTCTCATTTGAACCAAAACAACTTATGATCAGCGCGTTACGAAGATTGCGAACAGCAGTGTAAGCTTACGCTAATGTCATAGTGAAAGCCAGCCTGACCGATCAATTAATAGGGATGCCTGAAGACGTTTACAACCCGTCGGAAGTCGTTTGATTTAGTAATGGGTCCCACTGGATTGAACAGTCCCTTGCTAAATTCTTGACCTTGACCCCTCCCTTGCGAACTGCTTAGGTTATCATAATGTTAAAATTATGTTACTAAACGTTGTAGTTGCATGAGTAGGCGGGAGAAGAAATCGCCGTTTTTCGGCAAAGAAGTGAGAAGCCCTAAGATCTTTTTTTGACGATCATAGCTGTCAGATCTGTCTATGCGTTAATACATAAGTGTGTCGTCATAATTTGGAGAGTTCCCGAGTCGAATCTTATGTTTTCAGAATCTCTCGTCAGGCACCGAAAGACACAGCTCACGGGTTGCACATGCTAACGATTCAAACAGTCACGAATATTTTGTCCTTTGATTTTCACCATACCTGCTGCGGCTGCTACGTGAAGGGGCGTCCTTTTGCCCCAGTCCCAGTCCTCCCCGTCCGGATCTGACTCACCACTAAGCAGCAGGTATTCCACGACCTGAGCATCGCCAACAGCGGCGGCCTCGTGTAAATCCGTCATACGTGACGTCACCACAACTTAGGATAAGAAAGATAAAGTTTCAATATTCAAGGCTTCTTTCTAAGGCTTAATACACCTAGGTTTGCGTGCTGTTTGTCCTTCGTTAAGTTCATCATAGCGGTTGGCTTTGGTAGCAATACCAATCGGAAAGTTCACCTTTTCATTACAATCTTCCAGTGTTCTGGTAGTTAGTGCGGTAGGCGTCATAGTAATCAACCAACCCCTACTCAGTCAGTCACTCTCTCAGTCTGACAGTCAGTCAGTCCGACGTTTTTTCCGGATTCGAGAATACTCGATTGAAAAACCTTGTATCCTAAAAATTTTCATCCACGCGCTGTATTCTATGGAAATCCTTCTTCTAAGTACAAGAATAAAGTATACACATTTCTTATAGACCAGGATGGTCAAAATTCTTTACGCATGCGAATCTAACAAAGCAGCTCAAAATTCCCTTTTATCCCGGAAGATATTAGATTAGGTAAAACGTCTCAACTTAAGTTCAAGTACTGATCTTTGGTAATAACTTAGCTTAATTGAAAAGTAATAAGTGCTTTAATACACGAGGTAAGGCATCACTGTTACTTTTAATGCAAAAGTTGCTTTGGTTGAAAAGCCGTGCCCAAGGCATCTTTAAAATCAATCGTAAACAAATTTCGAAACAGAAAATGAAATTCACGCCACAATTTCCTTCTTTTTCCATACTTAAATTTATGCACCTTGCTCTCTTATTTATCGTATTACCTCCATCGAGATATTCGTTTTTGAATGCTGGTTGGAGGTCAGCCTGTTTATTTGTTAACGTGGTGTTGCTTCTGGACACATCGCAATTAATAAAATACGAGTAATGAAACGTTGGTGTATAAATAAAAATAAATTTACTCAAACATGCAAATTTTACGTATTCTATTTCAGTGATATAAATTACAAAAAATCTACCTAGGGTTTGAAAATTTACTCTGGTTCATCTCATTTAGATTAATTTTCGTCGTAAAGCAGTCTTAATGCGATTGATTTTTTTTAATGTTACACACAATCGGCCAATTTCAGGCCTTACCTTACCTCTCGTTATATCTGGAGCTACTGAATATTGTGAAGACTTTCACCTGATCTTCCCACACAACATGATGGCAATTTCATTCTACTTCTTTGATATGAAAGCTATAGGCCAAAGATTATTCTATTCCTCAATTAAATGACTTAAAATTGTGGTGTGAAATTGCCACTGAGCTCTAAGCCAAGGACTCTTGCAGATGGAAGCGCGGCACTTTGTGAGGCATTTTATACATTGGTACTAAAACGACACGGTGCTTTTTTTTTAGTACACAGTAAGCTGTTTTGTTGTGTCAACATTACAGAAATCAACAGTAAGTAGAAGATATTGACATATGAATATCCCAATAGGTTGCCTCGTCAAAATACACCTGCTCAAATTGATTTATGCACATGAATTAAATCAAGCTGAAATCAATTTATGTGCATACATGACGATCACGTCGCGAGGATATGCGGGATAAATTCTGTTCTGCTCCCCTATCGATCATTGGTGGCGTACTAACCCTTTTTTTTTTTTCACTCACGTCGGCTTCTTATCGATCCTTTAGTTTTGTTCATGCTACACATGCAGCTTTTAAAGTTCCTCTTTTTAAAACTTTCTGAACTGTGTTGGACGCAATAACTACATACACCTCGTTAAATCAGTGAATATATCGCAGAAACCTTCACACCCTTGCTTTAAGAATTCACATACTTCGCAATTTTCTTACATTTTCAGTGACTCTGACAAGGAAAATTTGTTTGACAATTAGGAGCTTCTTAAATTGGTTCATATTTTCGTTTTTCTCATCATTTGATTTAAGGGTGAGAAATCTAATACCCGTCACTCTATGCAATTAGAGGCGAATAACACCATACAAAAATGCAATCGGGGAAATTTTCATTAAGAATTTATTTATTCGCAAAAATTTCCCATTACACAAATCAATCTACAAGATAATTCATTAAGATTAAGAGTATAATACATATATGGAGAAGCTAAAGTTGAGAATAAGATTTATGTAACAGTAACAATGACAGATTTAAAAAAGATTTGGACTTAAAAAACACAAGTAAAAGAATGAAAAAAATTGATAAATTCGGTTTGTGTTTTGAAAAACCATAACTTTACTGTTTTTTTGAGAAGAATTCAGTAGGAGAAAGCGGCAGGATATTAATTTAATGTCACATGAGATTAGCAATGAATGAAATTTTTAATCTTTTTTTTCTCTTTTTGCAAAGTTGGGCTTGGGTGGATGTATTAAGAAATTTTTCTGTGCAAAACATGAAAAATGGACTTACACTTCAGTTTATGAAGTAAGTCATACTTACAAACTGAACCTTATTAAAAATTTTCAAAACAAGGTAAAGCAAAAATAAAAATAACTTAAAAATTTAATACTCTACTATTCTCCTCATTTAGTCACATTGTAAATTCTAACAAACAATTGCACGTTGAAGACTTGTACAAGCATGATTTGCTCAGTGACATGACCCCCTCTCCACCCCCTCTCCATCCCCTCTCCTCCCCCCTCTCCACCCCCTCTCCATCCCCTCTCCTCCCCCCCTTAACAGTTTTGAACAAACCTTCATTGACTTTATTTTCAAAGTAACTGTACCCTGAGAAATAACTAAAAAAATTGATCTCAAAATAAATAAAAAAAAAACTATTGTATAGTAGGAATAATCGATGACAATGTCAAATCAGAATCCTAACTTTTTACTTCGTCTAATAGAGAATTTCCTGAAGTGCTTTGTAATGATTACATGACAGCACATATGTAGAGAAGCAGTACTGATAATTTCCTCCCAAGAACAGATCAATGATTGGCTGTTTTTCAGCAAGGCTTGGCCTTAAGTAACAGTCAGTTAGGTCAGTGGAGTACTGAATATCGTGTTGGCCTTTGTCCACGCCTACAAGGAAAAGCAGAGGCAGGAAATAATTTTAATCATTTACACCCTTGCAGCAGTATGTATATTCTCCCTACTCCTCTCTACACATTTTCTAAGGTGCCGAAAAGGAGAATTTGTTCAACAATCAGGAGCTTTTTCTGTTAGTGATCATTTCCTTCATTCTGGTGACCTTAATGTGTGATTCAGGGGTGACACTGAAGGGAGAAATTAGATGCTAATCATTCATGTCAGGCACTCTTAGGGGTGAAAGGGTTAATTTTAGAAAATGGTGTACATGAAAGAGTCAAAGAGTCAGTTTAATTCATTTTATTATTGGCAGCCTTGGCTGCTATGCTGCTTTTTTTTGCAAAAAGTCTTGCATGTAGAAACACTTTATGTTTAGAAAATTCCCACTAAAAGTGTTTTCAGAGCAAGGCAACATAAGGAATCAATGTGACCAAGATCATTAAATCAGAGTCCACAAATGTTAGGGGTGTTTACCCATGGAAAACAGATATTGAACTGCAACAAAATTACCTTCTTCGCTGGATGAGCAGAATAACAACTATTAAAACCACTGTTGATCCACCAACTGGAGCAAAAATTAACAGCCAAGGAAATCCACTCTGGAAGTCGAATATTCATGTTAATGAAGTCTAACAATCATGTTAATCAAGTCTATCCACAGTAAAAACACTCTTCATCCATGCAATACTGAAAAACTAAACTAGATAGAGAAAACCAAACAAACACCCTCTGCAGCAAATCCTTTTGACTGATCCTTTTAAAGCTATCTTTAAAAAGTGTGTACCATCAATTTTTGTGCTTACTGATCAGACCATTTATCCTGATGTGAGCTGGTTCAAACCAAACATGCTGACATAATTAAAGGGAAATTTCATTCCAGAATGGATCATTTCTATCTCTAATACTAAATAGTATACTGTAAATGAAATTATCATTATATGACCCATCCTGCCTTGCACAAGCAATCCCAAAGAAAACCACAGTGAAAGCTGACATGTCTAGGGCCAGACAGGTTGAAGTGACTCAGTGCAGAAAAAGTTGACCAGCACTGCACTCATACTGCTTTGTTGCAAAAACTTAACAGAAAAAAGAAAAGAGAAGAATAACCCACATAGATGGATTGTGAGTCTCTTGTTCTGACTCCCCCAAAAAACAAAGGATAAGTCTTTACTGCAGAACTTCTTTAGGTAGTTGTCCCCCACTTGCCCATCTATCATGGACTATTTAGGTCGAAACAACATTTTCGAAATTTTCAGTGCTTAGTAGTCATACGATAAAATGCTTATTGACTGAGTTTGGTTGGGCTGGACAGGAAAACAGACCTCGCTGTGCAGGGTCAGTACATCATTAAATGATTAATTGTCTGGCCCTCCCACCCAGTCAATAAGTACATATCATGGTGCTAAGCCAGTGGTTTTAATAACTAATTTCAAAAGTGGCTGCCAAAGGTGTAACAAGCTGTGCCCAAAAAGGGGCAGCAAGGCTACACCCAAACACTAGAAGCTGCTGGCTGGCTAAACAGAGGGTGGTCCTCAGTAGACTGCCGGTAACTGGCTTGTACCAAAACCTATATGAGTCTGTTGTAAGATTTCAAATTTCAACCTCAATGTTTAACAACATACCTTAACTAAGCATTTATAACCATGCCAACCTGGTTTACAAAGACATTGTGAGAATCCTAATAAAAAAATAAAGTCATGTTAAGGAAAAATAAGATACAGAATCTACACAGAAGGGAACATGTGACTTAAAGATATCCTTAGCATGTTCAAATTCAAGTTAAAAAATTTTTGGCAATAAGTACCTGGACCATTTGAAGAACAAGCAGAATTCCCAGGGCAGGTCACTGGAAAAGAATGTCATGAACAAAGTCAAAATGAATCAATAGTAAAATATGCTGTTACCTGTCACCATGAGATATAAGCGATCCTTGCAGCTATGAACACTACTGAACTAGTAGTTGAAATGAGAGCTGAAAAAAAATTCAGGCCCATACCAGATTTGAACCAATGACCTCTACCAACTGAGCTAACATGCCAACTGGAAGCTGGTCACAATGTTGGATCCAAATAAACTTTCCAAGTGGTGAACAATGACTGGAAAATTACACAGGCAGTGACTGATAAAATTTGAAACAAGCATCCAACTTAAATGTTCTGAAAATCTTTTGTCAGAGCAAAGGGCCCCCTAACCCTACCCCTGACCTTAACATCCCTCTGGCAAAAGGCTAACACTCAATTCTTCAGCTTTAGAAATTCTTTACATCACGAATTCTGTTGATTAAATCAAATTACCTTGTACTCTTAGTTTCCTGCTATCATGATCTCTAAGAGAAGTTTCTCTTAAAAAGCAAATTCAAAAACAAAGCCTGTTTGCTTTTAAACATAATCTGCTAACCATTTAGGACTTTGCAGGAATTTCTCTGCCCATAGCACTGTCTTACTGAGCCATTGATAATGTGTTGTTTCCAAACACTGTCTCCTCCTGTACAATTACATCTCCTTGGCAAAATCCTAAACATTTGACATTCAATCATTAAAATGAATTCTGGTGAGAAACCCAGATAGGATTAATATTGATATAAATAGCTTGAGGCCCCACATCTTTTACTAACCATTCACTTCCTATATTCTCAATACTGGCCTATGCACAGTTCCTGAGGTACTCACAGGGAGAATTTGTTTAATAATCAAGTCAGAGCTGTTTAAGTGGGTGATCATTTTCTTTATTCTCATGACCCTAATGTTTGACTCAGAGGTGATGCTATAACAAGAAATTTGATACTAGTCACTTAACCCTTTTACTCCCACAAGTGACCAAGACAGAATTTCTCCTTACAATATCAATACAATATCAAGCAGGTAGGTAATGAGAATAGAGAAGAATATCAATTATGGGATTATTGGTTGATCCAATACCAAATTCTCTGAACTAGCATCATAAGAATTGTATGGCAGATAGTAAGGAGAATTACTAATTAGATCTTGGGAGTGAAAAGGTTAAGGATTAGAGGGCTATAAATTCTGTACTTACAGCTTTGTCAAGTTTGCAAAACCCTTAAAATGACCATGAAATGCTGAGCTGTTACATTCAAGAGCAGGATTGTTCTGTAAATATCTGAAAAAGGAGAAAAACAGTCAACTTCATTTCAGATAAAGTGGTGCATGGAAAGAGAGGCCTAAGAGACTTCTGATCAACCACTAGATTCTCCTTCCAAATTGTCTCATATTCCCTTTTGCAAAAGAAAAAGAAGTAAGTGTTGTATCATATATTACTCAAGGCTTTATTTCACACACCCCTTCAGTTTTATGTGCCTCCCTTCTTTGCAGAGAGGATGAGGTAACATTCCTGCCCTAACATAATAATACTGATTGGGAAATAATCAAAAATATATTGGTTAAAGCTGCATCATGGTTAGGAAATCTTACCCAATCTCCAACACTCTCACCATTTACAGTCCTTAACAAATCCATGTTTACTTTTTTGTCTCTAACATGTTTGGTGTCTGTCTACTTTAGAAAACTGTTAACTCTTTGCACCCTAACATGGGTATCAAAATTCTCCATACTATGCTCTATTCATTTCCTATGTAGCTGGCATGGAGAATTAGTTCGATTATCAAGAGCATCTCATGTTGACTGTCCTTTCCTGTATTCTCATGACCTTAATGTTTGATTCAGCAGTGATACTGAAAGGAGAATTTATAAGCCAATCACTCTTAGAGGTCAAAGGGTTCATTCTGATTCACAACAATTTTTAACAAACCAAAGAACAACTAAAAATAATAGTTGTGATTCAGCTCTTTGAAAATGTCTTTTTCTCTACTTGAAAGAAAAGTTTAGAAACTCTTTACAGTGGCCAATTTACCAACTCAGTTGATAAAACCATATCATCTTGTTACACTCATCCACTGACCTAGCAACAAAGTTTCTTAAGAAACCTGCCTCCTTTATGAAAGAAAAGAGATTGAAAATTATGCTGTACTATGTAAAGTATACAGATGTACAGTATTGTTCTAATAAGAGCATTTTTACTTTCTGATTGGAAGAGGTAATAGTTTAAATTAAGTACATAAAGAACTTTCTGTACTTACAACCAATTTAATGACATATTCACTGATTGTAAACTTGGTAGAGTTTTCAAAGAGCAGTTAGTGAGATCAAGCCTGAAAACAAGAGATAACATGTTTCTGTTAGATATATTTAAAATGGATCTCTAGGAGAGCGTAGGATTGGGTTCGTGGTGTTGCACTATCATTTTGAATTTCCACCTAATTTTAGACCAACACTCTTCAAAACTTTTCAGTTTTAAGTGACTGACTTTTGTTCTCTGATCTATTTTTACAGTTTCTGGAATCGGATTGAATCAGATTGAGCATGAGTTACCCATCAAGGCAAATGTGTAAGAGTAGTAATTTTATTGTTTATGGAATAAAGAAGATTACAATCCATGATTTTTCAGCCAATTTTCTAGTTAGTGATGCCTAATGTATGCCCCTATCCTTAAACTGACAGGGTAATCAGAAGTGTAGCTCTTAAATCTACTGGAGTCCACAATAAAAACTTACCTTGTCTTTCTATAAATTATAATTTTGAGAGCCAGATTTTCCTCCATCCGAAAAAAATTGTATCTTAGCAAAATTTACTACGAGACAGGAGAGAGTCTTAAGAAGTCACACCAACTTTACTCGATCAAGGCATCTCTGAATTGACTAATTTGGACAGACGTACTTTTTCAATAGTTAGATTGTTAAGGCACTTTTCTACGCAGGACTTCCTGGGCTGTTTTGAATACAGGGTTTAATTTAGGAAAAGTTAATTCTAAGTTTACAAAGTAATCCATCTACTGAATCATCTATTGAATGATATCGAAGCCGGTACACTGCAAAAATTGCAAAGCTCGATGTACAAAACTGATAGAGATGTTCAAAACGTAAGAATAAATAAAGAGTATAATACAAAAGAACTTACCCAATGATTCCTGTTCCATTACTCACACAACATCGCCATATGGTTGTTTCATTTACCTTACAGGATGCTGTGACATTGTGGCCTCCATCGAAGCAAGACCTCAACTTACAAATCTCAAATTTTTTTGAATCGTGTGACCATTGCCCTTGAAAACTACCGAAGCTCGTATTTATAATAAATAAAAAATAGAAAAGTAAACAGCCTGAGAAAAATCGGCGAAGATTTAGAGACATAATTAAAATATTAAAACCTATAGAGGGAAACAGAACCGTCTCGTGTTTTGAGAATCCTCTGAAAATCATGTGATCTGCTACCATGGGGTCACCCGCTGACTAATCAAGCCAGTATCTAGGATACACAATACACCAGATACCTCAAGCGGTAAAAACATGGCGGCTGCACTGTCATGAAAATATAAATTGAATCAGACCTTTACTGGGAGACCTTAGAAATATAAACTGTAAAAATGCAGCTACGTTATATGAAGACTCTTCTGAACCCGCAGGTAAAGAAGCTTCCTTTTCTAATTTTGTTTTAGAATGACAATTATTATTATAGAGCTTTCATGTTACCATATGCATCGTGAACGAGAAGTTGTCAAGTTGCAGCTCCGATTTTGATCTTTTGTCGCCAGTAGACAGTTATGATGCATGTAATAAACTCACAGGAAATAATCTTTTTAGATTTCAATGACTTTTTTGCGTTTCGCGATGTTTTTTTTTAAAAAATTATTATGTAAACAAGGTTAATTCTTTTTATTGAACCCAAATTAAGCTTAGCACGTACTCATACCTTAGTTGTTTAGTTCCTCAGAAAATGTTTTGGTGAAAAGTTTGACACCGTCACACAAAAGTTGTTAGATCTTTTTTAGTTACCGACAATGACAACTTCGGGGAGGTTCTTTTAGCTAGAATTTGAGGCCCAAGTGCTTCACCCTTGAGCTATAAATGTGAGTGGGAAAACAAGGTTCGGTCACTTACAGTACAGACTAAGAAAACAATTTTTTAAAAGATATTTTAATTGTTTAGTAAGATATTTCAATTCAAGCAAACTTTTGAATTTAGGGGGCTGTACAATAAAATATGGCCTGCTAAACTGACCAATCATATTGCATGTTGATCTACTAACTGAGAGATATGATACAATAACTTATATTAGGATTTTGATCGTTGTTATATTAATTACAATAAGAATGACTCTGTCAGTAACTTTATTTTTTAACTTAAAGGATGGAGCCTGTAAGGTTACAGCTTTGGCATGGTCACCAAACAACACCAAAATGGCCGTAGTCACCATGGACAGAGTGGTTATACTTTATGATGAGCTAGGAGAGAGAAGAGATAAGTTTTCAACAAAACCAGCAAATTCTCAGGTATTTCACAGTAGTTTAATCATTTAACCCCTAAGAGTGACTAGCATCTAAATTCTCTCCTTACTATATCACCCTTGAATTGCACATTAAAGTCACATAAAGCAAATGATCAGCAACTGAAGAAGCTCTTGATTGTGACAAAAAGTCTCAATTTCAACACCTTAGGAAACGTATAGAGAACAGTATAGAGAATATACATGCTGATGTTAGGGTGTAAAGGGTTAACCCTGATATTATGAAAAATTTTGTTGTTATTTTCAATGGTGAGTAGACTTGAAATGAAGTATTACTGTTTGTCTTGAAATGTAGTCACTTCTAATGTGGATATCACCATTGATCAATTTGGCATCACATAATAGATTATTATTAATAAGTTATTTTGCCTTCCCTCTCAGGCAGGAAAGAAGAGCTACATTGTAAAAGGACTTGCCTTCTCTCCAGACTCTACAAAGATTGCTGTGGGCCAAACTGACAACATTATCTATGTGTACAAAATTGGAGAAGAATGGTATGGACTAACAAATACTCAGACATACTGCCATATTCAAGTCCTAATTACAAATGAGATCTACATTAATGAAATAAGGTCTTATAAACCTCATGTAATAAGGACAATAAGTAAAGATGACATGTAAAAAGCAATAGTGCATCAAAGAACTTTTGATTTTTATATTGATTCTTTTCTCTGACATTTTTAGGGGTGAAAAAAAAGTTATCTGTAACAAGTTTGTTCAACAGGTTTGTTGATATTTCATTTTCAGTTTTGTACCTTAAAGAAACTTGCATGGGTATTTTGTTTCAGTGAAAATGGTGACTCTGTGTGATGTGATATTTTTTTAGACCAGGTGCTGCCAATTTTCTGTGGGCTTTATAGAGACATGGGTGGTGGGGAGGGGGGGGGGGTGTACATTGGCTGAGGTCCAGGTTCCATTGGGCTGGAAACTTAACTCTCACCTAGTGCCCCTCTCCACTCAAGGTTATAATTGGGTTCCAGTGAACTGTCAGGAAACCTGATAAAATGCTGCAGGGTGGAGAGGGAGGAATGGGGAAGGCAACCTACCGTAAACTAACATCTTATCCAAGGAGTGTAACTTACTGAGGACAAGCATCCTACTGGGAGGTAATCACCTGCTGTGGAGTAGTATCCCATCTGGGGAGGGAGGAAGGAGGCAATGTTACCAGTCCTCTCATGCTAGAGAGAGTTGGATATTAAGCTTTGTCAAAGTGAGCCTCCAATCAAGCAACCTGACTTTATTTTTTTTTCTTGGTAGAGTCCTGTTACCTGTTTGATATGGCCACCTGAGCAACAGAACATTGTCTTCGGCTTAGCAGATGGAAAGGTAAGTTGATAAGTGTTAATAAACAAGATAAATTGGTAGACACTTATTAAGCTACTTGTTTAATAATTATAGTATCTGCATTGTAATGTTTGGTATGTAACTATGCATTGACAAACTTGAGCTTGCCCAAATAACAAGAAAATAATGTTTGTATTTGTCATTAACATGTAATGATTCCGTCAAAAAATGGTACACAATGTTTTCCTTCTTAAACTTCACAGGTCCGTATTGCTAACCTCAAAACAAACAAATCAACCACACTCTATGGAACTGACAATTATGTTGTGTCTCTGACTGCAAAGTAAGTTTCGTGATCTTAGTGTATGTACTAACTTAAAGTAAAAAACGTTAATGATTATATATTAGGGAAATAGTTTTAAAAAAAAATAGTGTATCCTATGTTTAGAGAGAGATGATTATTTTAGGCAAATAAGGAAGAAGAATTGGTGAGTGTAACCTGAGATTTACTCTTCAGAATGATGAGTGATATAGAAGTTAATTTTCCAGCACTGTTAGTAGTTTACTACAGCATCTGTTTTTATTATTTTTATTATTTTACCTTACAGTGTCTCAGGAAAAGGAATTCTCTCTGGTCACATGGATGGTGCTATTGTAAGGTACTTTTTTGATGACGAAGGAACAGGCTTATCACAGGTGAGTTCTGTAGAGTGTGGTCATTGTCTCAGATACTTTGTAATGAGTGGTATTTTTAAGTCAAATATCTGTAATCTTTTACTGGCTATCCCTACCATAAGGTTTTGAGAAACCTAGAACTGGCTGTTCAATTGAATTTTTCTTCAGCTTTTGTTTCACAAAACTACTTTCTACACCATCTTTAACTTTGCCAAATGTTTAATCTAAACATTAATTTTTAGTAAACAGTGTCAATGAAAGAAGCATTGATTTTTTCAAACAACCCACTTGCCAAAGCTGAATTTTTTCAGGCTTCTTTCTGCAATTGCTACCAACCAATGATCTCAGCTAAATATTTTTTATGCAGAAATATTCAGATCCATTGATTGTCTATTAGAGAACTGTGTAAGATAGAAGTCAATTAAGCAATCAGCCCTGTTTCCTTCATTCACCCCGCTTGATTTTTGTAGGGTCAGTTGTGTAAGCATTCTTGTTCCCCATATGCCCTGTGTTGGGGCTCATCAATTGTTGCTGCTGGTTGTGACAAAAGAATCGTAGCATATGGAAAAGAAGGTAATAAGTTTGAGTAGAATTGAACTATATATGTGATCCATAGCAAGGAATTTTTCTCTTACATTTTTTTACAAGTTTTCCTTGATGACCCCTTTTTTCATGAAAGCTTTACTGTAATTGTTGTTTAAAAAGAAACATATAATTGTTTCTCACAAAATTATCCATTCTCTATCTACTCTTAGGAAGGGTTCTTCAAAACTTTGATTACACCAGAGATGATGATGAAAAAGAGTTTACTGTAGCAATCTGCAGCCCTAGTGGACAGTCAGTAGTGGTTGGAAGCTATGACAGGTAATTCTTCCAGAGAGCGAGAGATGTAGTGACTTAATAATAATTTCACTGGACTCCGGGGCTGGGTTGTTCAAAGCTGGGTTAAGGTAACCCTCAGTTAGTGTGAAATCTGGTATCAGATCTGAAAGTTTTTAAAAGAAAATTCAGTACAACTCCCTTGATCTATGGTTTTGATGATTGGATCTACTAAAAAGAGTAGAAAAAATTATCCCAAAACAGCTTTTGATTAAAGGAATAAAAAAGACCTTCATTAAAATTTAACCTTGATTTAGTGCTTATTGGCCTTTGAAAAACTGAGCCCTGGACCTGGGTGGGGTCATTGTGTTGTGTTCTTAAGCAAAATGGTTTACTCTCACAGGTGTGTAAATGGGCACTGTCCCTCTCCACCTAGGAGTGTAAATGGGTGCTGTCCCTCTCCACCCAGGAATGTAAATGGGTACTGTCCCTCTCCACCCAGGAGTGTAAATGGGTACTGTCCCTCTCCACCCAGGGGTATAAATGGGTACTGTCCCTCTCCACTCAGGAGTGTAAATGGGTACTGTCTCTCTCCACTCAGGGGTGTAAATAGGTACTGTCCCTCTCCACCCAGGAGTGTAAATGGGTATAGGCCAAGTGTCAGGGAGGTCTGATGAAATGCAGCTGAAACACTAACCACTCAGCTACTTCATCTTTTATCAATGCTGTTTTGGGAGAAAAAAGGGGAACAATTCATCAGTTGTATTATTGTTTTCTCAAGGCTGAGAGTGTTTAACTGGAGTCCAAGGAAAGGTTCATGGGATGAATCAAAGCCTAAGGACATTCCTTATCTCTACACAATCACTTCAATGGCTTGGAAAAGGGATGGATCAAGACTTGTGGCTGTAAGTGGTTTGCTCTTAACCCTTTAACTCCCAGATCAAATTTGTAATTCTCCTAACTGTCAACCACACAATTCTTCTAATGTTAGTTCTGAGAATTTAATTTTGGATCAACTAATTGTCCCCAAATTGATATTTTTCTTGATTCTCGTCACTCATCTGGCTGATTTTGTATTGATATTGCCAGGAGAAATTATGTCTTGGTCACTCTTAGGAGTTAAAGGGTTAAGCATGATTTCCTTAGTTGTCCCAAGACCAGTCTTAATTGCTCTGATATTGGTTCAATTTCATGGTATCTCTATTTAGTGCACTCTTAAACCTGTATTTGGCAACTGCCAGAATACTAAGTTTTCTTCAATTATAGGAGAAATTATTGTAATGTGTGAATGAAAAAGCTCCAAGCCATGAGCATGCTGTCAATTTGATTTACACATGTATGCGCATTGCTAGGAGGGTACAACCAGCAGATATTTCTGAAGGATCTCTGAATTTCCAAGTTCCCAGAAACAATAATATAGACAGTCTTTGTGCTCAATATAATAAAAGCTGTCAAGTATATTGCTGTATTTAACATTCAAAGTATTATGTTTTATAACATTTTTTGTTTATAGGGTACTTTGTGTGGAGGTGTTGAACTCTTTGACTGTTGCTTGAGAAGATCAGTTTACAAGAACAAGTTTGAGATGACCTATGTTGGTCTCAGTCAGGTAATTATTTGAGTATATTTTCTTTGCAATTCTTTTTTTGAGCTCACTCAAATATATCTTCATTTATGTTTGTAGTCTGCAACTGGAGAGGAATGGTCACAATATGTCCTCTCCTTGAGGTCTTTCTTTTCTGCCTTTGGATTGAGCATGTCAGATTTTGTTGATATGCTGAACAGTCACAAAACATCATGAAAAGAGGGAATCTCGTTTAGTTTGTCATTTGATTGACAGGCAAACACTTATATCATTACTCTCATTATTCTGCACACAGTTGGTACTATTGTATACGAGTGAAGTTCATGTCTGAGTTGTTCTCTTTACTGCAGGTCATTGTGAAGAATTTGTCATCAGGAACTCGAGTTGTCCTTAAGTCCCACTACGGATATGAGGTACTGCACCTGTTGATCAGATAGTAACACTACACACTATTGCAAAAAAAAAATTATCAACAGTCAGCGGTGTATGAATAAATAGGTATTACCAGTTTTTCATGGTAAAGGGAGGTTTAGATAGAAGAGGAATATGTTATGCTATAAGGAAACAAGTTGCAACATTGGGAGCAAACTGATTAAGGTCGGGGGCATACTTGTATTTCTTCAGGGGGTGAACCCACAAAGGTGGTGGGGGAAGAACTTGCACTGGGGAAAAACCTCCATGAACAAACACAATGTTGCCTGTCCAGATTTCCCCCCTTCAGTCCAATCTCCCCATAACCAAAACTGATGATTTTGATAAGGGTTGTCAAACTCTAGGCCTAATTTCACCTGTCTTAAGAGCTTGATCCTCTTCCTCCCTGAGATATCTCTAACTTTGGTGATACCAAACTGACGAGTGAGTTGACTTCATTTGTAGATTGATAAAGTGAGCATCATGGGCAAGGACAGATACCTTGTGGCTTACACCACAGACACTCTTCTTGTTGGGGACCTTCAAAACAACAAGCTAAGTGAGGTGTGTGTTAACATTATTTTATTCAGCTCTATTCTTTGATCCATCTTTTCTAATGCCAAGCTTAAAACAAACAAGTTTCTTCGGTCTCAAATCTCAGTGTGATTCAGGAGACAGTTGTTAAAGTATTTACCCCTAGCAGTGATAAGCATTCATTTTTTTTCTTACAATATCAACCCTGGAATACAGGACATTTCGCACAAAAGACTTTTCACACAAGTCTTTTAGCACAAGTTTTGGACCGTTCACACAATTCTTAGTGGTCATTTCGCACAATAATTATAACTGAGAAACATCGATATAAAAGGTATACTAATTGATACTGATAAGACATTTCACCTTCACATGTCACTTTCAATAAGATCCAATGGCAAGAATGTAGACATTTATTTACGTAATAACTTCAACTATAATTATAACTATAAAGGAAATGATTGGAAACTCAAGAAGCTCTTGATTATTAGACAAATTCTCCTCGCAAAAACCATAGGAAATGTATAGAGAACAGTACGGAGAATATGCATACTGATGTTAGGGTGTAAGGGGTTAAAAAAGAAGGGTTATCACTAATCCAGGATTGCAATTTCAACTTGGCCTGTTTTGCCAGTATAAGAGTGTACATTAGGGCTAATTTTATTGAGTTTTCTATTTCACTGTTATGGAAAACTAAAGGAAGGCAACAACATGTAGCTGTAAGTGTCTGCAAACCTGCCAAAAATTTATGCAAAGCCTACAGTAGCATTTTGAACAAACTGGCCTTGCAACGTATTTGAATTATTTTTCTTTGTATCCTGTTCTTATTTTTTAGGTCCCTTGGCAAGGAACAGGTGGAAATGAAAAGTTCTTCTTTGAAAATGAAAATGTATGTATGATAATGAAACAGAACTCAAGACTCATTGTCACCATGAGTGGCAAATGTCCTGGTTCATAAAAGTTTATCCCTGTCAACATAATACAGAATTAAAATTGTATTGGGTATATCTGGTTTTTACCAAAGATGGAGGAAAATTTGGCATGATAATTAGAAGGCCAGATTGATGTAGTGTAGACAAAAGACATTCAAAAGAAATTAATCAGAATAAATATCAAATGGTATTGTTACTTAAAATTTGGTTCAGTTGATGGATGGTATCAGAGTGTTCATGGAAAGCCCTGGAACTAGTATAGTGATTGGTTGGTTCATCAGCTTCTCTGCGTGATTCTGAAAAAGTTTACATTTTGTGAGAGCAAAGGTGGTGAAGGGCTAAAGAAAAAATGGGAAGGAAAGGAGAATGTCCTGATTTTCCAAGTTTCATTCCTCAAGCCTTATGATTCCAGTTATTACAACTGTACTCTGATTTCAATATTCACAGGTTCACAGGGGCTCCCACAACTCTTTCGCTAGAAAAAAACAGTTTTAATTAAACGTAACTTGTAAGTTAAATGAAAAGTATACTTGAGCTGTTCTGTTCACTATTTATTTTATTTGTGTTTTCAGGTCTGTATGGTGTTCAATGCTGGTGAGCTTTCTTTGGTTGAATATGGAAACAATGAAATACTTGGAACAGTGAGAACTGAATTTATGAACCCTCATTTAATCAGGTAGAGTTGTGGCTCCTTCTGCAAATCTTCTCTCTGATGATTGCATACCTCTTCATATGTTCGTTTTGAGAATTTGCTCTTACTGATTTTGGTTTTCATAACCTTTTCAGCGTCCGCCTGAATGAAAGAAAACAGAGAGGTGTTGAAAACAACAAAAAGATGGCATACCTTGTAGACTTAAAGACTATTAATGTTGGTAAGTGAAAAAGGCACAGTCCAGAAGTACGAGTGTCCTATGGGGGCATGGGAAGGAGTTCAGTGTTCACCATAGAGGGTAGCAAAGACGGGTCCTGATCCCGTTTCTCGCACAAATTTTTAGAAAACTTCACGCGTCACTTGTGTAAAAGGAAAAATTTAACTCCTCGTCTTTTTTACAAGGTTTTGGGGAAATATTGAGGTTTACGTATATTTCAGAAGACAAATCACGCCTCACGCGTCACGAATCACGCTGGCCTTTCTTTAATCACGCGTCGTGCGGAAACCCCTTACCATTCTTACAATAATTCACTGCCATGTTTTTTTCTAAGGTTACAGTGTTCATGCTTAAGAAATAGTTCATTTTTTCACCTCATCCCTCCCCCCTCCCCGCTTAACAGTGCAATTTTTTCTCTAACACTTTCCTAGTTCCTTCAGGCCTCCTCAATCTTCCCAATCCAATATGGCAACTAGAGTGACACTCAGCACCACTCTTCCCACCCAGAAATTTCAACTAATGTGAGCTAATGACCATAATCTTTATGTGTGTAATTTTACCTATCTAGTTGATATGATCAGCGGATTTAACGTTGCAAGCGTGAATCATGACTCGAGAATTGACTGGCTGGAGGTTAGAAACTATTCATAAGAAATTTTTGATAATCTTCTACCATTTTGTGTTCCTATACCCAGAAGATGAAACTGTTAATTTTGTTCTTTTTATTTCAGCTCAATGAGACCGGAAGGACCCTGCTTTTTCGAGACAAGAAACTAAAGGTAAGTTTGTGTAATGTCTCAGCTCAAAAAGCAACTGTTGGTAACGCCATAAATTGCAAATCTCGAAGAATGTGTCTGTTCCTCTTTAATGCATTTCTCCACCTTCTTTCCATCAGAATATTTTAGGCCTAACGGTCGTTAATTACCTGTTTTCTTTGTTGGATGTTAGCTCCATTTACTGGATGTAGAAACACAAACGCGTTCGACGATCCTAAACTACTGCACGTATGTTCAGTGGGTGCCTCTTAGTGACGTGGTAGTGGCCCAGAACAGAGGGAACCTATGCGTGTGGTACAATATTGACTCACCTCAGAGAGTCACCATGTTTCCAATAAAGGTAAGTATTGCTGGGCGCCTTTGTGGTGCTATTTAAAAATTCTTACTTTGCATTATTGTGGGTGTGTGCTGCTGCAATCTTAGCTCGTAGCATCAAGCGCGAAATTCATGGTCAGGGGTTTGATTCCTCACCAGATTCTCCCACGCACGTCACAAAATGAACAAGATGCTTCTTTAATTTTTTGCTAATCTCGACCAAAGGATATGTGGTGACCTAGAGATTAGGGCGTTGGACTACATATCAAAAGGTCAGCGTGAGGCACTTGGCCGGGTCATTGTGCCGTGTTCTTGGGCAAAACACATTAGGAGTGTAAATGGGCATCATGAACTGTCATGAAAAAAGAAAAACAAAATGGTGAATATTACCCTATGCTGACTTATTCGTTCTTTCTCTCAAGGGAGACATAGTCGATCTGGAGAGAGCTGATGGCAAGACAGAGGTTCTTGTGAATGAAGGAGTCACAACCATCTCCTATACTCTGGATGAAGGATTGATTGAGTTTGGTACAGCCATTGACGATGGAGATTTCCCAAGGTACTGATTCCTAATAGTTAGTGGCTATCTGTGCTGTGACCACCCTTCGGTGGATTTTAGAAACGTCTCCTCCACACCAATGTCAGTAGGGCTAAGCGCGCAGTTTCTTCTCATTATCTCACATAAGCGTGCATATAACCATTGAAACACTGTCAAAAGGTGCGCAATGAGAGTCATCGTGCAAAAAAAACTGCCTCTCAGATTTCAGGTGGGAAAATTTTATTAAGTTAAGGACTGGCCGTTATATATTGCCGGGGGGTTCACAATAAAATTTACCTGATCCCCCTGAGGCTATGTAATATTTTAATGATCCCCCTCCCTCATTAACCGTCAATTTGTATGGCCCCCTTTCAAATTCTGTTAGAGACGACTGATCCCTCCACCCCCCCCCCCCGCCCATTCCCTCCTGAAAACTATGTGATCTTAAAATCCCTTCGGTGATTGGGGAAGAATTCTTCGCTCAGTGAAGAAGGACGAAGAAAAAGACTTACCTGCAAGGGAACTAAAAATTATGTTGATTTTTCAGAGCTGTTGCGTTCCTCGAGAGTCTTGAGATGTCCTTAGAAACAGAAGCCATGTGGAAAACGCTGAGCCGCCTCGCTCTGGAGGCGAGGCAGCTGCACATTGCCGAGCGATGTTTTGCTGCTCTGGGTGATGTTTCTAAAGCCAAGGCATTGCGGCAGATAAACAAGACCGCTGAACAATGTGCAGAAGAAATGGTTGGCATCACTTTTTTCCTTCTCCCTTTTTTTTCTTTACAAAGAACGAAGATTCCAGTCGAAGTCTAAAAAGGCTTTATTTCATGTTTTCGTGTTTCAAGTTACTTTGTCATTTTCCAGATGGAATCTGCTAATGTTGGCCATCTATTTTGCTAGGAGCAGTTGAGACTTAAAGGCTTTTCGGGATTTGTACTGCCTCCTTTAAAATTGGTTCGTGAATACTTAAGACTCTAGAATGAACGCGCTAAATTCAATGGAAGACACTTGACCTAGAGAGAAAATCTTCGGCAAATTGCATGTACTTTAGACTGAAATAGCCACAAAAACCAGTTCAGAGTGGTTTTGGGCTGGTAAGATTATGTAGGCTTAAACGTTTTGATATTTTTTAGGGTGGTGATGGTACAAACCATGTTCGTGTCCGAGCAAAGCTGGCAGTTTTAGACAAAAACTTCAAGCTGGCTGAGACCATTCTTCTAGAGCAGGGATACGTGGATGAAGCCATTGAGATGTATCAGGAGCTGCATAAGTGGGACGAGGCTATAGCTGTGGGGCAGGCTAAGGTATGCGTGACGGCTATTGGAGTAACTGACTAACTGACTGACTGACTGACTGACTGACTGACTGACTGAAAAGCTGTGATCGCCAGGTCCTCATATTTAGTTCATTATTTATCGTTAACCTCAGGGTCACCCAGAGCTGGAAAATTTGCGCACAGCTCATTACCAATGGCTCTCGGAGACGGCTCAGGAGGAGAAGGCTGGGGAGGTAAGATTAAGTCACTAACTAACAAGGAAGTGATGAAAAAAAAAATTAGATATAGCATGGGCATGCGGCACTACAATATTCAATCAAGCTGTTCTCAAGGCTAAATTTTAACCACTATTGACCTGAGTTTGTTGGTTTGGTTCTCTGTTCAGGTGAAAGAGAGAGAAGGAAATTACATGGAGGCCATTAACTTGTATCTCAAAGCTGGTTTGCCTGCGAAGGCTGCAAGGCTGGCTTTGAGTAAAGAGGTGAGGATTTTTTGTCGGTACTTTTTGAGGTTAAATTAGAATTTATCTGTAAAGAGGCGTGGAAAGGATTTTGAGTTCAACAGCATTGGGTTTGTAAGAATTTACAGGAAGAACTTAGTAAAGAGTATTCTTTTCGTTAACTTTGAACGTGAATGTTGCTTTTGGTCATTAGGAGCTAATTCACTCATCGGAGTTACCGGAGAGAATTGCGGCAGCTCTTCTTAAAGGCGGATTGTACGAGCAGGTTAGTGTCTGAAATTCTTACATAATCAGTTAAACCTCGAACAAGAATGTCTTTCGATTGAGTGTCGTTAAAACCAAAAGCATAGTAATCACAACAGCCAATCAGAGGAGAGGAAAATGTCACAACGACCCAATGAGAATTGAGAATAAGCAGATTGCTCAAAGCGCGAAAAAACGCGTGTCACGAACTCGCGATTGGTGCATGTTCTGAAATGATGGCGCGGTTTTCAAATGAAATTGCCAAAACACCAGAACCAAACCAATTATAAGGCTCATTCAAAACAAGGTAGAGCAATTTTTCACTGAGTGTAGAAAGTAGGCCGGGGCTTCTTTGCTTATTATCTACTGCGCTCTGTGATTGATCTAGAAAACTCGCGCCAATCCCTAAACCAAACAGAAGCAAAACTAAAACCAACTGCGACTTGGTTCCTTGCATTTTCACGCTCTCCTAGCAGTTTGCTTGATTTTACTTCGAGTTCTTGTTGGCTTCTTGTGATATTTTCCTTTTTTCGGCGAAGTTTTACTTACTGTAGTGATGGATTTATTACAATCAAACGAGAAATGCACTCTGCACAACACAACCAACCAACGAGATCTTTACAGTAACATACGACATTAGCCAGGTATGGGAAAACGCGCGTAATGAATTGTATTAAATGTTTTTCTCTCATGATATAGGCTGGAGAACTTTACGAGAAAGTTGGCAAAAACGACAAGGCGATGGATTCCTATCGCAAAGGACATGCATATAGGAGGGGTAAGATATGCAAGTTGCTTTTTATTTGTTCTTCCTGTTTCACTATGGAAATATTTAGTACTAATTTGCCATACCTTTTTTCCTTCCCCTTTCGCTGTTCAGCGGTTGAACTGTCCCGAGCGGCTTTCCCGAGAGAGGTTGTGAAACTAGAGGAGGCCTGGGGTGATTATCTGGTTTCCCAGAAGCAATTGGATGCCGCTATTAATCACTACATCGAGGCTGGGTGAGTAGATCGACATTTTGTCCCACCCTTCCCCAGTCTATCTTGTAGCCATTCTTTGGAATGTCACGCAACGCTTTTGGGAGATGGGGATTGTTGATTAGTTTTGAGATTGGCGCGAATATTTAAACCAGTCACAGGGCGAAGAAAAGCCAAAAAAGCTCGACACTCGATTGAAATTTTTTTGAATGAATTTGATTATTCTCCTTGTTAGGTGTTCAATTAAGGCGATCGAGGCGGCCATACAAGCCCGTCAGTGGAACAAAGCTGTTCAGATTGTGGAATTACAAGACGATAATGTGGCAGAAAGGTGAGTTTACTTTTTTATGCCAACAGGAGTTTTCCGCTGTCTGGCAAATAGGGGTACATGGTTACATTTAAAGATTCACAACTGTTATTAACCATGATTTTCCTTCATATTCCAGGTACTACCATCAGATTGCTCAACACTATTCTCAAGTTCAAGAATACAAGGTATTTTACGAGTACTTTGCAGTAATTTCTCAACTTGTTTGTCCGCAGGATTCCATACTCAAAGATTGTTTTTGTTTTGTTTTGTTTTTAGCTTGCGGAGAAATACTTTGTCAAGGGAGGGGACCCACGGGCTGCTATTGAGATGTATACCAAAGCTAATATGTATGAAGCTGCTCACAAGGTAAGGTTTCTTAAATGAAACAAAAGAGAAGAAGGTGTTATGATACGAAGAATTTAAGAGTAAACAGAGTTAAAAAAAGAAATAACAATATCCCTACGCTAGGAACGTGGGAAGTCGTGTTGCATGAGTTCTGCATAGAGCGCATTTTGAGTCGTCGGTGGCGTTAAACCAAAACTAGCACAGGTACAACGGCCGATCATATTTAAGGAATATACCTCACGGAGCCAGGGAAAACTCAAAGTAAAAACAACAGTGCTGCCTGAAGCGCGGGAAAACGACGGTAACCAAGTCGCGATTGACCCTAATCTTGCATCTGATTGGTTAAGAGAGTGGCACGATTTGTCTTGATCAATCACAGAAAAATAAAGGAAAAGTTATGAGATCCAAGATTATTGTCCACATTCAACTGATATTTGCCCTTATTCCTAAGGATCTTTTTTTTCATGTTTCCACAGCTTGCAGTTCAGTGCATGACACAAGAAGAAGTCGCTGTCATCTACATATCGCAAGCTCAAGAACTTGAAGCTCAAGGGAAATACAAAGAAGCAGAGAGGTGATTTTAGCCACTTTGATGCTTTGAATTGTAAATTAGCAGCGCTTTTTTTCTTTTTTCCTTTTTGCAGTCTCATAGTTTGCTTTAAAACATTTTCTAGGTTATACTGCACAGTTGATGAACCAGACTTGGCCATTAATATGTATAAGAAACATCGTCAGGTAAGTTTATGAAGACTTCTTTCAGTCTTAAGACCGAGAATTTCACATCCCGTTACATCACAGAGGTGCATATGAGACTTTTGTCTGTTTAGCTCCACGTTATTCGGTAGATAGACAGGTGCTAATGAATGATTCTTTACGTTTGTAGTTTGACAACATGATCAGACTAGTGGCTATCCACCATGAGGATCTTCTCGCCGACACCCACGTTCACCTGGCAAAGGTATAGTTTGGTTAGCATGTGAACAGTCTCCAGGTTGAAGAGCCGATGGGGGAAATGGCCTCAAGTGAACTAAATCGGCCGGCGGGGTGGGGGTGGGGTTGGGGGAACGGTTCGTTCTTTTGTCTCTGTTAGACCAGTCTTTAAATGTTGGAGACGTGGGAACTCACTGGCTCCTCTTACTCTTTTAAATTGGTGGCAACGCCTTTAATAAGCGGGAATTTATAGATTTTGACGTAAACGGCCCAGAGGATAGTTGCTTCAAATATAGACGAGTTAATTTGCCTGGACAGAAGAGTACCACAGAAATCTGAGTAAAGCGCCGTTAATGATGGTTCCTTCACTTCTATTTCTCGCAGTGGGCGTGAAAACCTGATTAAGTATTTAGTAAAGGATGTTCTTAAACCTTTAACCAACTTCTATTGTAGCCCGTGAACACTTTATTCTCTTTCTACAGGAACTGGAGGCCGAAGGTCAACTCCGCCAAGCTGAGCATCATTTCTTAGAAGCGAGAGACTGGAAAGCAGCCGTGAACATGTACAGGAACCAAGACATGTGGGAGGAGGCTTACAGGGTGAGTTATGGAGGGGGGAGGGGCTGGGGAGATATTTTCAGGCGTGGGCACGAGACAGGTTTTGTCTGAGCCCTGCATGGGTTAGGTAGTCCCAATATGGGGACAAAAACTAGACAAGATAAATTATTTTAACTGGAGTCTATAACATTAGGGAGCAGTGTGAGACTCAATGAAAACTATTTGTTGTAGGTTGCCAAGCAACACGGAAGTCAAAATGCCTCTAAACAAGTAGCTTACTTGTGGGCCAAGAACTTAGGTAAGTTTGTGAAAGTTAGTTTTTTTTTTCAGAGTATTATCGGTTCTGTTTTATCAGAAAATCTTCGCAACTAACACTTTTGTAGATTTTCCAACATAGAGGATTGCTTTATGATAAAATGAAACCTTAAAAATTGTAGTTTACCAAAAATGAGCAAAGATGGCTGAAGATGGGAAAGATGAACCTGTAGTGTAAATTATGAACTTTAGAAATTTAGGTCGATGTTTCTAAAATATACGTGCTTTGTTGGAACTCCTCAACCATTTCATTCTAAGATGTAAAAAGAATTCTCCTCCGTCTCTGTTCGCTATGTCTTGTGCATTTCTCTTAATTTTATCTCTGAGAATTTTGTATTAAATCAAAGAATATCCACCGTAGTTGATGGTTTTCTTTCCTCTTATGGCCTTTCTGCTCGGAAATGTGTCGATCTTGTTGACTCGAGAGAAATTCCTTTTTTGTCATCACTGCGAGTGAGAAGGAGATGAACTTCCTTCTATCGTTTGACAAACTTTGAGTTGCCTCGCACTGATGTCGATCAGCACTGATTAATCGCTCTTTAAATCCTGATCTCTCTTAGGAGGGGACTCCGCTGTCAAGTTACTGACTAAGTTTGGTCTGCTGGAATCAGCGATAGACTACGCTGCAGAAAACTGGTAAGATTCAATTCAATACTGCAAGTGTCTTCACTCGTCTCATCTGACTTACATAGATAGTTTTAGTTTCTACAGTCGAGTTGAAATGCATGATATGCGTGAACTATTGAACACCACAACGTAAAGAAGAGAATGGTTCGAGTCGATTCTTGTGGACTTAGACAGTGCGAAGTATTTTGAGTCCAGATAGGGAAATGTGTATCTTTAAACTGATTGCAATTCAGTATTAAGGAACTGTTTGGTTAAAGTTTCTTTTTTTTATGTAATACACTTTATGCCGTAAAGTGTTCAAATAGTCTTACATTGTTTGTTTTCAGTGCTTTTGAATTCGCGTTTGACTTGTCTCGAACGGCGATGAAGTCCAAGTTGCCAGACATTCACCTAAAGTATGCCATGTTCTTGGAGGACGAGGGAAAGTTTGCTGATGCTGAAAAAGAATTTATTAAAGCTGGGAAATCAAAGGAAGCTGTGCTTATGTAAGTCGCAATATTTTCATCGAAATAAGGAATTAAGAACTGAAATTTATTGGCTGTACAATAGGACACATTAGAAGATAAAGTTTTAGTTTAGCTTAGAATGTTACTTGTAAATTATGTTAATACAGTGATTGTGTAAAAAAAAAAAAAGGGACTCGCGCCAAAACCAACATCGACTTTGACACTGGCGTTTTCCCACGCTTGGACCGATCACCTGTATTTTTCTTTGCATTTTCATTGGTTCATCATGTCTGTTACACTTGTTCTGTTTGGCTGTAATTTTTGTCACAAAAAAAAATCCAAGCCAATTTTTGTTGTAGTTGGTGAAAAGAAATCGTGCCGAAGTCTCTCAAGTGTAATTTTTCGCGCACCTTTTAAAGTTTATGAGAGAACGTTGCACGCCTTTTCAAATAAGACGTTCTCTCTTAGAAGTTAAAGAGATGTGTCCTATTCAATCGTGTTTCAGGTATGTTCACAACCAGGATTGGGACAGTGCTCAGAGAGTGGCGGAGGAGAATGATCCTGACAGTGTAACTGATGTATTAGTAGGCCAGGTAAGATGTTTTTCATCCAGGCTTAGTCAAGTGGCAGAAATGTGCTTCGTGCACTGCCATTTGAATCTTGCCCAACGAGGCTGCTAAATCTGTAATGTAACCGAATCTTACCCCTCTTTTTCCATTGTTTGGTGATCTGTTCGAACAGTTAGGAGCTGCACAAAGAGACAATGTTGGGACAAAGAATTCTTTTCTTTTTTAACTTTTGAAGAAGCAAAGCAGCAGTTTATGGAGTGTGCATTGTCGCTCCTACCATTTGGCTTAAACTCTGTGACGTCATACGTGTGGGGCCAGGTTACCAAGTTGTATGGTTTGTGGTGTATATCTCTCCATTAAGCCCCCGTTTATTCATAGTTTATAGAATCGAGGCTAAAGGAATGATCAGCAAAACCCTGAGATTTATTTTGCATTAAAGGGGTTTTAAACTATTAATTTACTTTTATTGCAGGCCCGTGTTGCATTTGACAAAAAAGAATATCAAAAAGCTGAGACGTTCCTTCTCCGAGCTCAAAGACCCGAACTTGCGGCTCGTTATTACAAAGTAAGTTTGCAGGAACAGTTAGTTGATACACAATGATGAAAAGAAATATTGCGAGCCACCATTCTTAGGTGATCATCCTAATGAACAAATACATATGTAGCCTCATAGTCTTTATCGTTTGTTTGACTCCAGGAGGCTGGTATGTGGACAGATGCTTTGCGCGTGGTGAAGGAATACTTGCCTCACAAGGTATGTACATACTGAATTCAAGGCTGTATTCTATGACAAAACTAAGCATAGTGAGACACATAATCATTGTACGCTGATTGTCTTTGCCAACAGCTGGAGCAATGGCAGGACGAGTACGATAGAGAAGTCATGTCCAAAGGAAACAGGTATTCCCCTATAACGTTAAGACCTGTAGCAGCACCTCACCCAAAAGGTGCTCAGTTCCACATGATAAGAATGGAACTACAACTAGAAATAAAAAACAGATCAGTGTCAGTATCTAAGCAACTGCGCACCTACCCCTCCCCTAACCCAAGATTTATCGTAACTCGTTACCAGTTGACTAATACTGACATTGATCCTAAAGAATATTACTACAGCAGAAATACTCACCATAAACATACCAGTGTTCGCCTATAAACGTAACCGTTTGAAATTCCTCATACTGTTTAACAATAAGAGTCAATAGTGATCACTGAGGGATACACGCCACTAAGGCTTTTAATCACGAACTAAGATTTGAATCCTTCCTAATTACTGTGGGTTTTGTTTTACAATTAATTTTAAGACTCTCAGGATGGCAGTAATTTCATCGAAGTTAACTGTCTGGTTGATGTTACTTTTTTCAGAGGTGCAGAGTCGTTGCTGAGTCAAGGAAAAGAGTGGGAAAAGAAAGCTGAATACAACAGAGCTATTGACATGTACTTGAAGATTACACCAAATATGACCACTGATCATGAACTGGTGGAAGACGCTATGGTCAAGGTAAGAGGCGCGTGACATGGCGTGTTGCCTTGCAGCGCGTAGACTTATCCATTACAGGTGGTTTATGCAGATCATCGCGCAGAATACCATTGTTCACACAACATTTACTTACAGTCGCGAAAAAATATAGATTTGTAATATTAGCAGCGAAGCGTAATCTGGAGAGCTTTGATTGGTCATTGATTACACAGGCTTTCCTTCTCAGGAAATATCGCTTTAGCTCATTAATTGTTTAGACGGAGCTAAGAAACACTAGCTTATGCTATTGGTTGAAAAAATCACATATCTCTTCTTCAAAATCCATTTGGTAAAAGTGGTTCATACAAAGTGTTTTTATTGAAAATAAGAAAAACATGCACCCCTCTGGTGATTTTTAAGCCATTTTCTCTATTGTATGGCGCGTGTTTCGCTAATTCAGTTTCACATTTACCGCTGGTCAGTCATAAAAAGTCCCGGATTTGTGGCGGCGTTCTACGTGATTTATCAATCCATTGTGGAGTTGTTCAGAAATGAAGATACAAGCGATAGAGCAGTTTTCAATCGAGTGTGCAAAGCAATCTGGGATTGCAAAGGTTTTCTGCACCGAGCCATATGATTGGTGTAGAAAATCTGCGCTCTGTCAATCAATCAAATCAGTGCGAAACCTCCACTAATAGCGACTTGATTACTCGCGTTTTCCCGCGCTTTCAATCATTTCTGTGTTTAGATTTTGATTTCTCTTTCTCATCCTAGAGCTTCGGTGAACAAAATGCTAGAAAACTGGGTATATAGTTTACTATTGCTGGAGTAAAGAATAACATTAGTATTTTATAGTTGACACAACCAGCAAAGGAAAGTTACCATTAAGTATTTTTTCAGTGTTTTTTAATTTTTTTTTTTATATTTCAGGCCGTTGAACTTGCTATGAAATTCGTAGGTGACCGTGCTTATGATGTGGCAAAAGCTGCTTGCCCCAGGCTGGCAGAGATAAAGTGCTATGAACAGGTTTGTTCAGGACAGTCTCAGTATTGTACTACAATTCTGTTACTCTTAAATTCTTACGAAGTTGTCAAGAAGTCTCTATTTAGCAAATTACGCAGTTATCTCTAGCTGTGCACTCTCCCGAAAAGTCTTTTTGAGGTCTTATTTTCTTCTTAGCCAATAAGTGAGCTAACAAGGTGCCATTCGACTTAGGAACATGCTTTTATTTTGGCGTTTTCCCACAATTTTTTTGTTACACAATCGGAAAAAAATGTTTACAGATTCTTTAACTGTGTGGAAGTTTCCAAAAGGAATGGTTGAAAATTGGATTCGGGAACTTTGGTTGAGTGTGTTAGCAGTTTGTGTGTGATTTATAGAAGCTTTTAGTATGGATTAAATTGCTTCGAAGTATAAAGTAGGTACTTCTCTGCTAAATCCACGGATATCAGAGTTAATGTTGCTACGCCCTCAACGAAAATACAATAAAAACGTCTCAAAAAATCGGTTTTAAAATGTTTTTGCTAAAAGAAAAAAAATTGGCTGACTGCTGACCGTAAGCAATCAGGCTCTATGCGCTTGTGCATGTAAGAGTAATCCTAGCGGGGTGGGCTAATGGGAATACAAAAGAAATGTGGAAAGGTGTTTAAGCATTTAATTTGTCTTTTTCACCAGGCAGGTGAGTTGTATCTGGGCGTGGAGATGGTCAAGGAAGCCATTGATGTGTATATTCAGGGAGAGCTTTGGCCAAAGGCGAAGAGATGTGCAGCGGAAATGGCACCAAAGTAAGTGAATGTTCAATTAACACTTTGAAAAGTCAGTTCTAACGTCACAAAAAGGTACCTATCCAAACAATCGAACAATTATTTAATGGTAGACACCATATAGGTAAATTTAACGAAAATAAGTTAAAATACAAAAGGATGGTGGAGCTGGACCGGATTGCAAATGGCGAACCTTTTTCTGTATGATACAATAGGTGCTAGAAAGGAAAGTCGCCTTTTTCCACGCGCTTTCTGATTATTTAAGTTATTTGCTTTCTCGTGTGCGATTTTCCAAAGTTTTTTCCATCCGAGTCTCAGCGAATTTGGGGTTAAGTATCTTCTCCCCCTGTCATGCAGGTATGAACAGTACGTGGAAGATGCATACGTTGCGTTCTTGAAACAGAAAGGCCAGGCTGAACAGGTTAGACTGGAGTCAATTATGAACAATGATGAACTGAATTAAATAACCTTCTCAGGCAGTTTAAGGAAAGTTTTTGGTGGGTCACTTTCCAGTTTTCTTTATGTTGTGATAAAATTCAAAGAGCGCAGGCTCAAAAAATGTAGCTTCAAGTTTTTAAGGTGTCTCTCTCTGTATGCTTGGTCCTTTTTTGCCTCGTAGCCCCTTTTTGTAGTGTAGAAAACTAATATGTTCAAGTTTTCTTAAGATTAGGAAGTGCTGTTTCTGCAAAATACACTGACTGAGCTTCTTTACGTAAAGCCCAAATTTTCCGGCGTAGCTGGGTTTTCCATCTTTTGTCCTAATTTCATTCGTGGATTATTCCCTGTCTAGATTGTAATTTCTCTCTGATTCTAAGTTGAAGGAAAAGAGACCTAAATTGTCCTTTTGTTCCTTTTTTTAACATTATTATTATTATTTTTTTTTTTTTTTTTTTTTTTTTTTGGGGGGGGGGGGGGTTATAACCCACCGAAAAGGAGTGGGGAGGTTGATAGTGCACAAGGCAGTTTCCCAAGTTCAAGAATACTTGTGTGTGCTTTACGCTCCTACCTTATATGTTGTGGTGGAAAAATTCAGTCCTGAGCAGTTCTCAATTGATGTTTTAGTTGGTCGACGTAGATGTCATAGCTGGTCTGGATATGATGATACAACGTGGGCAGTGGGATAAAGCCATTGAAACTGCCGAGCAACAGGTGCGTGACATGGCGTCACGAGATTTCTTATGTGACAAGTTGAATTACACCTGGCGTTGTAGGTTTTTGTGTGTGACCTTGTCATGCCTCACGCTTGTGTAATAACGTTCCTTTTAACTTATGCAGAAAAGTCCATGACGTTTGAATTATATGTTAAGTTAATGTTAGTGATAGCTGTGTACTGGAGCTCTAAAGGACATGAGTCAATCAGATTTCAGTATTATGACTACATTAGCATCCAATCATGTTGCCATCTTGGATTCCAATCCGGCTATATGATTGGTTTATTTGTACCTCCTAGTACATAATACTGAAATCTGATTGGCTATGTCGCATAGTGCCCCAGTATACTACCACCTTTTTTTCCGAAAAAGGTATCTATTGCGTGATATTTAGTAGCACCGTCTTTTTTCCTTAAGGGCTACGAGGTTCTTAGTAAATATGTGGCCCTATACGCTGCTAATGTTATCAAAGACGGAAACACATTGAAGGCTTTGGACTTATTCTGCAAATACGGAGCACCGGCTAATCCTCAGGTGAACTAAACGTTCTCTTTGACTTACGACACGTGTTATTTATTTGGTGACATAATTGAGATAACACTCTCTCACCAGTACTTTCTCTTTACCCTTTACCTTTCCGCTTTTTTTTTGTATTGATATTGCAAGGAGAAGACACATTTTAATCACTTGGTTAATTTCTGTTCTTGTCGACAGAATTTTAACATTTACAAGCGGATCGTTATGGACGTTATATCAATGCCAGGGCTCAGGTCTGCTGACAGTTATCGCACATGGGCAGACCTCAGAGATGTGCTGTTTGAAATTGTAAGTGCGACTACACTTGAACAGTTTTCAATTGAGAGTGTTGCTTTCTCCTCTCATTTCCTTCCCCACGTGATTGGTTTAAAAAGAAACAAATACTAATCCGCTCATCCAATCAGATTCCAAAGCTATACCAACCGCGACTTGGTCAAACGCATTTTCCCGCGCTTGGCGTAGTCACGTTTGTTTTCTTTTAATTTTGATTGGATTGTGTTATTGTTTACGTTTGCTCTGATTGGTTGCCGTAATCTTATTGTTTTGGTATTTTGACATTTCCTTGATACTTAAAATCAAGTTGCAATTTTGAACGTCCTTAAGAATTTTGACAAATGTCTCATACATTCTTCTGAATCACTTAAGGTTGAAGGCTTAAGTAAAGGATCCAACTCGCCCCAAGCTCAGGAGTTCGGGGTCATGTTAGAAGTCGCCCATTACTACAGTACTAGATGCGCCTGCATGCAGCACAAGTCACTGGTAAGTGAGGCCTCCGTCTGATTTCGGACGTTACCGTTCGACTTGGATGCTATCATTTGATTTATGGATATTATCGTTCGACTTCGGATGCTATCGTCCGATTTCGGCATTTTCCGGGTCGTGATTTTGTTGTAATTACATTTTTTTTTAACAGGATACCTTAGCCGCCAAATTGTCGACCTCCCTTCTACGACATTCCGATATTATTCCCTGTGATAAAGCTTTTTATGAAGCTGGAGTTGCAGCTAAGGTAAGACATGTAATTTCCCACGTTTTTGTAATGCATTGCCTGCGTAATATTACTGATTTAAGAAACAGTTCTCAGCTGATATTTGTCGCAAAGCAAGATTTTTATAAAGCCTGAATATTTAGTGCCTGCCATGAAAAAATTACAACTGTCTATCATTGAGATCATTGTCTAAATTTCGAAGATATGAATCCATTTCTTTGTACCTTTCGTACCATTTGATAAATACCATTGAAGTCATTTTTGCGATGTCATTGAATAAAGGGCGCCAGAGCAAAGAGCTAACGTTCGAAACGCCAGCCCTGAAACTCTTTACGTGGCCAATTTACGATATCAACTCAGTTGATGATACTAAATGACTTTGCGATGTCATTGTTGGATCATTTATATTTAACAAAATACCTTCTTCTCCAACAGGGCGTTGGCTGGGACAATATGGCTTTTGTTTTCTTGAACCGCTACTTGGATCTCAGCGAGGTAGAAAACCTGTTTTTCTCGCTTTTTCATGAAGCCGGAATTTTCGTCTCTGACGATGCCTAATGTGATAAATTACCTTTTGGCAGGGTATTGAAGAGGGCAGTCTTGATATGTTGGACAACAGCGATTTTGCAGACACAGATATTCCATTCGAGGTACCGGTTCCAGAAAAACAACACTTACCGGTGAGTTGGAAGAGAGTCAAGCGAAGGAATGAAGCGTTTGTTGTTTTAAACGCGGTTTTATTAAAAGTTTTCATTTTCCAACAATGTTTTCTTTTCATGATGTGAACTTTTCAGGAAGAGAAACGCGAGGAAGTGAAGGAATGGGTATTAGCTGTATCAATGGATCAAAAGGTTTGTTTTGAAATTCTTTTCCTGTTGAATAGAAGAACAAAATCAAACAGCCTACCGTTTACTTAAGGAAGCCCCTTCACTTTGTCATCAATTCCTCTTTGTTAGCAAGCGAGGACTAATCGCTATGATTAGTTTGGCATTACTAGCGCAAAAAAAGAGAATCGTTTTCTACTAGCAAAGTCGCAGCGTTAATTTTAAAGATAACTCTTCATAAGACGTGATTTTTTGCCAGGTGGAGCAAGTTTTGCCAACAGATGAGCGTGATACTTATGAAGCTTGCCTTGTGGCAGTGAACACTGGTATAACGTCTCCGCCGTGTGTCATCACAGGTAAGGCTTTCCAGTCGATTGTCTAACAATCCGTTTTAACCCTTTAACCCCTAAGAGTGACTAGAATCCAAATTCTCCATACGATATCACTCCTGAATCACACATTATGGTAACAAGAATAAAGAAAACGATCACCAACAAAAGAAGCTCCTGATTGTTTAATAAATTCTCCCTGTTGGCACCTTAGGAAAAGTATGGAGAAGAGTATGGAGAATATGCATACTGATGTGAAGGTGTAAAGGGTTAATTGTCCTAATCCTGAACCATTCTTGTTCCTTCTTGGTTTATTATGGCCTCTTTTGTCATTTTCTATTTTACTGAAGTCCTATTTTGTATTTTCCATTGAGATAAAGGCAAGTTTGTGTGATACAAAAAAAACAACCGCCACCTCATCAAAGGACACTAAACGGCGAGGGGTTTTTTTTAGGTGATCTGTGATCCGTATCAATCTTATCCATCAATACCCATCTTCTTTTCCTCTAGCTTTATTTTTCCTCCTTTCGCTATTTCCTATCTCACTGAACTTATATTTTGTAGTCTCCTTTGAGGTGAAGGTAGTTTTTGTATGTATGATGCAATGAAAACAAAAGATGACCGTGAACTCATCGTGGGAATGTGTAACAGAACACTAAACTACGAAGCGTTCTCTTATTCTCAGGATATCCTGTTCTGCGAAACAAGATTGAATTTAAACGACCGGGCAAGGCTGCGAACAAAGAGGACTGGAATAAGTTTATCATGGCTACCAAGGTGAGCTTATTGCAATTTTGGACTGAAATTGTCTCACCAGAGAGCACAAACTTCTCTTTAGAAGTTATCAAGAAACACTATTAGCGGTACAGACAATATTTCATAGATGAAAGCAAGGTGCCTATCCTTCTTGAAAATGGAGGTTGCGGTTTTAATAACTGGACAGTGGAGATGAGATGCAGGAGTTGTATTTGTCACGTTTGCCACAACATCTTACACGGCGAAAATGGGACACAACTCGTTTGGTTTTTTATTTTTTATTGATTTATTTAGTTGTTGAGTTATATTTCAATCACAACACTGACAATATAAAATTACAATACCAACACTACGCTCAAAACAATACTTACAGTGGTAAGGTTCACTTACTTACAACAATATTTTACATTACAAGACGCTTCTGTCCTATTAGTTCACCGCCAATTCACTCTTTCTCTTTGGATAACTTTATTCTTCATGTTTCATATCTTTTACCTTCTAAGATTCGGTACAGCGCTCTTTAACCCTTTGACGCCTGAGAGTGACTAGCATCTAATTTCTCCTTACAATATCAGCCCTGAATCACACAGTAAGGCCACTAAAAATAAAGGAAATGATCACCAACTAAAAAGCTCTCAACTGCTAAACAAAGTCTCCTTGTCAGCACCCAAGGAAATGTATAAAGAGCAGTATGGAGAGTGTACATACTGATATTAGGGTTAAATGGTCAAACATTGGTTTAATGCTACATTACTTGAGAAAATTAATCTTTGAGATATCTGTAATGAATTGCTCTGTTTTTCTTTTCTCTCTTCTTTAGGTTTCTCACAGCCCTGAATGTCAAGATGTGCTGCGTTTTCTGGGAAACTGGTGTGGAGCGCCTCAAAACCCCTCGTATTCCTTTAATTAGGAGTTTGCACGACGTCACTTTATTCAACTCATGAGTTATTTATTATTCTCAGATCCGTTCCGTGACTTGTAGAGATCCATGACGTCTACAGATCATTTAAGATATATGTCACGCAACGCGCAACGCTTTGGATTCATATCCGAACACTGCGTGACGACCCAAATGAGGCTCCGCATGAGACTACGGTCTAAATCGCTTAGTGGTATTTATTATTGTTGTAAATAACTTGAGTGTTACAGTATTGTTACAAAAGTGTTACTTCTTGGTCAGAAAGTAAATTAAGTAAGCTAGTATTCTGTCTTTTTAGTCATTGATTTGGGCATGCGCAGTGATGCATGCACTTTGAGGCCCGTTGCGTGTCAGTTATGGCTCTTTTTGAAGTTATCTGCTCCAGTCCTGCATGACCTGAACATATCGTGACCACTTATGAATTTGGCTGCCTGGCCTCTGCTGTTCAAACACGTTGTCCGCACTTAACCGCACCCCTTCCTCTTCCCCCCCCCCCTACCCCTCCCAATACCGTCAGCTTCAGGTAAGCATTTTTAACAAAGGTTTATCGTCATCCTCAATTAGACCAGCTACATGTTAAAATACTTCTTGCCAATTGTCGTCTTTGATGATAGCTTCCTTCTCAACGGTGTTTAGAGATTTCCCAAACGCAAGCTTTAACCTGGAAATCAACCGAAAACTTACTTCTAGACTGCCTCCGTTATTACAATAACTGGTTACCTTGGTTGAAACTGTACTGAACAACTAGATTACGCGTCTTAAATTAAACGTTTTAGGCGACAAACATTGCGATAATTATTGCGATATATAAATTCAAACGGAGCACGCGCGTAACAGTAAACATAACCAGCGTGCGCGTTAAAGTTGTTAATTAATTATAATAAAATGAATGTTCGGTGAAACATATGAACTTGGTTTCGTAAGATACGCACCTCGAGATTTTTCTTCAAAGCTTTCCACCCAGATCACGCTCGGTGAAACAAAATATTGTAGGACGTAGATTAGTCTTTCGACATATTTCGGTTCTAATTTGCCTTTTTTTTTCGATGGGATATCTATATTTTAGGTGTTCTTCTTTCCAAATTTTGGTCAATTACGAAATTTGGCATCAGGCCACAACTTTGCTCGAGCCTCTCTGTGTAAGATAAGAGCAAAGACAGTTACTAATGAGGTAAATGTCACCCGAGCCGTGAGGAACATTTTGCATTTGATGTCAGTGGCTCTTGATTATTTTTTAAGGAAACAGAGCTGCATGGTTAGAGTTTCCCGTCTTTTGTAATTATCTCTTGATCACGACAGCGTCCTGTCCTCCTCATACGAGTTCAATCTCTCAATTATTCCTGTAGAGCTCAAACCTAACTGTTGTCTGAAAATTTTGACCGCGATCATTTTCTTAACCTGAAATTTCATTGTTTTAGCCCTGAATTGTCAATGAACTTCGAGAATCATCTGACCACTAGAAAACAATTTAGGGAACGGATTACCTATCAGGGTGTCGATCTAGTGGTATCAAAGACTTTTGAAACATTTGAATGGCGATTCCTTTCATTGAGCCGAAAGCTTAGGGCCTGCTCCACAAAGACTGTTTGCGCTGTGAATTTTTAACAGAGATTTAAAACAAAAGTTCCTGTTGTATTTTCATCTAGGTTAACTTGATTTCAAAATTCTTAAAGATTATTCACGTCATTTTTTTTTCGTAGCAAGGTGCTTTTCTCTCCTATCCGCGTTTGTTAAGTCGCCGCGTTACGTGACTTCCCGTCCTCCTCTTAGAAGGTCAATCATCCAGCAGAATCACAAGCACGTTGTAACATCACTTCCGTGTCGTTGACTTCCTTTTGAAATCATCAACCAATCATAGTAGCTCACGTACGCTAGAGTTGGTACTCAGTCTCCTGCGTTAAGAGTAGATAAAGATTCGCGTTCAAGTAGGTCGAAGCACAATCACTGAAGACACCGAGGAGGAAAGACTGTATTAGTTTGAGTTTGTGTTGTCTGGAGACATGTTGGTTTATGTACTTTTCTGTTCCTTGGTCGCCACCACCGCTGTATCTGGTAAGTTGTTAAACCGCTTTTAATTAATCATTCAGGTCACCCACGGGAATGCATATATGGCGGGCTGACTGCTGAAGACAGGTTCCACAGAATAGGGGTAAAAAAAAAACGCCACTTTATGCCACGTAGCTATCTGAAATTTTTGTACTCTTCGTTGATAAACTACATCAACAAAATGGTGGAATGGCGTGAAAAAAAGAATAAAAACGTAAAATTACTATATATCATCATCTAACGGTTGGACCACTATGTCATAACTAGCAAACGACAACCGATTGTTTAATACAGAGTGACTGCCTAATACCGTGCTGCTTAATACCGGTTTGACTGTAATATCTTGTAATACGGTCAACGAGGAATGCATTTCCTGTTTTATAATGGCAATAAATGGTACAAGTATACTGTCTTCGTAAAAGTTACGGTCAAATTGTGGGAACGCGCAGCAGGGAAATTATAAATCCTCAAGAAGAAAACGCGCACTTCAGGAAGAAGATACCTAGAATTGCAAGTCAAGTAATTCATTTTCGAGAAAAAATTATTTGAAATTGCTCTTACTTTCTGAAATTTGAACGACATCGAGTGTAAACATATCCCCAGCAAAGTAAATCCCTGAGGCTTTTTTCATCGTTTCATCTTAATAATTTAATTTTCTCGGCCGTAACATCACTTCGCTAGTGGTAAGTTTGAAGGATTTTCCAGATAGGATACTTGTTTAGCTACAGGTAGAAATGAGTATTAGTGTACTGATTTTCATTTTCAGACGCGGTTAAGGGGTACATTGTTAAGGTTAGCCAAATTAAGCGCTCACGAAATATCTTGTCTAAAAGTTTTTAACTTAAAATACAAAAGGAAAAAAAAATAATGATTCACACCAAAATTTCCAACAGTTTCAGATCTTTCAGTGAATTTTTTCATAAAACCTACAAGGAGTACAGTTATCGCAATTTGAGTAAGGGCCTTTCCGCATTAGCGGACTAAACTAGAATTGTGCCGACAAAATCATAGGTCAAACTTTATCATGACAAATTTTTGTTTTGTCTGTTGCAACCGCATTAAAAATTTCAAAGCCGTCAAATTCCATCAGCGCCTGAGCAGTTCATAGGACCGGCCGGCATAGTTGCTAAAGAATTCCTCCTCCTATTTCCAGGATTTATTCTAAGTTGTTTGAACATTTTTGGAATCCCCGAGTTTTGCAGCAAAGGCAATTTTTGTCTTTCTCGTAAACTGATTTCAGTTCAATTACACGTTTGTCGTAGCTTATACGACAAATGATTGACAAGTTTATCACGGTTTTGTTTAATGAGTCGATTTTGCCAAATTTTTACCCGCGACAAATTTTTGTCGGCGGTGCGTCTAAAGGTTTGTTGGCTGCGGCCAAAATTTGTTAAGTCGCGACGAATCATCCGCACTTGTAAAGTGCTGGTGATGACAGAAAATTTGTCTAAATAAACAATTTTGTCGCCAATGCGGAAAGATTCTAAATTACAGAAGAAGAAATTCCGAACTAAAAGAAACCAAATGCAAGAAAATTGTTATCTACCAGTTTTTTTTGCCGAAATGGATCGCCTTTATTCGTATTTCATCACATGAAACTAGTTAAGTTCGCCATGGAAATTTCGCGTTCTAATGATCGCCGTTATGTAGCCTAGCAACTAGAACACGATGAATTTTTCTCCATATGGGGACAGACACTAAGTTTTCGTTTATCTTGCCCATCAGTCCTTTCCATTTCCATTTCTCTGATCAGGAGAATTGTTAGCTCAGCGAGAGATCGCGTTAATTGAGGCACGCTGTGATGCTATGCTCTCTTGAGTCTGTCTTTCGCGACTTCTCCTCCGCTCACCCTTCGCCCACTTGGTTTCCTCCGCGCCGACTTTTGCCTTAGCCACGGTGGAAAGAATTATTTCCGTCACAATAAATCTATTTGTTTAAAAATTATAACAATTGTATTTTGATCCTAACTAGAACAAACACGTTCATTAATTCAATTTCCTTGCCTCCGTGCTTTTGTCTATACTATCCTTAATTTCATTATATTTTCCAACGTGATGATAATACATTATAATAAAAGATAAATTTAAACAAGGAGAGGATAAGTACCAACAATTAAGAGATGGAAAGGGCAGAGAATATTGGAGAATAATTATATGCCCTTTTGTCGGGTGATATTTGTTCTGAGATGAAAAGGAAAAAAATACAACAGCAGGGGTTTCATTAAATTTTTTTTTTCCCAAGCGGCTGAAATAGGCAGCTGTGTCGTAAGGCGAAACCCAAACAAGCGATCTTACACGTAAGCTGAACAGATGGCGTTAGGAGGTCTTAATGGCAGCGTTAGACCGAAACCAGCCTTAATTGAAACCCCTGCGATAGATATGACGATATCGATAAGAATATAGGTTGTTGAGAGGAAACGGTAAAACGAGGGATAACGAGATATTAGCAATAAGTGCGGTGTATTTTGCTATAATTTTCTCGTCGGATTTTTCTTAATTATTCCAGTAATAGCATTCAGTAAATGATAGGCAAAGGTATGTATGATTTTTTCCGTAAGACTTTGGGTTTCGGTGATGTAACGGTGTATTTCGAGTGGTATGATAATGCAAAAGACGATTATAATTATACGAATTAGATAAATTTCTGTCGTATTGATTGATTGTGAAGCGCATTTCAATTATTCATATCACAGATGTGATTCAAAGATAGATCATGAATAAAATGTAAAGATCCCTCCCAATCGATTCCTTTTCCTGCCGATTTGAGTACCCGTGTACTAATTTTAAATGATTAAAAAGTCAAGATTTATATCGTATCACTAGTCAATTCGAGCCTGCGTCAAGTTCAAGTCAAATTAGATTTTTCCTTTTTTAGCCGTTAGTCTTTTCTTTTTTGTTTTGATTTGATTTCCGTGTTCAAATTATCTACCAGGGATAGAAAAACGATTTGTTTACTTTGATCCGAGACTGATTTTTCTTAAATTCTCGCCAGAAATAATGTTTTTATCTACTAAAGTGGTGAATTTCGCTAGATTTCACTTAAATACTTAAGATTATGCAAACAAATCATCATTTGGAGATACCTCGTCTCGGAAAGTATCTTGTATACTTAAGTTACCTCGAATAGCTTCGTCCGAGTAACACACACTTGTATATAACAACATAACAACTCTGAAGAAGTCGAGGTCGGTCTCAACTTTGACGAACATCCAGACGTTCTTTTAGGGTTATTATTACTCAGACAGTTGATGCGACAGCGCGTAAAATTTCGCAATACATTGCTAAAGTTGGCATGTTCGTTTAAAAAATGACTACGATTGTTTAATGGAAATGTTTTTGTTATAATACTGATTTTAGATAATTTAACCCTCTTAAAGAGTGATAAGATGTAATTTCGTTCGTAATTAATTTCGTTAGGTTCGTATATTGAGAAATCAGGATCAATTTTACCTTTCTGTCAACCTTTTAGGCTCGGGAAACCATTGCAGTCTTCCGATGGAAATAGGGTTTTGCAAAGCAGCGATGCCCCGTTTCTACTACAACAGCCTGACTGGAGAGTGTGAGAAGTTTACTTATGGAGGTTGTGGAGGAAACAAAAACAATTTTCTAACGAAGGAATCGTGTTTGAAAGAATGTAAAAAGGAAGAAGTTAATGGTAAGCGATATGTCCCCTTTGGAAGCAAGTTGGTCAGCAATTTTTTTTTTCCTCTGGCTGATCTCTCCAGAGCAAAAGATGACCACAATAGTGATGACGTCAGGACAAGAGATTCAAATTTTCTACTTGTTTCTTAGGGAAGTAATTAACCAAATCTACGTAACTCTTCTGTTGATCGTGTCGACATATGTATGTCCGTTCCCCTTTTGTTAGCTTTTACGTGTTTATTATAAATCCCTTGTAGCTTTATAGCGTTTTTAATTGAGTGTCGAAAGACCAAATCCTTGCTAATCACATCAACCAATCAGTAGAAAGGTTTACATCATCATTAGCCAATTAGATCTTAAAGTGAAAACAAACAAATTGATAAAAGGGCAAGGAAAACGCCGATGAATAATTTGCAGTAGATTTTAGTTTTACATCTGATTGCTTGAGAAGATGGCTCAAGTTTTTTTCTGGACCAATCACGGAGCGTGGTGAGGTGAAACCAAGGTAACCCCGGATTACTTTACGAAGCTCAATTGAAAATTACTCTGAGCTTTCATTGAGACTTTCTAGTTCCTTTTTTTTGACTCACTTGGTTGGTGCTAAACTCGATTAAGATTACGTGGTTTAAGGGATCAGTCGTTATTTATCGTCCACGAGAGAGAGAGAGAGAGAGAGAGGGTGGGGTTAGGAGGATTTAAGTTGTGTCACGATTAAATTTATCTGATCTCTACATAAGGTTCTGTGACATGATTCCCCCTTCATTGGCAGTCAATTTTTTACAGTCCCTCGTTATACTGTGTTGGCGACGAGTGACCCCCTCCGTTCCCCCTATAAGTTTCACTCCCCTCCCCGCAAGTGATAATTTTTGACTGGTTCTCTTAGAATAGTGAGCTTTTCTGCTGGTATAGTGAGGCCCAAACCAAAGTAATTACAATGGCAAATCCGTGCAAAGGAAAGTATGGCTATAAGCCAATGAGAATTCAAAGTGAAAACAAGCAAAACTGCCTGAAACTCGGAAAAATGTGAGTAACCAAATCACGCGCGCGATTGATTTCCAGTTTTGCATCGGATTGGTTGATGGGGTAGCCACAGTTTTCCAGTGCGAAGAAAATCAAAGCCAGTGCAGTCCTGTTTTTTCAGTACGGTTTGGTGGTTGTTGCTTTAAACCCTGCTGTAATCTACATCTGGATTTTTGAGGGTTGTCCAATACACACAAATTGAGTGTATTTGTCTGAGGCTTTGAGAACGAGGAAGGTTCATTTTGTCATTTTCCCGTGCTTATGCCCCTCCACTTCCGGTACGTTAACCCACGATTCGACTTCCGGTGAGTCGATTCGTCAACTACCGTAGCCGAATCGAGTCACATTGGGTGTATTGGACATGTGTTGGATTTTTTTCAGATTGCTGTCTCCCGTCAGATACAGGACCATGTTTTGCTTTATTTAATCGCTTCTACTACGACAAAGTCACCAAGAGATGCAAAAAGTTTATCTACGGTGGATGCGCTGGAAACGGAAACAACTTCACCTCTAAGAGGAAGTGTAAGAAAACTTGCCGGGATGTACTGTGCTAGAGATGGAATTGCTGAGCAAATATAGTTTACCTTGGTAAGCCATGTTTTAAGATCTGCTGTCCTTCTGAACACAATAAACGTTGTTGTAAACGTAACACGTTTACAACAAAGCATAACATTGTTCCACATATTATCACATAGATCAGTCGCTATTGACTCTTAAGCGTCAATTTTCGTTTCGTTTGGTTGGTCTGTTTGTTTTTAGGTATGTTGCTGTTCTCTAAAAAACGCTTTGTCATCCATTGGGTTCATAAGGGCGTTTCAGAAGTGTAGAAGGAATGATGGAAATGATGGATTTAACATTGCTAAGTTGAATTATACGAGCATTTTGATTGGCTATTACTTATGATCTATTATCGAATAGACACATAAGTGACGTCACTGTTAACAACATTTTGCCTCGTTACTATATAAAACAAATAAACTCCACGATGCCGTGGGTCTGCCATGTTTTTACTAACTGTTTTCCTCTTTATTTCAGGGCTGGAGAAGAATTCTGATGACCGTAGTGCATTCTGAGTGCTTTTAATTATTTACCTAAAGTTTCCTGAAATAAAGATGTCTACAGCTTATGATGATTGCTTTGTATTAACTAATTGTTCTAGCTGTGAGACTATTGCTTTAAATAGTGAATAAAATATTGTGCTTTTGCTGTTTAGTTAAGTGCAAAGAGTTCGCAATTTCCACATTAATTTGCAACGCTGTACTTGAAATTTCTCATTTTGCCGAACTAGCAATATTCTTCATCAGTATGCACCACACAAGTGAATAGTGCTTTTCAAGCGCACTATTTGCCAAATTCGGAAATGAGTAGCAAGTACTGTTCATCTCCTCTTCGTTGAATAATTGTTAATTACATACGATAAATTATGCTTCTTCAAAGTACACAGATTCGACGGTTTTTAACATTTTTACTTTCAAAAATAAAATGTTTCGTCATCTTGAACAACTCCACACGGAAGTAAACGTCCGTGTTCTGGACTTCATTTTGAAAATATGCGCCAATCACAGCCCACGCGGGCCATCACGTAACCCGTTCCAGAAGCCATTGCGCCGGAAGTATATCCTGCGGCTTTAAAAGCTGAAAAGAGGAAATAACGTATCAAAGAGTGTAGTGATTTCACTATAGTGATTGCACGCACTTCGGAGTTGAGTTAATATACCTCTACCTTCTTGCACCATGCTGGTACATCTTCTCTTTATCTGTTTTTTTCTAATTGTTACTGCAACCACGGAAGGTAAGCAAGTTGCTTAATATCTCTTTTTCCGTTGTTGCAATTGACGAGGAAATCAACACGTCATCTGTTTTATAAGCTCAACATATCATTTCTTGTCCATTATACAGATAGTTCACCACTTACATCAACTGAACCAGGACCTAAGAAAGTCAATTCGCCAGGTATGTAAAAATTTTTTAAGAAAACCATTCAATCACTTATTTTCATTTCTTAACAAGCTTTTTAACCCAGAGCAGCTAAACGCCATTGCTTAAAGAAATTTCCTTAAACTCCTTCATTATTGACGTCACTAATAGTGAAGATTCATTATTCGGTAAATTTTTTCCTCATCTACTAAAGAAACTACGTTCAAGGGCTAGGATATTTTCAAAAGAAGGGTATTTAAACCACTAATGTAGACAAATAATATTTTTCGTCTGTGTAGGATCAACTCTAGTTATGGCTTCAGCGGGAAGGGAAGTAGTTATGAATGGCGCCATAAACAAAACGTCGTCCCAGTGTCTAAGCCCTTTAACCCTTACGAGAAACTGGCCTGGCTTCAAATTTCTCCTAATAGATCATCCTTGAATCAAAAGCAGAGGTTATAAAACAAAGGAAATGATCACCAATTTGATAAGCTCTTGATTGTCAAACAAATTCTCCTTGTCGGTACCATAGGAAATGTAAAGAGAACAGTGTGGAGAATATGAGAACTAATGCAAGGTGTAAAAGGTTAATACTCAAACAATAAAATACATTAAACAGATGATAACATTAGTTTCTCTCGCAAACTCTATTCTGCGAAATACTGTGAAAAGTCTTAATCAACTCATTATTATTATTGTTATTTTAAGTAACTTAAAGGGAGATAACAAATCACTGGACTAGTACATTTGCGCTCTTGACTTGCATGAGGTCAAAACGGCTTGATATTCGTCTCGGAGCATGATAAGAAAAAAAATTAAAATATTCTCAACGAGAAGCCTGAAATCCAGTCACTTTGACATGATAAGCGAAAGCGATGAATAGTTCTTTGACTGAAAGCAAAAAAAACTTCTTGATAGTAGTTTTCCTGTTTTCATGTTTGTCTATGAACATGAACAGTATAATTTGTAAGCCGATTATAGTTGTGTATTCATCCTTTTTGAGAATGAAATTGTGAACGCGATGGGCTGTGTCAAATAGAATGCTAGTATTCAGGGCTGTAGTAGTTCAGTATCTTTGACGTTCTAAAAAAAACATCACTATAAAGCTAACTCTGAATATCAATCTTTTTTAATGCATTCTCTTTAGACTCGACGCCAAGAATTTTCTGTTGTCTCCCGAAGTTCACAGGACCTTGCAGGGCTGCGTTTATACGTTACTACTACGACAAAGTCACTAAAAAGTGCAAGATGTTTACCTTCGGTGGATGCATGAACAATGGAAACAACTTTAAAACCCTTGAAGAATGTCAGAAAACTTGTCGTGAAACAAAATGCCCGTCGATCGAATAGTTTCCGGTAAGCAACAATTTTGTCACGAATCCGTTCCGTGACAATAATGTGAGTAGTACCTACGAAAGATCACGCGACAACAAACTGCACATGACTGTCACGCAACGTGAAAAGAAAGTGAATAACAAAACACGTTTTGAATACAATATTTCCATTAATGCTCGTGTAAAAAAAGATACAGCACTCATTTAGTAAATTTTCGATGAGTGGCCTTTCTAGACGCAAATTCCTGTTCAGCTTTGGTGTATTTTATGGTCCTCGTAACACAAACTAAATACAGAAATTTCTTTCCTTTTCAGTTACTAAAGGATGTCCGATGAAGATGTAGAAAAAGACAGACAACTTTCATCACATTAACTTTGGATGGATTTGTAGAAACTAACCCAGAAAACCTTTAGTAGCTGATTCCAGAGACAAGATAAAGCATGTATTAATTTGTTATTTTTGAACACAAATGCACGCATGTTTGTCTACAGAATTAGTATTTTTAAACACCAGCTAAAACGAATGTAATAAAAACTCATTTTATACCATTTGCGAAATGTGTGTACCTTGCTTCTCATACATTTTTCAGTGAACGACACCAGAACTTGAAGGTGTGAGTTTGAAACAATCGCCACATCAAATGATAAATACCTCGATATCTTCAAGATATTCCTCCACCATTCCTATGCATTAACGTCAGTGGCTAGTTCACAAATGCGCCCGAAAATAGATTTCTGTCCTTGCTTGATTCTGAGTACAGACAGATGTCTTCTGCTGCAGTTCTCGACTGTATTTTCTTCATTCATAATGCTGTCTCCGTATCTTTGTTTTACACAAAAGTCCGCAACACTAGTATAGGCAAACGGTGATGATTAGAGAGATTAAATCTTTGAAAGTACATTTATAGGCGTGAGAAGAAAACGGAAAGGGTGTAAGTGATAAGATCTGTAAAAACATTAAATTACGTATCAGTCGTCTAACAATTAGACAAAGACGAAGCACAACTCACAGGAAATAAAGTTGGTTTGTGAGCTCAGTTAGACTTTTAACTCCTGTGAGTGACCAAGACAGAATTTCTCCCTACAATATTAATACAATATCAAGCAGACAAGTGACGAGAATAAAAAATATATCAATTATCATTTGATCCAATACTGAATTCTCAGCACTAATATGATGAGCAATGTATGGCAAACAGCATGGAGAATTACCACAGAAATCTTGAAAGTGAAAGGGTTAACTAGTCAATTGGCAAACAAAGCGACGCCACGCTCTCTATCCTCCCCAGTCCCCCTTCATCAAACAAACAAATCCTGTACCTTTTAAGGGTTCTCCTCCATTCCAATGGCCACTGAGATATCATCTCTGTCATGACCATGAAAAAGAAATATTTCATATGTGAGTTGATGACAAAAAAATATTATGCATGAAAAGGCAGGCTAATGCCTTAAAGCTTCAATGCCTCTCTTCACCCAGGAGTATAAATTGGTGCTGAAAACTATCAAAGAAACTTAATCCTTTAACCTCTGAGAGTGACTAGCATCTAATTTCTCCTTACACTATGACTGCTGAATCACACATTAAGGTCACGAGAACAAAAGAAATGATCAACACCTAACAAGGCTCTTGATTGTTAAACAAATTCTCCTTATCAGCTCCTAAGGAAAGGGGCAAAGAATAGTATGGAGAATATAGATTCTGATGTTAGGGTATAAAGAGTTAACAGGATGCTAGAAGTTGTTTGTGATGGACTAACATCCTATCCAGGAAGAGTACACACACCCTTAGCTTAACCCTTACACACTAACATCAGTATGTACATTCTCCATACTGTTCTCTATACATTTCCTAAGATGCTAACAAGGAGAATTTGTATAGCAATCAAGAGCATCTTCAGTTGGTGATCATTTCCTCAATTCTTGTGATCTTAATGTTCAAATATGGGGTGATATTTAAGGGAGAATTTATATTCTGGTCACTCTTAGGAGTTAAAGGATCAAGTTATACAGAACTAACTAGCAGTTATGTCAGTCACAGGCTTCAAGATTCAAACCCTACTTAAAGTAACTTGCCCTAACAAAGCTTGTGTTGTTTACCATAACTCAGAGATAGTTTAGATTCTTCTTGGCTATCATCCCCACTATCATCATCCTCATCATCCTCACTGTTGTCATCGACATTGCCATCATTGTCATCATCATCATCATCATAATTGTCATTTCTGCTGTTGGTTTCATTTTCATTACTTATGTGATCCCCACTGATATCACTGCTGCCACCAGCTTTGCCATCCTCATCACAGCACAGCTTCTTTTTCCCTGTGCTTCTTACATCTGAAGCTTCATCTCTCTCAGCATCACATTTTCCTGGGTCTGAAGTTCTCTTCACACAAGCACAAGCGTCATCTTTGGACCAGGGATTTAATTCATTTCCACTTTCAATTTTGTTTTTTTCCAAACTGCCATCATTAGTTTGTATGTGTCTGTTACCGCAATCTTTAGTGCTGATCAGTAGACTCTCCATGGAGTCTGAATTTCCATAGCCAGTAGTTTTAATTTTCTTCTGTGTCAGTTGCAAGTCCTTTTCCTTGATTTTCCTTTTCTTCTTCCCTTTGTTACATTCAGCCTTATAAACAAGCTCCAAGAATCTCCAACATGTATCCTTTTTAGTTTCATCATCAATTTGATCCAGCACATGTCCAATGTCATCAAATTCTTCACTTCTCTGTTTCTTTACTTGCTCTTCCAATAATTGTTTGAACTTCTCTCCAGACAAATGAAGGATCTTAAAACAAACATGTTACAAAATTTGACAAAAATTATAACAGATAGTTCAGCCACAATAATGCACCATACATAACAAGAAAAGAGTATCTGATCATGTGGTGTGATTGTCTGAGTAAGGGTAGTCCTGGGAAGGACTGTTGTTGGTAGTAGTGACTGACAATTCAACAACCTAAGCAGAAGTCATCATCAGAGTCTAATGAAGAGTTGTTGTCAGTCCAGCATATAAATCTGGTTCATGTAAACTGTTTGGTCAGTGTAGCTGTGTTGTTGTTGGCTATGAGACTCAAGTTGCACAAGTCAGTCATGAATAGTCACAGCATTTCATATACAGAACAATGATTTGTTGTCCTGATAACTGATCACATTAAATATTTGCATTACTTACTCTCAGAGTAGCATACAAATCTGGACCAAAGTGTGAACATCCCTCACGTCCAAAAAGAAACAAGTCATCCTTGGAAGCCACACCCTGCCAAAACAGCAAGCTGGATATCATACCAATGGAATTAACTAACACTACCAAGCTGTAATAACCTGCTGAACAGGTGCAACTTTTTTGTGCTTTTGGGAAATTGAGGGTAAGCATGAGATGCTCGGTCACACAAGAGGGGAGGAGTGGCTAAGGTTTTATTTCCAAAAAAATTACCAGTACACATGTTCTGCAGGCTAAGTTATAAATGACAAAATACTTTCCAGAAAGTCCTGTTGATGATGAAAGTATTTTCTGCAGAGGGGGGTAATCCATATATTGGAACCCCAAGAGTGACTAGCATCTACTTTCCCCTCATAATATCAGCCCTGAATCACACATTTACCTCACAAGAACAAAGGAAATAATCACCAACTAAAAGAGCTCTTGATTGTAAAACAAATTCTCCATGTCAACACCTCAGCTAAAGTATAGAGAGCAGTCTGGAGAGTATGCATACTGATATTAGGGTGTACATTGTTAAGGTATTGTTGCCATGAGAAACAGGTCCTAATTAAGTTACTTACTGCTTCTTCTAGAAACTCAAGCTTAGAGTGGAATATTCCTCTCTCCTGTTGTGACTGATTGTCCTTCATTACCTCAATAAATGCACTAATGGGTAACTCTACCTGTAAACAAAACAGATTTGTCACAAAATAATTCCTCTTACAATGTATAGTGGATATTAAATGAATGTCTCACCATGTCATATGGATTTGGTAATTCTTCCTCCACAAATCCATATGACTGCAGCAGGTGACAGTTGGCAAGGTTACCATAAGTATTGAAAATTTCCTGTCCCTGAAATAAAACACAGAAGGAAACATTAAGTAATTGTGACATGGTCGTGACTGGGAGGTTGTCTCCAAGTCTGTGGAAATACCAGTACTTCCTTATAAAATGGATCTATAAAAATGTTCATCACTTTGACCCTTTGATCCCTAAGAGTGACAAGTATCTAATTTCTCCTTACAATATCACCCCTGAATCAAACACCTAGGTCACAAGAATAAAGGAAATGATCACCAACTAAAGAAACTTGTGATTGTCAAACAAATTCTCCTTGTCAGCACCTTAAGAAATGTGTAGAGAACAGTATGGAGAATATGCATACTGATGCTAAGGTTTAAGGGTTTAAACCTAATTACATAAATTATCCTCGATCATACATATACGACAAATCCAGTTTAAATTCACCAACATTGATTTCACCTTTGGAATATCTTGCGTTGCCACCATTGTCAAAGTTTGAGCACCAAACTCCAAGTGAGCATTATTGTTACTGATATGATTAAGTATGTCTGCCATTGGCACCATGGCAGGAGCTGCATCATCATCCTCATCTTCATCATCATCATCTTCACTATCATCGTCATCATCATCATCAGGACTTGACTTATGTTCAGTGAAACTGTAGGCCATGACAAATGCTGCCATGTGTTTGTACAGAGAAAGACTGTGACAGGACTCACTTCAACCAAAAAGAAAATAATTTACATTGATTAATTCTTTAGTGATGCCCACTTTAAATTGCAACAATTTTCTTTAACCCTTTAACTCCCAAGATCTGATTGTTAATTCTCTCACTCTCACTCTTAGATCAAGAAAACAACTTCCACCTGATTAGTTCGAGTATTCTCATTACCTGTTTGCTGGATAATGTATGGACATAATAGGGAGAAGTTACATGTTAATCAATTCTGGGAGTTAAAGGGTTAATTTAGTACCAGGCTCTCAAATTCACCATCTTTCCCTCTCCTTTACAACACAATCAGCAATCTTTTTCTTCTTGATGCTTGCCTTAAAAAAACCTCTATTGTGTCTAAAGGCCTCAAGTTCCCTTTTGCTTATGAGCTGAACATAAGACCAATAACAATTAGGGTCTCTGATGGAGAGAGAGTGGGGTGAAGCCCAAGAACAGAGAGGTGAGAGGTATAGGAGAAGAGAGAAAAGTAAATGGTGGATTCATATGGGTGGGAAGCAGGAATAAAATACAAAAATGACCCTCCTCCCCACCCCCCCACCCCCTCCCTCCCACTTCCTTCCTTAACTTCCACCTATTGGTTCCATTCTTCACTTGGACAAAAATTTTCTTAATTGAACTCATTCATACCAAATAAATTTGACAACTTTCTTAAATCTGTTTTTCTTAAAAATAAAACTCCTAATCTAGGATCTATACCTGAAATACTGTGGATACTTCTTAATAAAAGGCAAAGCTGTAGTATTATATTCCTCCTCGATGCCCTGTACATCATTTTCAACATCTTCCTCAATCCCAGTCCCTTTCAGTTCTCTTTGTCTCTCCTCTACGTTCCAAAACATGGGTTGGTCCAAGACTGTTACTTCAGGCACCAGGTTTAAATATGGCTTCCAGTGAGATGTTGGATTAGTGTACTCGTACATCAATGTCAGGAGAAGAGGAGCCCAGCCAGACCTAAAGAACATTACTGGGTTATTACCAAAACTCAAGTAATAGGTGATTACAGTAAAAGCATAAAGGGGGTAAGTTTCTGAAGGAACTGTGGTGCAGTGTCAGTGGGAGAGTATAACAGGGTAATTCAGTATTATCAACTGAGTTGATAGAGGAAATTGGCCACCGTAAAGAGTTTAAAAGCTGATGTTTTGAGTGTTAGCCCTTTGTCAGAATGAAAGATGAGGGTGAACACTCTAATGAGAGGCTAACGATCAAAACTTCAGCTTTGAGACTCTTTACAATGGTCAATTTGTGTTATCAACTCAGTGCTAAAACTAAATTATACAGTAGAAGCAGCCTGGCTGAGTGGTGAGAGTGAGTAAACCTTGAAATCTGCATATGGTGGGTTCAATACCCACTCTGACCATAGCTTGAATTTCTTCCTGAGTAATCCCAAATTCATCTCCTTCACCACATTTTTAAAACAGACAACTAATTTGCCCCCTGCCAGTTAAGGTTTTAGAGATAGGGGAGGGGATACTTGGGATACTTCCTTGTTAAAGGCTAATGGGTATGTGTCACTGGATGGGTTGCATTTTCATAACTGAATTGACTACAATGGAGTTGCATTTTCAATGAAGTTACTAGAATGGGGTTGCACATCAAATGATTATCACATAGCGATTAAAATACCCCTAAGTCACACCAACAATCTGATTTAAATTTTTATTCTAAATGGTATTCTCTCTCTCCCTCCTTTCAGCACAGCAAGATCCTATTGACTCTAAAGACACAGAATGATCCAACTTCCCCCAAAAAATAACACTAGCAACACACGCGATTTCCACTAACATCAGATGTAATTATCTTTACCCTCTTTCTGATTCAAACTCATCCTCATCAGATAAATCTTCAAAAAGTTTGGAGATGGATGAAGTCTTCGGTTGCAAAACAAGTGACCGTGGAATTTGAAACAAGGATTCCCCTTCCTCAATGTTCTCCACAGCTGTCATGCCATAACGATGACAAGATCCCTTCAGTCCAACCTTCACCTAGAGGCAAAAAAAATTAAGACATAACAGCCCTAATTCCCTGCACTGTTTCCTTTCATCCAATACAATTTTGGATGCGATGAGAAGAAACATTTTTCGTGGATGCGTTGGTGAAAATTTATGTTTTATCAGTAGAGTAAGCAGCTGATTTTGGCCAACATGTTAATATCTACCAACTCTTTTTTAGACAAAGGAGGGACACTTTAGTACAATAAATGCCAGTTTTAATTTTTTAACCAACCTTTTCACTTAATTTAAGGTCGTTTCGCTCACACCAGGACAAAAATTCAGCCAATATTTGGTCCGTTTCTTCTGTATTCTCACTTGCCATTTTGATAACATGCACCACGTGCAGACTGAGAAGACTGGGTCTGAGCTAAGCAAAGCCTTACCAGGTTGAAATAAATTCAAACTTGTTTTTATCACGGTGCAAAACAAATCAAATTTCTCTTTTGCTCAAAAGATAGAATATAATGAGGTAATTTTTTTAAATTCAAATATCCAAGTGTGAAAACATCCCTTGAATCAGAGCCAACTCTTTCAATTCATATTTTTCTTAAGCCCACCCCAGACAGTACTCATTCGTCAAGGCACAATCCAACATGGCGGACGAATTAGTCTACTAATAGTATGTCACTTCTTGGACTTGTTCCGGATTATGGCAGCGATTCTAGCAGTTCCTCTGGATCTGATGAGGAAGAGAGTAAAGAGTGCGAATCTAGTACAAGTATCAATGACAACAATTCCGGCAATAAGGGACGAGAAGCTCAAATACCACTTCCATTACCATCGTTGGATGTAAGTACAGATAGTTGTTCATCTCGATCTGCCTCTAAGGAACTCAACCAGCGAGCTTACAAGACATCTTCGGTATTCTTTAACCCATTTCTTGCTGAAGAGAAAAAGAAACTATCAGTTTTGGAGAAACATGTACAACTTTCGGAAGGAAAATCTGAAAAAGACGAACAAAAATCGAAAAAGATTTGTTTCAAGTTTCAGAAAGGACGATGCAGAATGGGAGACCGCTGTAAGTTTTTGCATGGCATCGATTCAGGATCTGTTAATCCTGGAACTGAAAAACCCAGAGAGCCTAGTTTAGCTGCAACTATTTCAACTGCAGGGACAAGATACGAACCAGACGAAGGAGAAGAAAGATGGGAACCTTCGAAGAAGAAACGAAAATCAGGAGTAACCGACTCACTTGTTCCACCGAAGCGAGCTTTGGCAGCCTTCGATAAACAGCGGCGTGATGACAAACCATGGACACAATCATTGTAGTTTTGTATATATTTTAAAGGTTATGCGGTGTAAGAATCGTTTAAGCTGTTACTGAATTAACTTTGACAATAAATTAGTAATAACAAACAAAAATTAATGAATATGCGTGCTTTAACTCTAGCCTGATTCGTACACTCGAGAACGAAAGCGTGGGAGCTCAAACCGTCCAATAGTCATAATAAATAAAGGGGTAAGTTTTAAAGAAAGTGTGGTGCTGCATCGGTTGGGGGTAATTAGTTTTATCGCCTGAGTCGATGATGTAAATTGGCCACCGTAAAGAGTTTCTAAAGCTGACTAAGCGAGCGTTATGTCACCGTCTTAACTTTGTCATTCGCTCTGACAAAGGCTAACGCGCTAAAAAACAGCTTTAGAAATTCTCTTCGGTTACCATTTTAAATTTTTAACTCGTTCATAAAACAGATTAGTGGTTAGCTGATGCTCTAAGTCGTACTCTGTTATTATGGTGGTGCGAGACTGGACACTGGTGAATGACAGCAAGAAACAGAGGAGAGAGGATGGGCCGAGTCGGAAGGATATCTACCTTTCAAGAAATACAAGCTCATCACAAGCCAACTGCTATGTTTGCTTTCCGTTCCTTCCATTACTGCAACCCTCCAGAAGTTCTTGTGGTCTGCTCTTTTTAATGAGAAGGTTTTAAAATACTCCTTCACACTCTCCCGCTCAGTGGGTTGCCTAAACTCCTTCCCCACCTCACAACTATCATTTACTCTTGAAAAAGAATTTTATCCAATTTTCTTACATAATTATTAGCAGGGTGCTGAAGCTAGAATAGCCAAATCAGGGTGGAAAGTTGCTAAGATGGACGGTTCTAGATGATGTTTCCATGAACCGAACAGGGACGGCGGAGCTGGGGGGATGGGGGAGGGGGGGTGTGGACACTTTTGCGAGGACGACGTCTTATTTTGTCTTGTATAAGGAGCGGAAAGAGACTACAATCTCTTGGTACTTATGTAGAGTATATTTCAAATTTTTCTGGGGGAGGATGGCCTTAGACCTCTCTAAAAACTAGCGCCGCCAGCGCTCGTTTTCAAGCTTCCCCAAGTTGAAAATAGGCTCTGCCCTCCCTGATGAGAGAGAAATTCGTTTAACTTTCGGTTTGGGTATTTTACCTCTGATCACCACAAAGAAATTCCCCCAAAGAAATTCTAGACGCAAAATAAATGTAGAACAATGGTTTCAAAGTTATGGAAGATGCGCACGAATGTTTGTCTCACATTTTTATCACTTGATCAGTATGGTGACAAGTTAGCACTGCCTGAATAATAAATAACATAACGAAACTGTACTGTTACTAAACGTTACTTGTGTCATATTGATTTGTAATGAAAAATGTAACAGGAAAGATAAAGATGAAAACATGAAAAATAACAGTTAACAAATGGTAAAAACATAGAAAAAAGACCAAAATAAAAGAGCTTAGTTTCAGTTTCAGTTTGTGGTTCCTGTTCCAGTATTTTGCAGCTATGGTTATTATGTTTTGTTGCTGTTTCTTTTTGAGGTGACACAATATTTCTGTTAAGGGTTCGACAACTTAAAAAGGCGACGCACTGAAACTTCAAAAAATAAAATCAATGTCTCGAAAAACTGTTTCATGTGGACTTATTGAAATTTTTTTTAGAAAAAAGCCGCTGCTTAATTCATCAAATCGAATTAAGTATAAATCATTCAAATCTGAAAATATGCCTCTTCTCTCGTGCACTGTACTGTAGCACACTTTGCACAGGTCACAGGTTCTCGAGGATACCTTCCAGGTCCAGTCCCTCATGAACCACTGGCGGGCGTTCCACACTCTCAATTTTCTCATCAACAGACGACTTGTCAGTGTCGTTGTATGACTTCACTTTTGGCATGGCTGCGGGGAGCTGAAGAAGATCCTCGACGCGAGTCCCGACTTTAAAAGGCTGTGGTTTCGGTTTTTCCAATCCCTTTCGCCAAATCGGTTTTCTTTGCACATCCATAACCACAATCACCTCCTCGAATTCATCGTAATCATCATCGTCATCATTGTCATCTTTTTTGTCAAAATCATCAAGGCTTAGAATAGGAATAGCTGCTTTCTCCCGTTTGGCGACTTCAGGGCGGATTCGACTCTCGTATTTTGTCTTCTTCGGGTCCAGAATGCTTGCATTAGGAGAATTATCCAACGGATATTTCAACAAAAGATCGATTAGTGCGGTGTCATAGATCTTACGCTTTGGCTCGGGTGATTGCTTCTCTTCCATCCACTCCGGTGTCTGAATATCAGATTTTTCTTTGACGACTGCCTCCATAGGGGGTTCGTAGTCACGACCGGAAGACTTTGAACCATTTTCAGTCATACCTCGGGCTTCAGTTTGCGTTCTGCCGACTCCAGAGGTGTTGAATGGGAGTGATCGCCGATCAAAAGAGTTGAAGTCGATGCTATTGTTGCTGCCACTTTGCCAACGCATAGATTCCGTGCTGGAGTCAAAGACATGTCGAGTAAACAAATTAACTTCTTGCGCCGGAAAAGGCGAGCCTTTAATTTCCATTTTGACCTCTCTGCGTTCACTGCTCACACGTCGTACAGAAGTTGTTCTAGTTGTGGTCGAGAACATGGAAGTTCGCACCACTCGTCTAGATTGACTTTCTTGCCGTTCTGTGTGCGCCATTACTCTGATTTGCACTCGCTGTTGTCTCTGCACTGATTAAGTTTGCAAATTTCAACCTTGTTTGATTTATCTGCACTGTCTTTTTGCTCAGGCTTGATGAAATTTCGAAAAAGCTGCTGCGTTTGTTAGAGTTTTCACCGCTGTTTAGAATCCTAGCGTTTCTTCGGAATACCCGGAGTACACTTCTAGCTTGTAGACCATGGATAAACACGCCCCTGTAATGAAGGAAAGGACATTAATAAAAGAAAAACGAATGTGTAATGACAGCGAGCTGTGAATGATGCATGCAAATCAGTTTGGAATAACACGTTTTAGAAGCGAACAATTTAACATTTGATCACATTGTTTGCAACGCAAGCACTCACTTTGTCCTCGTTTGCCAAGCCTTGCAAATTTGCAACGGTTGTCTTTGCGTGTTAAAGCCCTGCTCAAGAATTATACTTTTAGGCCGATTGGAATACGTTTTATCAACAAGCAAGGCCCTTATGTTATTTTGAAATCACCAGGGAATTGTTGTCTGGAAGGTTAACCCCATCTATTGTTGTTCTATTCTTGGTCTGACATTGGTAGGGATGTTAATTTGAATGCAGTCAAAATTTAATCCTAGCATTAGTTTGAGGACAAAAAGAATTTCGAAGGCGCTGGTCTAAAAAAAAGATAAAGTGAATCTAAGAAAGTTTGAACATTTTAAATTTTGTAATAAAATATGTGCTTATTGTTCATCGTAGTGTAAGATAGGAGACGAACTTTGTTCGTTTGTTTCATGATAGACTCACGATAGACTCTGTCGTGAGACAAACGAACAAAGTTCATCTCCTGTTTTAAATTTTGTCTCGCAAATGGTTCAAATATAGTGACTTCCGCTGGATTCGAAAGAAGTTAAGCGGATTTTTATCAGTACTGTTGTGAAGAATTTGCAATAAACTTTTCAAAACATTTGACTCGACTTCAATCTACTCTCAGAAATGATACCTCCCGAGCTCTAAGGGAAAATGACTTATGGCAAACATTTGTTCTGTGTGCTGCTACGAGTCAGAAAACTTAGTAATTGAATATCAATTAAGCATTGTTGTTTGTATGCAAATAAACTCCCTCGCTATGCAATTTGACTGCTGTGGAACTCGTAGAAGCTGACGATAAGATTCCGCTTTGACTGAATATGTTAAAGGGGTTGTAATTAATAATTTTCAAGTGGTAAGTTTGAGCTCAGTACAACACTCGCCTTGTCTTAAACTTAGAATGAGCAAGCGTGTTAATTCGCGAGGGGTCCGGGCGTGAGGGTTGGGGACGAAGTTATATGTTGGGTTCCCTCGATTCCCAGGATTCTCTGAATCATAGATCCGTGACTTGAGAAACGTGTGGAGATCTGGAGCGAGCCTCGACTCGCAGTTCCTTGCGAGACCTCTAATAAAACTGCGTGACTTCGGTCGGCACCGAAGAAGGAAGAAATAAGGATTGGAATGTTCTAGCAGAATGCTTGTGAATGGAAACAAACGTGAAGCATAGGCGACGCCCGCCCACTTTTTCAAGAGGTCCAGCCTTGAATATTCAACATGCCGTTCTCGAAAGCTTCGTGATACTTTTGGTAGAATTAGAGAATTCAAGACGTCAGTTGAAACGAAATGAAGGGTTTTTAACCCTTTCACTCCCAGTAGTAACCAAGACAGAATTTGTCCCTACAATATCAATACAATATCAAGCAGACAAGTGATAAGAATATATAAAAATATCAATTAGTGGGTTATCACTTGATTCAATAACAAATTCTCCCGACCAAAATTACAAGCAATGTATGGCAAACAGTAGGGAGAATTACTAAAGAGATCATGGGAGTGAAAGAGTTCAGCAAGTCTTGGATGTTTTTCTAAAACCGCTGATTAACCTTGATCCAGGTTCAGAATTTATCCTGGGCCTCAATACTGTTTAGTGGGAACGGTTCAACCTGCTTTCGGTTTAAGGAGCTTAACACCAAACAAGGGAGAGAGACCACAAAAGGCTGACAAAAGAAAATAAAAAAAGTTGATCCAATCATGCATCGAACAATCCAGAGTTAAATCATTTCAGTAGTAAATCATAGTGGATTAGACAAGGTTGAGTTACTTTATTGTTAACCCTCAAAGCCTTTCTGTTCGAGATTAAGCTCAAAGCGTGTCTTAGAAGCACTTAAGGTGAGGCACGATAATCACGACTTAACCTGGGCAGGCAGCAACTTTTAGCTGACCAGTGGAAACAGGTAAGTGATGAAAACCAGTGAGTTCCACTATCTAGCAAATTTGGCCAAAGCTTTTGAAACAAATGAGAAGCCTTAAGGGTATTTGAGGTTGAACTGTTTCATCGGAACTTATATTTTGTCAACTATTTTCTGTTTTGTAAACATGGAAAAGACGAAGATTCGATGGCAGATTTAAATGCTTGAAGACCAGTCCACTTCCCTACCAGAGTCATTAAACAATTTAATGTCATACATACCTACGTGATGACATTTTTGGTTTTGGCGACCGCACAATCTTCGAGACTTTTATGAGATAATTTATGGTTTTCAAGTTGTATACACCAACAAAAGTAATTTAAAAAATGCATTTCACATCTCCAGAATCTTCAGTTCTTCAAAAAATGGTTTAATGAATTTTAGAAACCGCTAAACACTAGGAAACAGCTCAGAGAAAAATTTATATTTCTTGTTACTCAACTTTCCTATTGTTTCTGGTTTGTTCTAAAGTTCACGATCCTTTCCTAAACAAAGACATGCATAAAATCAATAAAAGTTAGTTGTTGATTTTTTAGCTCTTAAAAATTTTTTTCAAAATTTGATTTGAATTACAGAAAACAGAAATGGTAAAGATAATTACTTATCTTATGTTTTTAGTTGGTAAAATTAAATATATTGTGCAGCGGACACATCGTACCAATTTTTTTAAAATTACATATAAATATTCATAAATTGAGCAACCCACTTTTGTTATAATTATAACAAAGTTGTAAAGAAGACCTCGTCGTATATACAACATGTCTGCAAGAGTACCTCGGTACGCCGCAAGGAGGTCGGCGGTGTGGTTTGGAATTCCTTTCGGTGAGCTTTTCAATCATTTATCCAACCTTTTTGAGATAAGTATTTAAGTAAAGTTCATTACTGCGTAAGATTTATGCACGATTTTTTTTCACTTCATTATCAAGGTTTATAATTACTGCTATGGTAGTCGCAAGAACTGCAAGACTTGTTCTTCTTTGTCCTGCATTTTAAATGTAACCTCGTATGAATCGTTTTACTTTAACTAAAACAGTACTTTCAATTCTGCGACTGAACTAAATTTAAGAACGATTAAGGTATGATTTTAAGCGAACATTCCTGAATTGATTCCTCGACATGACCTGAAGTTAGGATATAATTAGAATTTGGCATATGAGGTTTACCTATTTCTACCTGAGTTGCGTAGCAAAATTTATTTCCAAAAACTATTTTAATCTTCATTCAAAAAAAAATAAACAAACTATGAGATTACTTCTTAAAAGCCGTTGCTCCTTAGATGCTTGCGTGAACACAATGCTGTCACGGATGATTTCACGTGTAAATCAATCAAAGAACCGTTAAGCAATAAAATTTGCATGAAAATGTATTCTATACATGAAGATTATGGGCGTCAAGGCACAATGATGCGTGTAGATCTGGGAACTCAAAATGAAAGTGCCTAAAAATTTCACCGCAGTGGAATTCTTAATACCATAACCACGAAATTTTAACAGCATCTGATCGCGTGTATATGGATAGTTCGTGGACGCCTCGTAAATCCACGTAAATTCAGCATTCTATCGGTATTTACACGTGGTCCGCCACGTCAAGCTCATTCGCAGATTTTCACACGCTTCATTGGTCGCTTCTGTTGTCAATTAAGTATCGAAATTATTCAATGTGCTTTCACAAAACCGCGCCTTTTCAGTTCAGAGTACGACGAAAATCGAAATATAAAGTTCGCGTGTATCACGGTACGATCACGAGATCACGGGATTAACCAAAAAACCCCTGGATTATAGGGAGCACTTCTTTCCATACATCGGTTATTTCCACGCTTTTCGTCAGATTGTAAATAAGGAATATTCTCGTGATTTACGATGAAAGGTAGGTTTTAAGATCCTCATCCGTTATGCACCTTGGACAGTGGATTGTTTTGCCACCAGAAGAGTTGCAAAGTTTAAAATCTTAAGTGTTTCAGATTCTGGAGCGAGGATCTTTGCGGATCAAGGAATTTTCGACACTTTATTTTGATTCTCACGCTGGTGTACAATTGTGTTTATAAGAGTCGAAATCGTTTTATCCCGCTGGTTTTATGGAGGCTTAGATATACTTTAGTTCTTTGCCATTGCTTTCTCGGTAGGAGCAAGTCAGGAGAATTTTTCAGAGAACATTTTTATTACGTTGGAAGTCTTTTGGAAGATTTAAATCCACAAGATCGTATTCGCTCGCCATATGGCACGATGCCTCCGGCGGAAATCAAGTTATCTGTAAGCGAAATACACATTTTATGCCGCTATTTCGAAAGTTACTGCAAAAGCACAAGTTTTAATGTTGCATAGAGCCCAAATTTTCCATAACCAATTGAGTGAGAGAACAGATAAATGACGCACACGTTTGATTAGAAAGAGATATTTCGAATACTACGTTTATTTTTAGTCTCCATTGTTTGCGGTGTTTTTTCAAACTTTCAAGATCGATTTATGCTTCACTGACGACAGCTCAAAATCAAACATTTTACAAGTTAAAACAACGTCCAACTTAATACGAGACAGTAAAAGTTTTAAACCCAAAAGTTAAAGGAGAATGAAACTTTTTTCCATGTCGGAGAGTGTAAAATTGTATTAGCTTTACATCTAAGATGATTCCGCCTTATTTTAATCTCCCCTGATCCAATATCTGATGGGTGAAGTGCCGTCTCAGTTAAGCACTGACCCTTTGGCGCAGGCGATATCAATTGACGTAATGTTCGCCATAGCTTCACCACCTCACAGCAAAACCTTAAATTAAGACACAATTGATATTAACGACTATTGAAATAAACGTGATAGAATTTCAGAAGCGGATATATGGATTGTTGGCACCCACTAAAAATATTTGTTTGTTTATCCACTCACGTTTATCAAACTAATCTTGAGTAAATAGAATGAGAGAAATGGTAAGTTTTGAGCTCGCTAAAGAAATAGAAAAAGATGTATTCGTCTCGTCCCTACGAGGAATCAAACCTCAGACCTTCGGATTCCGCGCTCCGATGCTCAACCGCGAAGTCTCTGTGGCTCAGTGGTAGAGCATTGGAGCGCGGAATCCGAAAGTCTGAGTTCGATTTCTCATGAGGACTCGGAATTTTTTCTTTGTCCTACGCTCGTGACAAGACAAAAAAAAATCTTTCTCTAATCTTAAGCAGTTTACAATACTCCACTGAGGTCCTAAAATTTGGAATTCTCTTCCAATATCAATCAATGGTTCGACTAGCTTTTCTACATAAAAAAAAAAAAACAGATGATTGAATTTCAAATGAAATGAGTCTGAATTGGTCAAGCTGCACATCCACAACCTAATTGCAAACATATTAATAACCAAGCTAGCCTCCCCCAGAAGCCTGAAGATTTCTTGTGGGTCTCCTCCCCTCTACCATACTATTGAATTTTTATAAATGTTACTTCTGAAGTGACTAATAAATGATGATGATGTTAGTAATAAAAATGGTGATGACGTTTGTAATTTTTTTCTCACAGCTTGTTTAAGGTGGTGTTGCCCGTGCTGTTTACGTGGCGAACCCGAAGAAAAACCGCGGGTTAAAGTCGCGTACGGCGCTGATAAAGACTTGAACGCAGACGAAAACATTAACTTACTAAAACCCGAAGAGTTGCCGGAAGACACCGTGAAAGAAAACGGAAGCACAGTGGTGAAATCTGATAGCGACGAAGAAGTTAAGGACGACGAAGGGGATAAAAAAGACGAAGGAGATAAAAAAGACGAAGGAGATAAAAAAGACGAAGGGGATAAAAAAGACGAAGTAGATATTGAAAACGAAGACGACGATACTATGTGGTACACGGACGAAAACGGACGGCGCGTACGACGTGTGCTGACAACGGTGACAACGACTTCGACGAAAACAACATCTGAGAACGGTGATGATGGTAAACACCTTACGAGGGATATATTACAAATGGAAGGTAACCATGGAGGAGTTGACAAAGATGAGGATGTGGAAGTCAGGGAATTCGTCGATGAGAATGGCCGGAAAGTTCGACGAATAATTAAGAAGACGATTGTAACAACAACAACCACGAAGAGAACGACATCCAACAACGACGGACCCACCACTAAAGAGATAAGCAGCGGAGAAGTGCTCCTGCAGTTTGGCAGCAAGCCTCCAGCGGATGAAGTGAGTAAGATCAACTTCGACATCAAAGGGCAGCCGTTTGGAAACCACGACCTCAAGTTTACGACCAGAGGCCATACGACAATCAGTACTGAGTCAACAGGAGGAGACAATGTCGGAAACAGCACATCTTACCATCGGTCGGTCTTCACCAAGACGATTGGAGGCGGAGGAGGCACGACAGTAGTCGAGCACTCTACGAAGAGTTCCGGTCATGGCAACGACCACCCGATAACAGCTGTGACGAAGGAGTCCCGTATTCACGTCCCAGAGTGGATGGAGAAAAAGTCTTCGCCTGAAACAACACGCCGAAGCCATGGAACTTCAGACATAAGTGTTCACCTAAATTACCCAAGAGATTTCACAACCAAGAAGGAACCAGAACCTGTTGCTAACGAGAGCAAGATCCATCCTCAAGTCACGAAACGGGACAAGCCTGTCATCGATATTCTTAGTCTTGAAGACGTGGTCAAGGAAAAAGAGAAAGAGAAAAAAGAAGAGAAACCGCCATCACCTCAACCACCTCCCACACCAGAAGACGAGGAAGAGGAAGAAGAAAGTGAAGACGAACAAGATGAGGAATATGATGAATTCGAGGAGGAGATAGTTGTACTGGAAGTACGAAGAAAGCCTCGCTACCACAGGGGACTGGAAATTGCCAAAGATGAACCCGAGAAGGTTGGGATCCCCGTGGAGGATCTACTAACAGTGCCAGTAATAGAAAAGGTACAAGAAAGTGCCCCTATGGATTTCATTGAAGAGGAAAAAGTCGTAGCTGTGGAACGCGAGCCAGTTAATGAAGGTGCTTTTGACTTTTTCAGTCTTGAGTGATAATTTTCAGGGAACGAATGTATCATTAGAAAATCCTATAGCGTCATCACAGTAAACATAAGCGAACTAGGACCATAACAATTCACATACGTAAATGGCAAAAATTTAAGTTAAGCTCTTTAAGAATATTTGGGAAGTGACATTTAAAACGCTGCTTGATGCCTATCATGCTTTCCTGACCATTATTAGAGACACTAAGGGACTAGACGGGTAAAGATTTCATATTTTAGCCGCGAATGCTTCATCGATTCACCTCTGACATATTAGCAATTTCAAGTGTAGCCTAACTCTGTTGCGAAAATTTTTTATTCTGTCAAAGTATGATAATAATTGGTTTCCAAGAGGGGGATTAACTTTTAAAATAAATACCCACCCACATCCTGTCGTTGATACAAAAGTGAATCCCCTACCCCTCCCCTGTCAAAAAGAAAATTACAACAACAGAGTGACTTTCCACGTGACAGAAATATAACATTGACCAATGACAACTGTCAAAACTACCGAGGTAATCACAGAAAGTACGCATGCGTGGGAAATGTGTGTGACAAAGTTTCCGATCGGTTTTAGTATTGAAAGCATGTAATTGGCGAAAATAGTACGAACTCAATGTCAGCCAATCACAGCTAAAGTACTAGAGGATGCTTTGCTGTAATCAATCGAATCATTTTAGAAAGTAGGCCACTTATTTCTTAAAAGTTATCGGGGACATCTTGCAGTTAAATTGGTACCTAAATTGAAAATATTGCAATAAAAATCTCTTCAAACTCTTGATCACCCTCGTAATAACATTTTTTATAACTAAAGCGGACAAGTGAAGCCAGAACAAGTCATCCGACCGTTTAAAAACCTTTCATTACCACTGTTCCAAGATGTAATTTTCTTAGTTTTCTGTCCAAACAAGCCGAAGATGGTTGTAAAACTTAGTCGAGAAACGTCTTTATAGGTCCTCACACTTCTCTCTCATGTCCATAGCATGTACCTTGTTGTTTTTTCCTCACTTTTCTGATATAAATCTTAATTCTTGGTTTCGATGTACAGCGTACATCTGTCTCTCGGTGAAGGAAACATCACGACACGAAGACAAAGGTCAGATGAGCCTTCGGTGACTAAAAATTCGGTTCAGCGGAAATACAATGGACAGTCGCCTTGAAGTACGCCCCAGGTCTCTTCAAAAAGCCCCACTACATCTGCAGAGAATGGAGAAAGTACGGTGTTGACATAATTCCTTGTGGAGACAGAAGCGTACCTATAATACCACAAATATCCACTACGCTTAAGATTCTTCGAATAAGTACTTTTTAGGAACCCGTTCGATTATGCTCCACATAATTTTATGGTAAACAGAGGTTGCTGGTACCTTCATGTAAGGGTGGGTGTTTTGTACTCTTAAGATTTTCCTCCAAGTGTTTCACAGACGAGGCTCCAATAATAACAGCATCTGAAACGGGAAAACCAGTAGCACTGAAATGAAATAGAACAAGGTATCTAATTAGGGCGGAAAGGGGAGGGGGGGGGGAGGGCTCGTAAGAAACCTGAGGTTTTAAATGGGGAGGGGGGGAGCTTACGAACTGGAGGAAGACTTCGGTGTCAGGAGCCTAAGGGGGACCTATCCCTTTCTTTCCTAGTTTTTTACTGGTTTATGCAGGGGAATTAAGACGATTCCCAGCAAAAGTAGGAGATCTGCACAAAACATCATCTATGCCTCTGTCCCCCTACAGATCATATTTAAGTAACATACAAAACGCGTGTATGATTTAACTTATTTCAGGTTTAGCGTTCATCGGGACACACACGTTTTTAGTGTCCTACTTACAACACACGAATCTAAAATTATCTGTCACTACTTGGGCCATATCAAGAAACTATCGAATCTGGCTGGAAGAATGTTATTGGAACCAGAGTTACCATGGTACTAGAAAATCAGAGAAAACACTGATAGTACCTCCACAAGCACCGTCCATCTTTGAGTGATGGTACATCCATCTGAGAGATGCGTCAATCAAAGTCACTTTTCCTTCACCATAAATACGATCCAGTGTTGTTCTGAGTTTGTCAAGTAAATCAAATAACGGCCTCTTCCAAAAACGCTTCACGTAGCTGGAAAAAATGTTGATTTGAATTGGCCAGTGTGTGCGAACAACTTGGAAACTCTGACTAATGAATTGGGCCATTTAGTATTTTGTAATGCTGACGGATGTTGTTGCTTGAACAACAAGCACAAGCACTAATTAAATGCGAGCTAACCACCGTAAGCGTGTGCAGAAACAAATCCTCTATAGCTCAATGGCAGAGTATAAGAGTGTACAATCCGACCAGATTACGAGCAAACCCTCCCTTTCGGCGAAATCTGTCGCGCAAGTCAAAAAAATAAGCGAAAACAAAAACGATATTAGCGCGACGCGCGGAACTCTTGTGAGTAAGTCCACAGCCCCTACTTTTCGAGCGCCGAAAGGGAGAGGCTGCTCTAGAATCCGACCAAGATCTGCGCATGTTGGCTTATACGCTTGTGTGGTTGCGAACCAGCTTATAAAATGTAATCTCATAGAATCTTTGTTTTATGTCTACACCAGAATATCTTCAATAATATTATGTGACCTCCAAAATAACTTCACCATGTAGGTGAATAATAAATATAGATGAATAATAAATATACGCGTGATAACATAGAAAAACACCACAGAGGCAATAATAAACCATGGAGAAACAAGGATGAATGAAGATGGAGAAGATTTAGACGGATTATAAATCACAGACTTGAAAACTGTCAGGTAAAAGGTTCACGATCATTAGATGCACAAACGGTCGGATGAGGCCCAGTGGAAAAACACCCTGGTTGTGCAGTCACGAAAAGCTATTAGCACTAGTTGACCATCGGGAAATATTCGGAAAAGATTCGGAAAAAGCTTCGGGAAATATTCGCCGTGAATTTGTAAGCTAACTTACACATCAGCCCACTCGCCCGTGCCAGCATAGCGACCATGTTGAATGTTACCGCTATCTCTGTCCTCGTAGCGATGTTTTCCCGTCAACAGTCCACCTGCCAACTGCAAAAAAAAAAAAAAATTAATAAATAAATAAAAATAACAATTTCATTCTTTGTGTAAAGCAAGACTCTAACAGCATTCATTCCCTACATTCCCTTTTATTCGCAATATCGAGATTTAGCTTCTTTTTTCTTCACTCTTTGGGGTCGATGGGTTGATGCCTTAGCTGAAGTTCTTGCCAAGCAATACTTACAGGGTTATACGCATAGAATGCTATTCCAAATCTTCTCAAGCATGGAAAGAGTTCTTTTTCTATATCCCTGAAAATAATTTGTAGGTCTGCATTAAAACACATATCAACATATCTCTAAGTTAACTGAAAAGAAAATATCACTAACTTTCCCTTCCCCTTCACACTCCTAAAATCTGTACCCATACATAACTTAACAAATGCTAAAGGCTGGTTATTTACATGAAGTCTGACCCAAACTGCGGTTTTACTTAAGTAGTTGGCTTCAGGTTTGCTCTTTAATAAATATCATTCCAGCATTAACTTTCAGCCCCTTTGACACTGTTCACAAAACTAAATGTTCAGATAAAGGGTCTACCTAAATTGAAGATAGTTTAGAATGCGGTTTTGTTAAACAACGGCTAAAATTTGTTTTAATAATCAGCCCTAGAAGTCTAATGGTTTGAAATTGAAATTTGACCCAGCACCAAGGGCTGTAAACATCATTAGTCAACCAACCAATTGAGATTTCTTTTTTTCTCTTTTTTAATGCTTTAACTCCCATCAGTGACCAAGACAGAATTTCTCCTTACAATATCAATACAATATCAAGCAGACAAGTGATGAGAATAAAGAAAAATATCAATTAGGGGATTGTAAGTTGATCCAAAACCAATTTCTCCAAACTAACATCACAAGAATTGTATGGCAGACAGTAAGGAGAATTTCTAAATGAGATCTTGGGGGTTAAAGGGTTAAAGGTTAAAGGGTTGCCACACGCCTGTTCAGTAATAAATCCCAGCTGACGTCAAAATGCAGTAAGAACAAAAAAGTAACATAGGAGATGCAGTGGGGTGTATCACTGATGCTCTTACCGCATTTTGACATGAGACTGAGATCTAGTACATGACTGTAGAAACCCACAGCAACACAAAATCTATTTGTTTTTCTTGGATAAAAAAGCTAATGTTGTTAAAGGTGATGTCATCTATGTGTCTGTCCTCCAATAGATTATAAGCAAGTACAAATCAAAATGGATGTGTAATTCAGCTTATCGTATAACATGCGACCCATTTACACATGTTGGAATCTTTTGTGTCAGTTATTCTCTCAGAATGGTTTCCTTTGTCTGGGTGCCTCAGTTGCAACTGAACCACTGTAAATTTCAGCCAAATCTCCATAATGTTCTTTTGTATTTAATATCTGCTAAAAATCTTAATTACCCCTCACCTGGTAACTGGATTATACATCCCTTGATACACAGTTGGTACTGGGTAGTTGTTCATCCTGCACAGGTAATAAATTTCTGCCTAAATAATCAGATCAGGTAAAATAAGGCTGATGGCCCCCTAAGAAAATGCTATTTAGATGTACAAAAATGGATTTGATGTCTTTCCGGTTGGCTATCTAATGTAAAATGAAGGACTCAGAAAAGTTCTTTAACCTATGAAAACTCTTACCACTTGCCATGAAGAATAATTGGAGAGACCAAAAGATTTAAATTTGGCATCTGTAAAGAGAGGAGAGATGTAGACTATGTAAAATAGCAGTTACCTCACCCAAATCTGAAAGTCAACGACAAACCATTTGCCTGTGAGGTGTCTAAATCGGACCCTAGTGTCTCAAATCTGACACCAGCAACATCCAAAACCAGGCAATAGTGTATAAATTCCAACACTAATGTCCAAAATTGAATACTCATGTCTAACTCAGAAACTAGAGTCTCAACTCAGATGCTAGTGTCTCAAATCAGACACAAGTGTTTAAATTCCAACACTATTGTCTAGAATTGGACACTTATGCCTAAAATTGGACACTAGTGTCTAAAATAGGACATTTATGTCTAAAATCCCAAACTGGTGTCTAAAATTGGACACTTGTTTAACTTCACTGTATCACAGAAAGTTTTCAAGTTATGGAGAAGCAATTTGAATAAAAACAGTTGAGAATTGATGAATTTCATCTACTCCTACTCAAAACAGCAGCACTTATAACTACCAATCCCTCATTTAGTCAGTACAACCACAGTCCCCTGGTATAAATATACAAAACAGTACTTTTTAGTCCCTTAATTACCTTTGTAAAGTTGATTGACAGCATGGAGTGTCTCCTCAATGGGTGTGTTATGATCTGGTGCATGGAGGTAAAAGAGGTCCACAGAGTCTCTTTTCAGTCTTTTAAGAGATTCATTCAGCTGTTCCAACACACTGTCATACTTCAGACCTAACAAGATGATCAAATGTCTTCATTATCTATGGCATGAGCCTTCCATGAGGAGCTGAGTAACATTGTGTAGCGTTTGTTAGCATTATTTATCAAAATCAATGATTCGATATCCACTGGATAAGCAAAGATGAGGTATGAAAATTACCTTTTCCCCAAGGATTTGCCTTTGTGGCAATAAACACCTAAATTAAAACAAAACTATCTGTAAGAAATCAAGTTCATTCTGTATTGCATCAGACACTAGAAGTTGAACTTTTTATCATAAACTCTATCATGTTCAATATTTATACCTTGGAATCCTTCAAACAGTCCATATCTCCTATAATCTCCTCACTCTTACCACCACTATACCTAAAAATCAAGACAAAAACTACATAACTGTTTATATTCATTTGGGAAGGGTTTCATTTGTTTGTGCACAAATGTGGGACAAAGTATAATCAGTAGGACCCCCCTAACTTGAATGCAGTAAGCTTGAACCCCTCCCCCTTCCCCTCCCCCCCATAACCCAAACAATACCTGATTTTTCTTGGATTTCACTCCATTATTCCAGACTATCAACTAACTTGAACTCCATTTAATCAAAACTCCATTTACTAGCTAAGACTTACACATAAGCAGTGTCAAAATCATAGACATCATGTTCCATGCAAATATTTATAAACTGCTTCGCCTGAAATTGAAAAAAAAAAAATAGAAGAATATGTAAAAAAATTAAAATGAGCATATCTGTTTTGTTAGGATATTATCTGATGAGAATTCACACTTGAACTTTTCATAAGGAAGGGGCTTTTATAACAGAGCAGGCATGGATCTGAGGATTTTTAAATGAAGAGCAGGGTTAAAATTTTTACTTACTCAAAAAACAAAAACAAAAATTTTTTCCACCACAAATTAATTATCTCGTATAACGTATATGTCAATAAAAGAAGGTCCGTCAGATGTCAGGGGCTCATGCGAAACGGATGGCCTATTGTAGCATCTTCCATAATAATATTATGAATTATCTATCTATGACCACACCTGATCTGCAGCACACTGCCTTCCAAACTCCATGCACCCAATTGATGTTTTGACCGGAACTGCAGCCATCTGAAAAATAAAAGACAAATGACACTGAATATCGAACACTGAGTGGCAATGTTTTTTGATGGAAGGGACACGAAGATACTTACAGAACACCGTTTCTCCTTCTACCTTCATAGCCACTGCCTTGCATATTTACATATGCGTCGGTCGGTGTACTTTGAATGACGAGATTTCTCACTGGTCAAGATTGTTCTTCAGCGAGATGGAAATAAATGGTAAGGATTTAGGGGTGTGTCTATATTAAGCTCCTTTTAAATCGTCAAGAAGTTATTGAGCCTTTTTTGTAAGGTCAATGAAATGCGCAAAATTTGACGCGCACGAAAAACATGGCGGATCACTATCCATACATCTTGAACCGACTGTCGCGCAATTTCTTTGATCAAAGTCTGATGAAAGAGTCATACAACATAACTGGGCAAAAGAGATCCAACACGTACCTTTGTGAGATGACGTGAAAGCAGTCTACATACTGTTAGGGAACTGAGCCGACAACCAACTCGACACAACATTGCGTGACAACAAATTTTCGGACAGCGTGATAAAAATACGTCATGACACGAAAGACAAGTTACCAGGCCTTTCCATTTTAAGTCGAAACAGATAGTGGACTCTAAAGGGCTCCGCGTAATTTGAAGAGTAGAACTACTGTTTACCTCAGATTTCCTCTCAGAAGATCCCAGTGATAAAAATTTTTGAGTTATTTAACATTTTTAAAGCCATTTATGAACATGGCCTCTACTCCTGTGAAGACGTCGATTGGATGCATGGAATTTGGACGGCAATGTACTTTCGATCAGGTATAAAAAAGCTAAGCTCCCAATTCTTTACTTGTCTTTTTATTTTGAATTAAGACGTTTAAACGTTCTCAGTTTCTACCTAATTAGTAGTCATTTAAATCATTTGATTTCAGTCCAAAGAGTTTGTAGAAATCTGTATGAAAAATGATGTGTACGATTTCGACACAGCTTACATGTAAGTATACTTCTTTTATTAATTTTGTGTATCAGTAGTTAATCCTTTATCTCCAAAGATCAGAATGTAAATTCTCCCTTCTAGCTACTACATATTCTCTTGTAAATTAGTGACAAGAAATTGGTGATAAGTTTGATTATTCTCATTATCTTAGTGTTTGTTGGATGTTGTATGGATATCTTAGAGAGAACTGAGTTACATGTTAATTACTTTTGGGAGCTAAAGGGTTAAGGACATTTACATCAGAAATTTAATTATTTTTTATGTAATTTGTGTTTTGGATCAGTTTGGCCTTATGTGAAAAAATTTGTGGAAATTTTCTACATTACAATTATAGTTTTGTTACCCTTTTTCGCACAGGATGATCGACATGTCACTTCTTCCTGCAGTATAATAATACATTTAAGGAGATGAGTAATGGGGAAAAATGACATGATTAAATTAGGGTGTGGTGTTTTCATCTAACACCAGTTACAATTTAATGGCATGTGACTGAAATATAGCTCTAATGAAGTCAGGTTGCATTTTTTCTTTGTATCATTGTAGAAAATTTCATTTAATCTCTTTCATCTCAAAGTTTCTTCTGATTAAGATGTTATAGCAATGGAAATTGATGTATCTACTACAGGTATGCTGGAGGGAAGAGTGAAGAATTTATGGGAGAAATGGACATTCTTAAAGATCCCAAGGTCTGTGGTCTTACTATTTGATTAGTCATTGATATATTTGGGTGGGACACTAGGAAAGATGATGATAATTGAAGAATATTTCTGATGGAGTAGCATCATTTGAGGAGCATGGCTCACAGGGCACCTTAAGAATTAAGCAACTTAAGAGTACTGCTTCTCTATCTGAGATGCAAGTTCATAACAACAAAACACATTCCTTCAGACCATCCAGCATGAGGGAAGGCATAAGTAAACCTATCTCCTCCCCATTGGGGTAGTAGAACTTCCTTTAATGTTTTCTCTTGAACTATGATTCACTTTTGGGTGGCATGACGTACCTTTTGAGTCCTGGTTATTGATCATTAGCATAACTCCTTGACTGTAGCTATAGGCACAAACCTGGACTTGCTGATCTGGGGTTTGATACCAATGTTCTAATTATTCCTTTTCTCAACTCTGTCAAGCCATTTTTCTTTCAGCTCAAAGGTAAGCAGCAGTGTAATCCTCAGCTGAGTCCTTTACCTTTTGATTCACCAGGTATTTCTTGCTACAAAGGCTAATCCATGGAGTGATAAAGGTCTGTTTCAGTATTGATAGACATGTATGCATGTACAATATCTCTGGTTCTTGCATTTCCATGAGACAAAAATGTGGAACAAGATTTGTAAAGAATACTGGTCATAGTCTGTTAATAAAAAATGAGGGGACAAACTTGGGATTTGGACCTGTGTCCACCTGATGGAAGATTTGTGCACTCAAAATGTGGTCTGCTTATCACAGGATTTAGTCTATATGTCTGATGTTAAATCTCAAGGATACTTTTCTATTTCATCAGGCTTGAAGTATGACAGAGTCATTGAGCAGATGAATGAATCTCTTAAAAGACTTAAAAGAGACTCTGTGGACCTCTTTTACCTCCATGCACCAGATCATAACACACCCATTGAGGAGACACTTGAAGCTGTCAATCAACTTTACAAAGGTAATTAAGGCTAATTATTGCCTTAAATCAATCAGATTCCTCTTCACTCATGTGTAATGACTATTTTTTGACTTAAAATGACTTCTTCATTATTGATTTCAGAGGGAAAATTCAAAACTTTTGGTCTTTCCAATTATGCTTCATGGGAAGTGGTAAGTGACATTTGTTATCGGTCAATTGTATTTTCAGTTGAATGTCTTAATGTGCTATTTATTTCAAGGTAACATAATGTTCTAAACTGAGATGATGACAGTGTTATACTTTCTGAAATATAAAAGAGTTCAGGAGTTTGAGTGATACGGATTTTTTGACCCTTTACACCCAAACATCAGTATGCATATTCTCCATACTGTTCTCTATACATTTCCTAAAAGGCTGACAAGGAGAATTTGTTTAATAATCAAGAGCTTCTTTAGTTGGTGATCATTTCCTTTATTCTCATGAGCATAATGTGTGATTCAAGGGTGATATTGTGTGGAGAAATTAGATGCTGGTCACTGTTGGGGGTCAAAGGGTTTATATGTTGACTTACTTTCCAAACAACAAAATGTTTTGTTCTATACCTAGACTTTCACTTAACAAAACGAGCACTGTGATTGGTTGATTCCTGGTCACATGCCCTTGGTCAAATTCAAATATATCCCAACCAGGATACAATTGTGCAGTTGTTACCTGTGTGCTGAATATAACAGCATGTTTTTGCCGTATGATTGTTTCAGGGAAAGTCTAAATATATAACAAAGCACTTAATGTGTGGTCCTTTGGGAAACTAGTTAGTTTTGTTTTCCTCAAGTCCTAATGTTTCCCTCAACTTTGTTGCAAGAAACATCAGGACTCTCAGGAAAACAAAACTAACTGTTTCCCTGTGTATAATGTGTCATGGAAAATTGCTGCAAGAGGTATTCTAGTATCCGTTTTAATGACAACCATTACAGACATTATCAGATGTGTTTTAACCAGTATGGTGTCTTTAAAGGCAGAGATTTATTACCTGTGCAAGATGAACAACTATCCATTACCTAAAGTGTATCAAGGAATGTACAATCCTGTTACAAGGTGAGAGAATATGAAGAAGTTTAGATGACACTTTTGCATGTCAGACGTGTTACCCTCAATTCTCTGTGTACCATTTTTCAACTTTTTTTCTTTTCAGGGATGTTGAAAGAGAACTCTTTCCTTGCCTGAGAAGACTTGGAATGTCGTTCTATGCGTACAACCCAGTATGTAGTTTTTGCTCATTCTCGCACATCGTAGTTCTTCCAAAATTTCACTCGTCGTTTCCTTGTGTTTTAGCTCGCAGGTGGACTATTGACAGGGAAACATCGATACGAAGACAGAGAAAACGGAACTATTCAGCATGGCCGTTATGGAGGCACGGGCCCGTGGGCCAAAATTTCACTCGTCGTTTCCTTGTGTTTTAGCTCGCAGGTGGATTATTGACAGGGAAACATCGATACGAAGACAGTATGGACGCTCTCGGCGGATTATTAAAGAATCAAACAACTTCTTTCACCGCTTGGAAAGGAAACTAGAATTAAGTGTAGGCGTGGTAAGCAGCTTTGCATCGAAGCCAAATCAAATTTGTCGCTTTAACTGTACATTTTCTTTTCAGCTACGTGAAGCGTTTTTGGAAGAAGCCGTTCTTTGATTTACTTGACAAACTCAGAACGACACTGGATCGTATTTATGGTGAAGGAAAAGTGACTTTGATTGACGCATCTCTCAGATGGATGTACCATCACTCAAAGATGGACGGTGCTTGTGGAGGTACAGTTTTTGCTCTCTCTATCGAAGCACTCTTTTTTCCACATTCCTTGCGCATTGGAATGTCTTGATGTAAACTTTAGAAACAGTGCTAGAGGAATCTCGAAGTAAAACACTTCTTGATGATTTTAGGCGGCTTGTTTAGGTAATATTTTGCTTAACTTGTGGAAAATTTTCATTGACGGAGGCTTTGGGTATCTTTCAGATGCTTACGCCCGATCATTGTCGATCGTAATTGCATGAATGCCTCCGAGCGTGTAAACCTGTCTCGTAATTGTCCTGGAAAATAATTTTCAAAAGATAGGAAGCTGTTTGTTCCTCCGATGGTTTAGAAATGCTGTTATTTTACGTCTCCGCAAGGGTAAAGTTCTTTTTTTTTATTTTCAGATGCTGTTATTATTGGTGCTTCGTCTGTGAAACATTTGGAAGAAAATCTTAAGAGTGCTAAACATGGTCCCATACATGAAGGTGTGTTGAAGCTTAAGAATGATACTTACCGAATTATTTTTCATTGTTATGTCTAAGTGAAATTTTCAATTGAGTGTCGAAAGTAATCCTTAACTTTGCTCTGAGATCGGAACAAAAAAATCGCGCCAATGTTTCAACCAATCAAATGGAAAATTAAAGCCCATCACGACTTGGTCGCCCGCGTTTTCCCGCGCTTTGGGCAGTTTGGTTGTTTTTACTTTGAGTTCTCATTGGCTCTTTAATTATTTTCCTTTCTTCTGATTGGTCGTTTTGATTTCACGACACTCAGTCGAAAAGTCTCAGTCTACTTTATAGTATGACGACCACGAATCGAGAAGCCCTGACTTCGATCCACTCAACGTACTGAAGAAGATGTAGATGACTAACGGTGTGCGTGAACTGAATGGTTCTTAGATTTACATATGACTACTTTATTGTTCAAGATGCTTTAGCTCTGGAAATATCCTGTTAAAGTTACTTGAAACTATCTTGGAATTTTCTCCAATAAAAGCTTCTCTTGATTTTCCTTCATGTAGATGTGGTCGCATTATTCGAAGAGGCCTGGGGCCAAATTAAGGGCGACTGTCCTTACTATTTCCGCTGAAGTGACCAACTGAGGGCTCATCCGGGAAGAGTTTCTTCAAAGGAACGTTATGGCGAGAGGTTCTGATCTTGACAAGGACTGAGTAGAAATAAAATTTATTAGATAAAAGCTACTTAACTTTGTTGCATAGGAGAGATACATCTCTGTCCTCAACTGCTTTCTTTTTAGCCCAAATATGTCACGAACATGTTCGGTTAAAGATTAAAACTCCACGTTAGAAGTTTTCCCTGTGTTTGATTGGATAGTAATGCCTCAAGTTGGTTATGCATTATTGTAAAAGGTTTTCCTATTTTGCACGAATTTAAAGGTTTGTTCGACTTCACGTGTCTAACTGAAAACAAGCTCTCCCCTGGGTTGCGGTCTTCCTACTCGCTTAAAACTGGCAAGAAGAGCCTGCTCGGAGGTTTCTTGTGGCAAGGTGCTTATGCAATTGTTTGCAATTTAGAAGTGAAGAATTGCCCAACGAATACGTACACCAAAAACACTTCGAAACTCTAATTTGTTATACTGAGGTTCAACCATGTAAGCTTCGCGAGGATTCTCTACCAAGCTGGCATCTATTTTTACTGAGCTTGAGTCAATTGTGAAAAGAACATTTATGCAGTAGAACAAAATCTTAACTAACAAAGAAAGAGGAGGCTGAATCAGACATTTCGAAAACATTGACAGCCTCATAAAAGGCTAAGTTAAAAAAAAAAAAAGTTAAATTTGGCTCGTAGTTAATTATAAAATTGAAAATGCAACAAGTATAGTTCATACACTTCGGGAGTGAAAGTATTCTTGTACAGGTAAAGCTACTTTTTTCTATCACTTTCTCGATATGCATTATGTCTTAGTCTAACTATTCTTTCTAAATATCAGATGAAATTTGAATTTCTAATCTTCTCTTCCGTTAATTCTTTCATTATTCCACTTTTAAGCTCATAATTAGAATATGAGCTTAAATTTTTAATCGTCAAGAACAGAATTTAGAGCGAATAATCTAATTGTTTTAGGATAAATCTTCTAGTCGTTCAAACTTTATCACGCGAATAATAACACAAACGGGTCACGTCTCAGCCTTCCGACTTAAGTCGCTATCGACCACATATTACATAGCATGCTAAATGATACACGCCTTTTGATTAAGTCCAGTTTATGATTTATTGGAGGATAGATGCATCGCTGACCATCAACAAAGTTTTGGTTCTTTATTATGTAAAAAACAAGAGAAATGGATGGGTGTTATTGTTTTCTCTTGATAAAACAAATAGATTCCATGTTTCCGTGTGTCTGTTTATTAGTCGGTCACAGAAAACGTCGAAATTTTGTAAGAACATTTATGATACACTCGGCTGCACCTTGTATGTAATTTTTTTTTTCCTAACCACATTTTGACGTCACCTTTGATCTATTAATGAACAGACGCAAGGCAATCTGATCGCAGCATTTGCGATCGATAGCTAGTCTGATTAAAACCCCGTCCATCCAACGTGTTTTCGAAACGCTTCTGTTTAGGAAGTTTTTCCTTAAAAAAAAAAGTAAATTCGTAAGCCAGTATGAGCTGAAACTAATCAACAACTATGTCTAGCTGTGTTTACTGCATTTCTCAATTGAGACAGGGAAAAGGCTGTTAAATTAAAAGCTTTTATCTCTCTCGTAATATATGTATCCATATTATGAACAACATCTTTTTGGATTATTTGTTGAAAGAAGCGATAAGGATCTGGAGTGTTTTGAATCCAATTCACGTGTCTTCGACCGAAAAATTTAATATTGTAACAGACAAACGCCCCAAAACGTGACTAGTGTATGTAATGATCAGTTTTCACGTATCAAGATATAACAATAAAATTGAATGTGAAGTTATCAGTTCCTCTGTTTCGTCAGACAGTGCTCTCTCTTTAATCAGTGACGTTGTTTTAACCACAACCGCAGTTCTAGCCTCAGGTTGTTTATTTGATTTCCCATGTTATTTCACGCCATATTAGCACAGGCCTTCAGAGAGCACCAATCCCTGCAGGGTTACTTAAAAGAGTGAGGGCTTCTGCTCTCCAACTGGCGCCATTCCTACAGACATCTGATTGAGCATAGTTTAATTTTTTTCATCAGACATTGTAATAAGTGCCGATCATCTGTCTACAATCGTGGCTTTAGAGGCATCAAAAAACCACTTGTAGACCGGCATTATCTATATTCGACCTCTTTCAGAATGGAAGATGCACAGCAACCGGAAAAAGCATCTTATTTGTGTCAATCACCGATTTGATCAAGCCCTTCCATTTTGTCGCTAGGTCAAGCTTGTCTACAAATACAATACGAACTGGGGCTTCAGTATATCTGGCTTGTGTTGTTAATTCGGAGCACGGCACGAAAACTTTGGAAGGAAGATTAATTGCACCACGAGGTTAGTAATTATATTTTTTAGTATTTCTCGACCGCTATCTATGTTACAATTGCAATGACCCTGTTCTCTCTATTTTAACGAGAACTTTAAGTGTCGCCGGTAAAGTCTTACCATAGTTTAACAAAACTGCGCTCTACACGAGCTTCAATATGGCCAAAATATTTATCAAAACATTGATTTTTGTGCACAATTTTAAGAAGGTTAATTATATAACCTCCAATAACCCACTTCAAAGTAAAGTTTGAGTTCCTCAATCGCCAAAAACCGCGGCCTAAGTCAGACTTCCTATAAATAACTGGCCTTCAGTTTTCTTCAGTAGTACGTTGATTTATTTGCACTTTGAGTACTTTCGCTGGCTATAAGCCAATTGATAATATTCCTTTTGTGGCCCAACACGAATTACTGTTTTCAATGTATGGTCTTTTTCTAAATTTTACTGTGAGTATTTTAATTGTCCTTTGTCTCGTTCTTGTTCTTGTTAATTATGTAGTTCCTTCGGCCCCACCTCCTCACGTATTGCTCTTCCTGTTCCTGCTTCCCTCCTTGTTCCGCTCTCTCAAGTACTTTTACTCGCCACGATCTTGAGGCAGTTCTCTAAAATTTTTGTTAGCCGAATAATTTTCTTGCAGCCTGTTATATAAAAATTGTATGAAAATTATAAGCAGGAGTTGTACATGGATGACCTCAGCGTGGAAGGGTGATGTCTGTACAGTGACTTAAGTGGGTCTGTTTTAACTCTTTACTTGATGTTTTGGTAACTGAAGTGTCTACCTTTAAAGATAGCGCTGTGTCAGTGTCTCATGTACAAATTTTTAGTTAGTTGTAGAGAGTAATTTGGGATTGCGTTGGTTTTCTGGTTAACTTCGCTCTGTGATTGATACAGAAACGCGTTTTACCCACTCAACCAATCAGATGTAAAATTAAATCAACCGCGTCTTTGTCACTCGCAGTTAAGCTGTGGTTTAAGCAATTTGCTTGTTTGTTGTTTGAGTTTTCAATGGCCCCTTAAGATGTTTTTTCTTTGTGAAAACTTCCTCCGGATCGGAAGACGCCATATCAGTCTCTATAGTAGCACAGCCTTTGAGACTTTCTTTGTGAGACCTGCACTGATTACAAAATTGTTCATCGCGGTAATCGTAAAATAACAAAGATCTTTCGTTGAATCTAATACACAAAGATGTCTCTCACCAAAGCTAAAATCGTCTACCCACATTAACCAGATATTACAGACGGTAGCAGAACGAATAACCTAGGCGTTGACAACAGTCATTCATAATAGTTTCAGAGGGTGAAAACACTCGGCGGACTTGAAAAATTTCAACCGCAGGTAATGAAAGACATTTCTCACTGACTTTGGTTAGCAAAGTCAGGTCTGGCTTTCAGGTAACCATAGATCCCATCATAGATATATGAGGGCAGCTTGTAGCGGTTCTGGGCGCAATCGTATCGTGTCAGTTCCAAGACAAGGCGCTGTGGGTGTGGTAAAGTATCAGTTTGATCGCAGAGTTTCTCAGTTATGAAACCAAAAATTAGAACCACAGAAATTTTAAGAGATGACGCAACCTTTTTATTTAAAAGACAAGTTTCGACAGCTCCTCTGGCGTCTTCAGTTTGAATTAAAGTAAAAGTTTAGTCTGTAATATTACACAGTGCAGACGTTGAATGGGGGTTTCTACGTGACGCGTGATGAAGCCCAAAGTTAATTCGTGACGCGTGAATTTTACAGAAATGCGGGGTGAGATAAGGATTAAAGTTTTCCCTTTTAAGTTCGTGACGTGTGAAATGCTGTTTAAAGTAGAGGTGAAGCGTGAATTTTTCTAAAGTTTTAGAATGAAACAGAATCAGGAGCTCCCCCCTCTCCTTTGATGGTCTTTGCCACCCTCAGTGGAAGATGATGATTATTCAGTGAGTGACACCAGCTTACTAGGAGAAAAAAAAAACTCCAAATACTCCCAAAAACTTTGCAAGCTCTACCACCGGGCTACAGGAAACTCCTGGTAGGGTAGGTCATTGAACTTCCTGCATACTGCCAGGATAGGAATGTCGATATGAGATGCTTTCTGTGCATTGTGTTGGGCAAGGAAATTAAAGTCGCGAAAAATTTCATGTGCGAGTTTGTTGTCCTAAATGCATGATGGTAAGGTTTTGTCATAATTTTTTCTAAATAGCTGGAAATAACTTCGGTGGGACAACTAAAGTGGATTTTAGGTAAAAAGTAAATACACGAAGTTCTAGGAGTGATGATGGTGAGATTTTTTGCAGTGGCCGGCAATTCTTGTTTAGCTATAAGATCGTTAATCGGGTTTTTGATAATGTTAATGTTTTGGTTAATGAAAGTGAGATCTTTGTCAACTTTGGCATAAAAAGAGGTATCAGAAAGTTGCCTAAAAGCTACTTTTTGGTAGAGGTTGGCCCGCCAAATGACGACTGCTCCGCCTTTGTCGGCCGCTCTAATACGTGTCTTTGCGGTTTTTTAGACTTTTGGCACGAATAACAACAGTCGTTGTTTGTCAGCCGCTTTAATAACTATGTCTTTGCGTTTTTTTTAGACTTTTGGCACGAATACATTGTACCAAAATAGCTGGACACATTCTAGTCAATATCGTCAGGAGTTCATTTCAAACCAATGACCAATTTGGAAATTTCAATTGCGCTCGCTCAAAATGCAAAACTTGTCCTTTCATTTACAACGTAGATAAAATGTCGGAACCCAAAAGATCCATTGCGATCACTGATCACTTCACGTGCACCTCCGCCAATGTCATTCACTGCATTCATTGTCCATATTGCAAAAAGCTATACATTGGTGAAACAGGGAGACGACTTGGTGACCGATTCCGAGAACACCTTCGCGACGTAGAAAGAAATGACAAGGACATATCCGAACTAGTCGCAAGGCACTTTAATCTCCCTAATCATTCTAGACAGCATATGGCAGTTTGCGGCCTTTCCCTACGCTAGGCAGTACGGAAAGCCGCAAAACTCTAAAACAAAACTTCAAATCGGCACTCTTAATCCCAACGGTAACAACGAGCGCTTTACATTCAATTAATTTATTCTAAATTTTGTAATTTATTCTTGTTCTCTTGTCACTAGATTTCCACCGATGGCGTAGCTCCATTTTCTGTATATAAACCCACACACAACCCTGAATTCCTCCAATCGCCCTGATGAAGGGCTAACGCGCGAAACGTCAGCTTTTAAACTGTTTACCGTGGCCAATTTACGTTAGCAACTCAGTCGATTACTGACTAAATTACCCTGTTGTACTCTCCTACCCACGCAGTACCACGGTTTCTTTAGAAACGTACCTTCTTTACCAACCTCCTTACAGGTACTTTCGAGTCCGCCCAAAATGTAATTGCTCATTTTAGAAGGAATGAGAACGTGTTAAGAAATTATTTTCTATTTTGATTCTTTACGTAAATCACGGTCAGGTTAGAAGCAGCCAGGACAGATTCTATGATATCTTAATTTCACCGTTCTCTCCCGATTCAGTCTGACAAGCTTAAAATAAATTAACTTTCAATGGCTAAACAACTCTTTTTTGGAAAAACTCGAATTACTCCCTTCCTGATTATTTGCATCAACTGTAGCCGAATTCATAGTTTTTTAATTTTTTCATCTGTTTTTTTATCTCATTATCGCATTTGCGCCAACATCAGGGGGTCGAATTCAGTCCAAAATTTCCACGTCACGCACTGATGAATAAAATCCACTTCAAATTTATTTATTTTCATTTGAATATCTTGTTGGATGTTGGTTCTTATAACTATGAAGATAGCAAAAATATTTGTTGAGGAGTCACATGTGGCCTTACTCGAATACATTTGGATGGGGCATATACCACAGTCGAGCTTTCCAATTGTAGCTTCTGTTTCAGTAAAATTTTGTACCAGAAAAGATCAATTTGAATGTCCTTAAGTCTCTCCTACTCATTTTTATCTACACTTTTCCTTTGAATAGCTAAGAGCTTCTACTTTCCTGTATTTGCGTGCGAAACACCGAATTCGTGACAATACAGGTTCGTAAGGGGTACTTCCTTCTATTGTGAAAGAAAAACAAGGTAAGCGGAAATCCGGTTTTACTGTTCACTTTGTGGGAACCAGTCGCTTAATCAGGCGAACGTGTTTAATGTGATGGTTTTTAATAACAAAGGGACGGTTGTTAAAGTTTGGTAGCTGAGAATATGGATGAGTCGGCGACTGTCAACTACGATCTTTATATCAAATTTTATCATCAATCCAGTGTAGAATTTGTTGAGACGTGGACATTATCCATTCTAGGCAAAACAGACCTTGCCCGGACAGAATTAATTGTAGTGATTGCAACACGCAAAGATATCGCATGTCAGATAGATGGCAAAGTTCCCCATCGCGCCCTCCTGCGGCACCCATGACTAAGATTTAACGAAACCTTTCCTGAAAAGCCTACATTGGCATTATTTTGCCGTTGTTCTTAACATTAATTTCTACGCAAGGAGCCAAGTGCACTTAAACTGAATCTTTTCTTGTATTCCTTTCCTGGTTAACCAACCCTTTCTATGCTCGATCCCTTGTTACTCAATAAGATTAGTTAGTGTTTCAGTATAGGGTTACAAGAAGGTCAAAGACTACTGCTGATAGATCAAGTTATCACGGGAACGCCTTACAGGGGGGGAGGGAGCGGGGGGGACGGATACATGTCACTCACCCCTCTGGTATAGCAAATTAATGATTTGTAAAATCAAAACAACCTGGTATGTTCCTTAAAACATAGAAAGACTCGGATTGATTAAAGACCCCTTTGTTGTGAAACTCTTCTTGCAAGCTTGGAAGTGCAAGTTGTTTTTCTCGATGTTGGTAAATGAGATCTTGTTAAGCCACCTTGCCCTCTGGTGAGTTTCGCTGAGCTGAACAAGAGAAAGGGCAACATAGTTTGTCTCATGATGATCATGTTGCACAGTATCTAGAGAGAATAATTGTACGATATCTAGCGTTTGCTGTTCAAACTCGCATGACTCTCATAAGAATTCGTGTGGTACACGTGTTACCTATGAACTTAGTGTATACGGAATCCACTTACAGTTCTTTGTTGTCTTTGTTCTCGATGTCGCGCCGCATAAGCAAGCAACAGAACATTAGTTCTGCCAAAAGAAGTCAACCAGAGCCCTGGATTGCTTCACTCGGGTCTTCTCCTCCTGAAAGGCTCTGGATAAATACTTAACAAACGAGTTAAGACGAGGTATAATTATACTTTACTCTGAGTGGGGCGACGTTTTGGCCAACAAGCTGAGGGTTAACGGAGTCGCCTGAAAGTTGCAGTATCTAAATGAGATGAGATCAATTTCGGAAAAAAATTGAAATGTAAATCCTTTAGCATCAAATGCAGCTTGAATTTTCTTTCTGTTTAGGGAGTCTCCTCCTCGTTAATTTATCGCTGAAGGGCGGAGGCAGGGGGGAGGGGGCTGGGGGATTTTAGGGGAGATCCCATGGTTTTCGAGGGGGAACGGAGGGAGGGGAATTTTAGTCGTCACCAACATAGTATGAAGGGGGGAGGCTACAGAATATTGACCGTCAATTAAGGAGACAGGTGAGAATAATATAGAACCCTATAAGGGGATTAGGTAAATTTCATCGTTTCAACCGTTGATGTTGTAAGGAGAAATAAGATGCTGATCACCCCAGGGGGTCTCTGGGTTAATAAGGTTAACAAGGTGTTGCATTTTATTATTTCAGAGTAACTTTTGATTGATGCTTCTTGGAATACAACGAAGTAATGAACAAACGCATAAAATTTTTATAGGGTGATAGCCAAGACTAGAAATGTACCTGAAATAACACAAACGGATAACAACCAGCCAGCGCTGGCTGTCCCTGACACAAAAAGGCGGGGAACAAAGGCATAGCGTATCACGTGCGTGTTCTAACACGAGCGCGGTCCGAACACAAATGCAAATGCACGCGTTCTCCCTGTCCCGCGAGTTTTCTGAATTAACACACGATCAAGCCGACAAAATGGAATATCTAAATGTCTTTCTTTCACCATTCATGCCTTGGTTTACATTGCATTTGTCAAACCTCACGCCATGAACACTACTTTTTTCTGTCATGTTTTTATCAAGATGTTTGGTTCACCAGTTACCAACTCTGATTCGATTGATCGTACGCTTTATGCCAAAACATTACCATGGTTTTCGTTACTGAGCAGACCAAATCGTGACAATATTTCTTTTCAATTTTTTAAGCCTACTAATATCATTTGCTCAAGATTTTCACCAGAGTATTTCTGAGTTGGGTGCCTCCTTGAAGCAATATCCACGGTGGTCCTGGCAAAATCTCAAAACACGAGATTGCTGATCGCAGCTTTCCTCAGCTAACGGAAGTTTTGACGGAAACTGACTTTTAGGGCAATCAATTATTTCTACAGATTACCCTTGGCCTTTATTCAAAAACGTTGTGATAAGTACAGCATGTGTATAATTAGAACATCGTGAACACGAGGCGTCAGGGAAAGAAACCAGAAAGAGATTAGAAAGAGTCACTCAATAATGCTCTCCTTACATTTCAGTTAACCTTTAACTCCCATGAGTGACCAAGACAGAATTTCTCCTTACAATATCGATACAATACCAAGCAGGCAAGTGATGAGAATCAAGAAAAATATCAATTAGGGATTATAAGTTGATCCAATACCAAATTCTCTAAACTAACCTCACAAGAACTGAGTGTGGACAGTTAGAAGAATTACTAAAGAGATCTTGGGAGTTGAAGGGTTAACAGTGATTGTGAGAATTCAGTATCGATTCGGAACAGCGACTTTATTTGTTATTTTTCAGTTGCTCTTTTTTTATTTCTGTTCGCTTGATTACCGTGAGTTTTGTTTAAATTTTTTACTTTCGCTCTTTTTCATAGTTGTACCAATGTATTTGTGTCAGTGTCTTCTCAATTAAGGCCGATTAGGTTTTATCAGCTGGTGTATACTGACGCGTATGACAAAGATTTGATTCTTACACCAGTATTCTACGAAGGGCTTGGAGAGCCGAAGACGAAAGCTTTAAATACTTCAATTTCAGAGTTGTTCCATAATGAGAAAGAGGAGAGTCATGACTATCATCAAGGGAGGTGTCTCCCTTTGGAGTCTAATTCAGGTGCAGATCCCTGATTGGAATATGCTACTTTTATTATTCAGAAAATCTGAGAGTGAAACGTCTTCGCTGCTAGGATAAACCATGACCTAATCCAAAGTTTTCAAACGGTTTTAAAAAAATTCAGACGAAATCTGAATGTGCTGATTAAATAAGAAAAGTAGTTCCTTAGCTCTTGTTCCTTTTCCCGTAGCACGTTTGATTAAACCTAACGAAGTGAATATCCGTTCACGTTCAGGCCATTTTGAGAAAGAGAAAGCGATGACATTTGAAAACCCAGCACCGGAAATTACCGAGATAAACAACGTACATCTCGGTCCCTTTTCAGCGGATGTAGTCAGCAAGTATAATGTCCAACTTCAAGCTAAACTCTTGACTTTCCCGGGGAATTTTTCAATTCTCCAAGTTGAGACTCCATTAAGTCACTGTAATTTTGCAAGGAGCGTTTTCGCGGTTTCTTTGCGATAAAAGATGCTATTTCCTAAACCGCCCCCTCAATGCGCACAGATGTGACGTCAAGGAGATCCCGCGTAAATCTAAAGTGACATGGCAATTCTAATATTGTGAGACGTGATTTACTGTCAATTGGAGGAAATATATAAACCAATTATGTATCCGTGTCAGTCTTTTACTTCGCGTCTTTGATCAAATAGAGACAGTGACAAAGCCATTTATTCTAACATTCATCTGTGAAGAAGCTTTACCATTCATCTCATTCTCAGACGAGTAAGTTTCGTATCAACTAGTTCTCAAATTTGCATATTACAGTTTTGTTTTAAAATTATCGGAATGTGTAACTAATTTGTATGTATGATATTACAAAAGCCATTGAACAAATTATCTTATGTCTAAGATTTGTAGGTTTCTTCTCTTCCTTTCAAATAACTATGTTCTCTTGGTAAGATGTTAAGCTGGAGATAATGATGGTGTGACAGTTTTCGAAGGTGAACATAATAGCTTTCCGGGCAATATTAGGTGACCAAATGATATGGAGTGCGTGAGGTTTTCTTTTGAAATCGTCTTTTTTTTTTAATTCATAATTGAATCTCTCTTTATATATTGTAATGATGACGATTCAATATTTTGGTAGTGATATTAGAGCATAGCGTACGTCATCTATATTAAACAGATTAGGCAGGTAGTGATTACTCCATTTAACCAAAAACCGATCGTAAAAATGATAATTCAGCGCGGGCTCTTTTCCCGATTAGTGGCTATTATCAAGTCTAAGGAAAATCTAGTTCTTGATTTTTTTTGTGGGAGGGAGGGGATATCAATCCAAAGATTTGCATGACATGCAATACTGAAAAAGAAAAATACTTTACACTTCAAGTCCGAGCGCGAATCGTCTTTCAGTTGACCGTCGTAGGAAACTATTCTCACGCTTGTGCCCAGTGCTCTTTACAGCAATCTGTTTGGAGGTTTGACACCTTACCAGGAGCCCATCCTATCCATGTAACAGGCTGGTCAACAAATATATGTAAGCTTCTAGGATTTTTCGGTGAATATTTCCTCTCTTCGCGCTCGCAGGCGGAAAGAAGAGAGGCCCTGGCAGCGAGATAAACATAGAATGATGACAGGTAGATGTTTCGACAGCGGACCTGGTACAATGTTCACACCAGGTCATGGAAATGGATACACAAATTCGAGGTGATCAGCGGAAATGTTTTGATTGATTTATTGATCCGCCTCTAAACCTACCGGCCAATTTGTTTATCCAAAATATAAAGAATTAAAATAAAAAAAATAAAAAAATTTGAAAATGGATGATTCTGGTATTTTTTTTGTCCTTTTTGTACTTTAATCCATCACTGAAAGAAAATTTAAATGAAATAACATATGGTTCGGAATTTATTTTTATATTAAAGAGTCTTTGCGGAGGTCTTTTTTAAATTTTATAATACTCGGCGGGAAGTTTTTTTCATGACAGCACGGAATATCTCGTCCATTATATCAATGTCATTTTATTGATTTCCATTTAATTTTAGACGTTACGATCATCTAAGCTTGCAAGAACAGTTATATGAAGAGCAACCTCGAAAAGATTTCAGAATTTACACAAATTTCGGCCAACTTTGAAGATTATTGGGTGATATTTTCCTGATCTATGAAATCATTGAACACAAATTTCGTTCATTCAGTATAAAAGAATTGCAAATTATATTTGTTCTGATTTTAAAACAGGAAAAGCCAAAGAAATGAAAGAAATCAGAAGGATTTATTAATTCAAATTCGTTCCCAGGGCCTCTCTAATTTTTCTGAATTAAAACAAAATCAGTTTTTGAGTTTTCCTTTGAAGATTAACCAGTTTTGCAGGTAACAGGTTTTGTCAGCATCCTTTTGGATTGATCGGGAAATCAGTAAAATTCATCGGTAACTGAAAAAAAAATTAATTTAAATTTATTAACGAACACCGATCAAGGCTTCTTTCATGTGGCTTCATTTTTTTTATTCTTAGCTGTGGTTTTTAAGTAAAAAAACGGGTCTGTGAGCCAGAAAAAGATTCAATACTTTTGGAAAAGCTCCAGCTTAAAGGTATTTCCTGTTGTGATCGTATCATATCTTTGGTATTTCTATCCAGGGAACCTTGATTTGACATCAGGATTAACCGGAATTTTTCCTCGGTGATTGCATCAGAAAAGAGAGAAAAAGCACGGCGAGAAAAGAAAAATATATACACAATAAGAACGAGCCACCTTTGTCAAATAAAGAAAAGAAATTCTTAATTATTCGACTGATAACAAAGAGCTTATTGAACTAAGTGAAAATTACGGTGATTAAACTTTTGAAATCTTCGTGCTACTTGTCCAAATGAGGTAGCTTTGACGTAGAATTGCCAGACGACCAATGAAACGTGATATCAGGTGACAGGGTTTATATATTAATGCACGGAAACGGTTTTCATTAGATGAACATCAGTAACTCTGGGTGTTGCTTGAAAATCTTCGCAAACAAGATTTAAAGCTTCTCTTTAGGGGGCGAATTTTTCAGTTTCACGAAAAGTAAGTCACATGCGCTTTTAATTAATGCAAACTATGAATTTGACTGAAGTTTGTATGTGCAATATTCATGATAGTACTCTTGCCCATAAGAATTGAACTATTAATTGTGAAAATCTGTCGACAGCTGAGCGACTTCCTCACTGAATCCGAAAACGTTCTGCATCGTATTTTGTACCTAAGAACTAGGATATTGAAGATTTATAGTGCTAACTACCGACTGCCATAAAAATGTCGAAATTTTTAATGTTCATGTTTCACACGAACGACGAAAAGGTCGCATCGGAGTGGAGCTCTTGGACGGCGATAAAACTACTTTAGCGTCTGTAAAATTTGTTTTAGCTCAAAAAATCCAGCCATCAGTCTATTTCATCTATGATAAGGTGTTTTCATCTACGCTTTCCCTTCTGATCTCCTAGCAGTCGAACGATTTTGAAGATAAATGTATTTCAAGTTGGCTTGTTTTAACACACATCGGCACAGAAATCTTTAAGATCTTTTACATTCCCACGGGAAGTTTCGTCGAATTTCCTGACAAGAATGTTTTTTACAGTGTAAGCTTAGAGTCAGTAGATTTCTTTGTATGTATTTTTCTCTCAATTTTATCCCGTTTGTTTGGTCTTTACTGAATATATTCTAGCGCGAAGAATATGCTAATCGAACCAGTACAAGATCGATGTCGAGAAAACATGTAGACATTCAAAATCCCCTTTTATTACCCTCATGGTGTGTACAAAGCATTTTTCATTTAAACAGGGCTTTAAGCCGAACAAATCGAGCTAAAAGAGAGCGTTGAAGTCTTCGTTCTTTGTTTGTTTATCACGGTTCGCTCGACAGATATGATAGATGTTTAGACGTATCCCTTCGTTCGTAACAACATATTTATTATTTAGTATTTGTTTCTTGAACTTTTGCCCGAAAATTGAAGATTTAGTGCCTATGTGCTGTAAGGGCTTTTAAAAAGTCATGAAGTTGAGCTATTTTCGCCTGTTTATTTAAAACTCTTGCGTTGTAGCTATTGTAGATAGCTAGTTTTTGACGCAGTTACTTCGGCCTCGTAAAATTCTTGCCTGTTATTGGTCAATTTGTGGGCTGGACTGGGGGTGTGTCAGGGGGCGTTTTGCGCGATGATCACGCGCGATGAACACGCGCGATAAACACCCGCGTGCTCTTATCGATGAGGTTCCCAGTCGCGAGTTTGTTCCGAAATACATCTGGTAGCTCTGAATAAGTCTATTTATCTTTTACTTGAATGTGAACAGATGAAAATTTCCATAAGAGACACATGCTAAAAGGAGTTATTTTAAATTCCTTGAAAGGAAGCAACTTGTCAAAAGGGGAAATCAGAAAGTGTGGCGTGATGTTACTGCTTCTGCCCCAGTCTTTTGGGAGATTGGGCCATAAAAGGGTCTAAAATAACATGCACTTTCATTGGTCAGTATTTATCTCCCTACGTCAGCTGACCAATCAGAATATGTTTACTAAGTGCTTTGATAAGCGTTTTGCAAGTAAAATTACTCCTAGCACTTTCATCACCCCACGAAACCATTCGCCTCGACTTAGTTGAAAGTACAGAATAGATTGCTTCTTCTCATTCCTAGGAACACAGTAAAGGAGAACTAACCAGTTAAAGCCTCAATGGCCCTTCATTTGAAAGATGAGTGGGAGAATTTTGTGGTGGAACAGCTTCGAGGACCGTACATGAAAGAGTTTGGTAATCTGAAGACGGACGGCGAGCGCTACAAGTTTTGCAAGTATATTTTACGGTAAGGTTTTGTGTGCCTAGTTTCGCTTAAATTTGATGTTTATTCAGCAAGCACTTAAGTTTTCAGCCTGGGGTTGTCGTTCAAAGTCCTAAAGCGATGTTTTTAGACCTTAGATAAAGCTCTCAAAAGCTAAGATTTGAACTAGACAAACAAGGGAAATTGCAAGATGCCGGTATTGATGGAAACTTCTGGTGAAGGAAGGAATTTATCAATATATTCGTTCTGTTATCAAGATCTTTCGGTTTTTTATTGAGATATTTTTGTTTTTAATTCCAAGCAGCCTGTAGCATGTATATTTTATTTCGGTTTAATTCGAGGAACGGTTTTCTTCGTCACAGTAAAGAACCGAACTTAGCAGGGAAGTTCTGTTTATTCATCTGGGTTGAGCCTGAGTTGAGTCTTGTTTGCTTTTTCAACAATTTCTTCGGTTTGAAACTCGTATTTTTAAGACATTTTCTCTGAACTTGTCTTGTCTTTTTTATTTTGCTTCCTTGCGGTCCGTTCTCGTCCCGATCCTGTTTAGCCAAGTACAGAAAAAATTTTACTGTACAGGGTTGCAGCACAATAAAATATGTATGAACATTGTCCGCTTTCGAGGCATAAACTTTTCTGTTTACATAGAACTGTGATAGTTTGCACCTTTACTAAGATCGCAAATTACTAAAATACAAAATAACCATGGCCTGAATTTCACATTTCGGTTCAGCACATTTCATCGATTCCCAGTTTAAATTTAGACTCCACGTTTCCCAAGGAGGCAAAACTAGAATTTCTTGTCATCGATTGCTGAGTCGCACGTGCCGTATTGCACCGCCCGCACGATTACCTTTGACATCGCTTCGGCAAATCTGTTTTTTTTTTTTTTTTTTTTTTTTTTTTCTTTTTCTTTTTTCTCGATGTTCCCTAAAACATTTCAGGACAGGTAGCAACCTACGATCGAAAATTTTGAATAAGTTCTTATCTTCGATTTGATCGAGACGAAAATGAGGTTTGAAAATGGACTCATGCAGAGATCTATCCGAGAGACTTATGAAAATTGTAGCAATTTGCTTGACACGACATGACACAAAATTTTGAGTGGCATTTACATTTTTGTTATTTGCAAAAAATGGAAATTGATCTAAAACATTTGAATTTGTTTTCAATCGCTGATTTAAAAGATTGGAGAAAAAATGCAATTACCTAAATTTACATTTTTGATATTGTTTTGTTTAGTTTTGGCATGCACTCAGTTTGATTGCTAGAATGACCCTTGCTTAAGAAAAAGTAAAAATACTTGTTTTGGAAAAGCAACCGCATGTTACAGAAATATAACATGTTTTCAAATTAAATCAATGACTTATTTCTCAATTCAACCCCTTCCCATCATTCTAGACCATACTGCTTAGACTGGTTACTTCAAAAGGACTTCTTGTTGAACTTTTCCAAAGTCCCTTGCATTGTGGAAACTGATGGGAAAGTTTTTCCTGTTTATTAACAATGGTCTGTACTGAGAGAATCAAGGTGTCAAATTAATTTTCTGTATGGTAATCTATTCAGTGTGTTTTTAGTGTCAGATCTGGTTATTGCAGGCTACTGCATGGACTAACCTAGCTTTTAGGTCAAAAGTCCTTAAAAAAAGGACTTTCTAGTGATGTCGTTCAAAACCTTGCTGTATAAGTGGACTTGTCATAGCATTCTTGGAGCAATCAATTTTTTTTTTGTATGGTGTGTTTTTCTTGAATCTAGATGAGGTCATTACCTATGGAGTGTTTGTGTTATTGACAGAAGCTTTTCTCTGAATTGACACCTTGATTGCATTTTTTTCTCTTGTGTTTGTTTCTTGATGTTGATTGACAGGAAACTATTGGTCATTTATTTGCCCTTTAAACATATTTTAATTTACTTCTTTTCCCTTGATCCTTAAATGCATGAGCTTATCATTTCATTGTTATGTAAGGATCAACTCTGGTTAATTTGTATTTCATTCATCCTTCTGCACGTGCGCAGCTGTGTGCAGTCAGGGATCATTTGTGCCTGTTCACTGGAGCTAATCGATAGTTGTTATCTTGTCAACTTAAGTAGCATGAATTTGAAATGTTCATGCCTTTAAGATTTATGGAATTTGGAGTGCATGATGAAAACAAATTGTGGTTACTGTTAAACTGTACAAAATGATTCTAAGATTGTTTTAAAAACAACTTGTGTCCCTTAGGGATGGCAAATTTCATTAGTTCAGGTGTATAAGCACAAGCCTGTTTTGGTAACATGTAAACATGGATGAGATAAAATATGTAAATGAAGATGGCACGGTGTCAATTCTTCTGTGATGTTTGTCCAAAGAGAGAATTTGAACTAGGAGGACAGTTTACAGACTTTAAACCCTTACACCCTAACATCAGTAACTATATTCTTTATACTCTTCTCAAGACCCTTTCTTAGGTCCTGGCTGGGAGAATTCATTTAGTTTTCATTCTCACTGTCTTAATGAATGATTCAGCAGTATTACTTAGAGGATCATTTAAATGTGGTCACTTTTGGGATTTAGAGGATTGTAAAAAGTGAAAAGCCATTTTTGATTTAAAAAAAAGCAACCAATTATTGTGATTTTAAGCCACATGCTACCTTGATTAATTCTTCACCTTCCCTTTCCAACCTTTGAGTTCACTTTGTAATGGGGTTCAGCTATGTTGTTTGTGATGTTTTTGCACTAATTTACCATGCACCTCCAAGATATAGTCATTGGACTTTATTGAGATTTCAGTCAGTCTGTAAAGTTGTTTATAGTATTTTTGCATCGGTTCAACATGTGCTGATATGGGGCTAATGTTGTGGGTGGAAATAGCAGCGACATAAGAGTTAGTATATGAAAAACAAATGTAATCATTCCCCTTGTTGTTATGCCCACGTTCCATATATGGTCAGTTATTAATGTGGGCTTTTGTGCTCGTGCACTAGTGAAACTATTCTTTTGCAGCATCCTTGTAAATGTTCAGCCATTAAATGTTTGTGTAGTAGATTAAAATTCCCCTTTCTTCTGATATTCCAGGAATAACACAGTAGCCCAAGAAATCATAAGTCAAATACAAAAGCTTCTGAGTACTAGGAGCCAACAGAAAGCCAAGTCAGCAGGGAATGGCCAGGAATACTTGCATGTGGGAGAAGAACATCTTAGAAGAAGAGATTTCAAGAAAGCAGTGATTTGTTTATCACTGGTAATAACTCATAACGGAATAGTTAAATGAAAATCATTTTGCTAAAACAATTATGGCTTTTTTTGGTCCTCTTTTTCAAGTGTTCGTGCAGTAAACTTAAGTGGGTTATGGCATGGGGCTTTTGTTTGTTGTTGTTGTTCTTCTTTTGTATAGAAGTTTATGTTTTGGTATGTGCATAGTTTTCTCATTTGTCAAATCTTTTAAATCAGCTGTTTGTATGTCATTATTTCTAGCATTGTGCTCACTTATTTGAGGAGTTACTTTCGACCTACCAGAGAAACATTTGATTTGCAAAACTCCTGATAATAGTTGCTTTTTCTTCCACTTTGTAGGCTATCCAGCAAGTCCTTTTGTCCAGGTCTGATAACCAAACAGCACTCTCTAACCAACATAACGATTTATGTGACTTGGCATCATCTGACAGTACCGAAGACACCAGTAGGTCTGATGGCCAGCCCAACCTTGCTGCTCTCTATACTCAGAGAGCTGAGGTTCTGTATCAGGCACAGGAATATAAGGTATGATGCATACACCATAAGAACCAACTACACTTTCAGGATATGACTTCTTTTCTTTGAATTTTTCATGTTCCCCATGACAAAAATTTTCTTTCTGTCACATGTATGCTCCACAATATTTTACTTTGCAGAGACTTCAAGAAATTCTATTGTGATCTTATCTGGAAGGTGTTTTAATAATAATTATTTCCTTTTTATTTTCCAGGCATGTCTTAATGATATTCAAGAGGTAATATCTCTGCAGCATCCCCAAGCTCTTAGTGGGAAACTTGTTAATCTTCAGAAATTTTGTCAAAGAAAGTTATCATCCTCTCAACACTTGATTCATGGTAAGTATTGATACTTTCTTATGTTGTCTTTTACCTTTGGACTTATTTTTTGTACAATCTTAACTGAGTGTAACTGTATTTGTTCCCCTAAATTTTATTTTAGGTGAGGATACTTCACAGAATATTCCCACTGTTACCGGAGGACAACACAGCAAAATAGCCAATGGATCCAGTTTGATTGAAATCAGTTGCACAGCCAGCCAGGGACGATTTTTGAAGGTTGGTTATCAGGATGGCATAATACAAATAAATCCTACAAAATGGGGAAAAATACTCAGTTGCAAAAATTTGATTTTCTGCAGCAAGGTGTTCAAGATTTAATATGTCCCTAATTATATAACAATAACAAACCTTGTTCCTCTATTCAGTTCTTAAGCACCTACTGATTTTTTTTACAAGTTATATTGTTACACTCATTATCATATGACCTATGCATGTGTTCTTAACATTCCAAAACATTTTTTTGATTTCTGCAGGCATCAGATGACATCCGTGCTGGAGACACTCTTATCTCCGAGGCACCATATGCTGCAGTTCTCTTACCAGAAAATGCCCTGACTCATTGTGAATGTTGCATGAAAACATTGATAGCGCCCTTTCCGTAAGTGAAAATTGTGCACAAGAGAGGTGGCAATATTAAGTTAAAAATATTGATAAAGATAAGAAAGAAATGTGTATTTCAAGCATTTCGTTTATTCAACTTTTGTTGAGTTTAGCACAGTCACTTCATTTTCCAAATGAATGTTTGATAGTGTAGAACCCTAGATAGGGTATTATGAAACCTGAAAAGTCTCATAATTCTATCATTTTTCAGGCTGGGAAACTCACTGAATTTTAGAGTGGGTTGTGAAAAGTCATGGAAAATGAAAGAAAAATGAAAAAGTTTAGAACAACAAAGTAAAGATGTCAGCCTTAGTTTAATTTTTTTTCACTTTAATGTGGAATGAGCTTCTTAATCTTTTGTTTTGGAAACTTTACAAACATCTCTGAAAAGGTTGTAGAATTTTATGATTCAAAAGAGTAAGACTTTGAACTGTCATTGGTTCCTTTTCAGATGCCATGACTGCTGTGAAGTCCAGTACTGTTCACAATCATGTCGTGACAAGGCCTGGTCACAGTACCATAAAGTGGAATGTGGCCTTAGTCCACTCCTTAAAATGGTATGTCTTACTGCTCATATGGTAGTTACTGACACCATCTAAATCAAGGTATTAAAACCAACAAAATCACTAATAACTACTTTTTTTCACAGATGGATACATTCTTCCAGTTATCCCTCAGAATAATTCTGGTTACAAGAACTGAGAGCATTCTTGGTCAGTATAGCAAATAAAATACTAAAATTTCTTCCTTTTTTAATTTTTAACCCTCCTTGTATCTTTGTTCTTAATGTCAATGGAAAGGAAACAAATAATTATACCTTTCTTATGTTGTTTTGATTTTTTTGTCATCCTCTTATACAGAATTCTTGATGGGATCAAGTGAAAAGACTGATAGCACAAATGTTAACAGATTGTCAGGATGTGGCCCAGAGGGTGAATACTTAGGTTAGTAGATGGTTACAGTAAAAATTCCTCCATGTCTGTGTCGCAGTAACACTGTATATTTGGCTAACACTCTGTGTCTTTTTGATCACAGGTGATTATGGTTCTGTGTTCTCTTTGGTGACTAACACAGAATCACAGCCGGTAAAGACCCTGATGTCTCATGCACTGGTATGTCATTTTTCATACTTGGTGGTTTGAATACTTTTAGTGATGGCTGTTTTTTGTGATCCAAAAGGCTGAATCTATAAGTGCAATGCTAGAACAAAACTATTTTTCTCAGTTAGATACCTACTGAAAAACTTTGATTCCTGGTTTTGTTTTCAGAACTGTGCATTACTATCTGAGTTTCTTCAAGATGTGCTGATAAAGAAAGAGGAGTTGCCTTCAAGACCAACAAATTGTGATGATTGTACAAGGAACAGGCTTCGTCAGGCCAATGAACAACCACATGGACAATTTAAACAGAACTACATTTTTCAAAATCTTCAAAGTTTGTTTCCCACTGATACAAGCCCAAGTTCCTTGGGAGGTGATGTGGTAGGCTGTTTACTTTTCCACCACTCACAGCAAATGGCTTGCAATGTCCACGCTATTACAGCAATTGTGTCAACAAATGGGGACAAACCCAGGCAGCAAGTTGTAAGCAGGGAACAGAAGAGAATAGGGAGTGCTATTTATCCAACAGCATCCTTGTTGAACCATGCCTGTGATCCCGATGTCATAGTTAGGTGAGTGTTTAGGTTAGCAAGCTAGAGTCTTCTCTCATGTTTTATCGTTTTGTTGTGAGGTCAACACCTATAATGTGGTTAAATTCACTATGAAATCCCCTGGGGTAGAGCTTTCAGCCGCAAAGTTGATTCTGATTCTTGTTTGGGCTCGTGCTTCTTACAAGAAAACCTTCTTAAAAGAAAACATTTTTCAAGGATATTGGGTTCTCGTTGGGAATTGTTACTTGGCTATTTTACCTTTGAGTTTTTTTTTTGTTTGTGCAATGTGCAAATTGTGAAAGCTCTGAGAAAAAGAGGGTAAAAATCAAAGGGTGTGAGGTCCACCAAGAACTGCTGTAATATCAACTGTTTGGTTGAATACAACACTCTTGTTGAGTAGAATAAATTTGGTGCAAATTAACACAAATACTTCTAACTTTATACTCCAGCTTTGTTGATGGCCATCTAGTGGTGAGGGCAACCCATAACATCTCCAAAGGCTCAGAGATTTCCCACTGCTATGGTGAGTTTTATCACAGAACCCACTGACTCTGTACACTGAAGTTGTTTCTGTCAAGTTTTTCTGAAGGATAGCATAAGTTCTATATTTTCTTAACTTTGTTATTGAGCATTGATGTAGACAAGCCTTCAATAACACTTTTTTTGTTTGTGTACAGGCCCTCATGTTAGTCGCATGGGTTATGAAGATCGTCAAAAGCTTCTGTACAAACAGTACTTCTTTACTTGCCAGTGTACTGCGTGCAAGAGGTGAGCTATGGAGCTTGTTACCTTAGCAAATGTTTTTGCAGTATTGACATGTAAAACACTATTGCCTGTTGTTCAGTACAATATCTGTGTTCACTTGAAAAATAACTCTGAAAGACATGGTTGAATAATTTCATTTTGTAATCATTTACTAATTAACCGTTTAAACCTTAAAAGTGACCAGTATCTAATTTCTCCTCACAACATCAGCCCTGAATCACACATCAAGGTCATGAGAATAAAGTGAATGATCTCCAACTTATGAAGCTGTTGATTGTTAAACAAATTCTCCTTGTCAGCACCTTAGGCAATGTACAGAGAACAGTATGGAGAATATGCATACTGATGTTAGGGTGTAAAGGGTTAATGTCAGCTCACTGGGAAGGTTTAAATCTGATTCTATACTTTTTTTGGTTTTAGTGATGAAGAAATGGAGAACAAAAGGTTATGCTTCTCGGCCTTTGCTTGTCCTCAGTGTAAACATGCCATGAGGCTTTCCTCGGTGGCCAGTGGGAACATTGGAACATGTCAGAACCGAGAGTGTAACTTGGAGAAGAATATGCTTGATGAGTGCAGATTGGCACGAGAGGCAGAACTACTCTTTGTTAAAGGGGTGCGGTTGTTAGAAAGAGTTGGAGTGAAAGAGGCTCTTGATGTATTTCATGAATGCTTGAGACGGCGTAAAATTCTGCTTCACGCTTATAATAAGGACTTGGCTGAGACGCACGATGCTATTGCAAGGTAAGATTTGTAAAAGAGGCTTAAATCGTCCTCAGGATCATGTTATGGAAATTTTGAGATGGAATGAAAATCTTTCATTTTGAGGGGCAAGGGTTTTAATTTTTCACCAGCATTGGGTATTATCAGCTACACTTGTATCCCTTCAGATATGAAAGAAGAGATGAGATTCTTCTTGAGGGTAGGTTTTTTATTAAGGCTTTAGGTAGAGGAGGTGGAAGAGAACCTGCCTACAAAGTATTTGAGTCGTAAGGGCTTCTAGGTTGTGGTATGAGTACAGACAGAATAGACCTGTCATTTATTGTCTCCTAGTTTTGATTTCCTTTTTTTCCCTTGGTTTTTCCTCAGGTGTTATGCCATGATTGGAGACTTTAAAAAGGCATGCTACTACTGTTCCTACAGCTGTGAGGCAGTTGAAAAGGCATTTGGTTCTTCGAGTGTGGAATACGCTCACGAGCTTCACAAGCTTTCACAGCTCCTATTCAATGACCGGCAGATCAAGAAAGCACTCTCCACAATCGACAAGGCCACGAATCTCCTAACTCGGCATTACGGTCGGAGTAATCCAGATGTGAAGGAACTAAGCGAGATGAAACGTTGTCTAGTTTCCGTTGGTGGTTATGCAAGGAACAACAGTTCGTGACTTGGTAGTCACGCAATAATGCAACGTGACAGTCGAACTGTAGTTGCTATGACTAAAAAAATTGGTAGAGTTTTTGGAAATGCATGGGTTTTTCGTCATCTTTTTTTTAAGCTTTCTTAGATGACTGTGTGATTTCTGTGATCCAATTGTGTGACTCGTATTACGTTTAGTGGTTATGTGGCGAATCACACAATCCTTTTGGATACCAGTTTTCTGTTAAAACAAAAGTAAAAATATATTGAATGTAAAATGATTAACGGTTTGTATGAATTACTTTTTGTTATGAAAACATCTTTTATACTAAAAGTTTGGTGTTAAGTTATATAATGCGTTCTCTTCAGTGCAGGAGACATCGTTACAAAAAATTTTTTAACTACTTGTTTTGTTTTAAAAACAACAAGTTTAAGTAAGTCTTTATTATGCGGAGTAACTCGAAGGAACACTATTTAAACGTCGAAAATAGAGAAGTGTAGTTATTATATTCATTAATTGCTCCAAGGCAAATTCTGACAAAATTTTTCCACCTTTAAGAAAGTCTTATTCCTGGGTTTGAACAAGTAAAGGCAATTTTGCAGCGGATTCTGTTATTGGGTGTCACTTGTGACGTATCAGGAGAATCGACTTCGTTTTGCTCCAAACGAATTGATTAAATAAAATTTCAAAACTGCGCTACTTGGGTCATTTTTTCTTCCATAATATTGCAAGTGATGTATTTGAATAGAAACAAAAATCACTCTTGACATCAATTTCTTCGGAAGAACAGTTATAGCATGGTAGTAATAGAACAATGTGATACTGTCCACCACCCCCACTATAGTCGTATGGTCATGGTGTTATGTAAGGCGAATGCAAACCCAGTACGTTTCAGGGCGACGACCGCGCACGATCGACAACTTAAAAATAGTTATTCAACACGTAACCTTTTTACACCTTTTATTTTAGGGTAGAGGTATGAGAAAAAGCACTTCATATTGCAATGAAGAAGCTGATATGTAGCAGAAAAATGAACACAAAAGCACCCTCAAGACGTAGCATCTTCTTATAATCAATATTACTTTGTAATAATTCGGGTTAAGTTACATGAGCATTGAGATGCGTGGCTAAAAAAGTGTCCAACTCCAAGCTCAGATTTTCAAACAGGGTCTTCACATTTTCCGAGTCTCAAATTTCACTGTTCGCCCCACTCTTATCCATGTCCCTTATAAATACAATTCGCGCCGATCGAAAGCAGATCTTTCTAAATCACTCACCGCACCGGCTAAAGGCTAACTAATGGTTAATAACCGCTAGGCAGGTGGATACCAACTCAAGCAAGATAAAAAGATTTTTTTATGTACGTGTAAATGCACTAGGCGTAAAATTTGAAGTAATACTCGGAGAATGTAGGACAGGTCTTTCCGGCTCCAAAAACACTTTTAACCAATACACAAACTGAGAGGTCGAACTGCCTATCAGGGAAATGATGTAGCTTAAGTCTTTGTTGTTGTGCTATTTTTTTAGTACCTCAAAATGGCAAGTGTAACTCTAAAACCTTACTTAGGAACTTGAGGTGAAGACAACTGATGTAATTCTAATTTGTGAAGCTTAACATTCAAGTGACCCCAGCATTTGGTAGTGTTGTGGGTAAAAAAAAAAAATCTTCATCCAAAACCCTTACAAATCTGAACCTCTTTCCTCATCACCAATTACATTTTTACCAACAACTGCAGCAAAAAATGGAATGTTTCTAGACTCTTTGCCGGATATTTTGCGTTCATACAAAAACTTCCAAAAAAGTTTTCTACCGTTTGGTTACCTCTCATACCTGAGTAACTGACCCTAATAATCTTGGTGCTAGCATCAAACCTAACCTTAAATCACGTTACCTCATTCCTGTTCTGCGATATAACTGGCTGACGCAAGATAAGCGCCATCATTTGCTTTGCAGTAGCCCTTTGCGCTTCTTATAGTAGCCTAAGAGCACTTTCACACGAACCATTTCCAGCTCGATGGGGTAATGAACGCTCAAATCGCCGCTTTAATGTGAACTCGTGTGACATGAGTAAAAATCTAACCGCAGGAAAACTACTAGAAATTATTGAAGTTGTCGACAGTTGCTACGATTGAAGTTGATTGCCGGTGAACTGCGAGACCAGCTTTCCCAAATATATCGGTAATGACAAATTTCTGTGACAAACACAATCAGCTTCATTCAATTACCCTCAAGAGTGCAAGAATATTTTTTAACAACCACATCGGCTAAACTAGTAGGAATTTTCAAAAATAAGCTTGTGTAAACGCACGCCCAAAGAAGTTCACCCGCGGAGACAAACCCGTCAAAATCAGTCCATGTACTTTTACTGTGGTCTGCTGGAACTTGTAGTCCTCTCAGGTAACAACACCTACTTTACCAATCATTATCTTGTTTGTAGCAGTACTTCTGCTAAACTTTGTTAGAGAATAGCAAATATCCTGCGTTAACCTGTAATACAAACTTTATTGACCTGTGGTAAGTGGATATAATCGCTGAGGGCCAACTGTGACAGATTACTCTTCAACGCAGTTAAATACTCTTTCATACTCTTTCTCTTCATAATATTAAACGAACTTTTCTTAAATTAGTATATCTTTTGTGGAGACTATGACAGCCGACAAGTTTCTCATCGTAACTGACATGGTCTGAAAACCCGTAACGGTAACTCAATGGGAAGTGTTATCTACAGGTGCTACGCAGGGCGTGAGAGCTGACGCTAGACACTTTAAACAAAGCGCTGAATTGAAACCATTTCGCATTCGAGGGTTTTATAAAGAGGCCTCTATTCTCCTAACCTAAACGGGCCAGATTTTTAATGTAAGTCTTTTCACGCCTTTCTGTCTTGAACAGCAAAATATTTTCCGACTAACGTTATACGAACTGGTTTTGTTTGGTCTACAACATGCAAAATGGCGTCTGGGACACGGGGAGATTGCGGTGTCGCAAACATAATGTTGTCGCCAAAGCAATCAGTGGGAAGGTAGAGGAAAAAAATCTTCTCAGTTTAAACGGACTAGAGGCCTCATGGCTTAACACAAAAATACACTCAGGAATTTATGGGGAAATAAATCGATTTTAGGAGGGAAAATGTAACAAACGCCGAACGGTTTTGAATATGTGTCATTCAGTCCATATGTTAACGAAAAAAAGAAAACCATTTGACGTGTCGACCAAAAAGTGAAAGGAAATCTTAATTTCTGTGGTGATACTGAGTTCTGTCAAAACCTCAGACTCGAATTTCAGATTGTGGCTCAGAAAATCGATCTCAGATTGTTTACTCACTGATTCCCGATCTCCTCTCCTAAATTTGTTCTACCGCAGATGACTTCCAGGTGTGTCTCTCAATGTCAAGAATAGAATGACACTTCACTGTCTGTTGCTCACAGGCAGATATTTTGGACTCACACGCGGACTCCTAAGATGGCGTTGGACAATGGTTACAATGATTGTTTTGTACTCTTTTAACTTGCTTCATCCTCTGGTTCAAGACGACATGGTGATTTCTACTGGAGGGTCTGTTTGTGATATGTTTGGGAATCATAAGATTCAGTTGCGTCTAGTAGTAGCCATTTTACCGCACATCCGAAAAATCAGAGGGATCCTATTATCCATTGAAAATTTTTTGGGATATTTAAGAATTATTATTATCATTATTATTATTTATTTATAATAAATTGAACAAGAACTTGTTTGATCCCAATGAATTTATCATTAAGCTATAAAAGGTTGAATCAAGTTAGTCGATCGAAATAAAAGGAATAAGGGGGTAAGTTTCTAAAGAAACTGCGGTGCTGCGTCTGTGGGAGAGTATAACAGGGTAATTTGGTGTTAACAACTGAGTTGAGAACGTAAATTAGTCACCGTAAAGAGTTTAAAGGCTGACGTTTCGAGCGTTAGCCCTTCGTCAGAGCGATTGACGAAGGGCCTACGTCAGCTAACGTCAAATGTCAGCGCTCTGACGAAGGGCTAACACTCGAAACGTCAGCCTTTAAACTCTTTACGGCGGCTAATTTACGAAGTGAAAAGAGCCCCCTTAAGGAATACATTAGCTTTCCTATTCAGACTACACTTCACAGTCGGTGACGGGAACACCGCATAAATATCAGTATCTGAGCAACTGCGCACCTACCCCTCCCCTGACCCAACATTAATCCTAACATGTTACTAGTTGACCGTTGTTAGGTTAGGGGAGGGGTAAGAGCGTAGTTGCTCAGATACTGACGTTGATCTGGAACCTCTATCCTCTCTCTCTGAACACTTTGATCAGCGATTATACGATAATGACATTGATTTTGATGATGAATGTAAATCAGTATTTTTACCTCTCTTATTGCTATTGCAGAGATTTTGAAGAAAAAGCCCTTTCCCCCAAAACTGTCATGCTTAAGCAGAAGAAGAGGACAAAGCCTCAACTTTATGAAAGGAGACAACATGAGGTGACTAATTTGTTGAGCCCGCATGTCGTGGAGAGCGGTTCCCTATCCCTTCGTGGCTGGTGGATGTCACATGTCAAGTGGGAAGTCATAGACTTGAAACGAAAGTCAAGACCTAATGTCAAACAGGCAAGTCTGCATTCATTCTCTTCATGCAACCACTACCAATTTGCGTATTTCCTGATCGTTTAAAGAGCAATGACGTCACAGACAAAATGGCGATTGTTGTGCGACCTCGTTCCCAAGGTCTTCGGGGAACGGTGGCTAGTTTTGGTAATCAACTCATTTGATAACACTAAATTACCCTGTTATACCGTTGACCCGGCACTGTAGTTTCTTTAAAAACTTACCCCCATTATTCATTGGGAACGAGGTTGGTTGTTGCAACCTCGAAAATTTTTCTCAGGAAAACGGAGACCAAAATTTATTCTTTACAAACGATTTGCTTTATTCAGCATGTTATAACTGGAACAAAGGACTGTTTGACGCAGTCTACCACCAGGATGAAACTGCCTTTATCTGTGTTCTACACTCAAATATCAGTTCTTGTTCATACCGATGTAGTAAGGGACCTAAATATTTTCAAGGTATTTTAGCCTGATGAAGGTCTAACGATACATACCAAAATAATTACTTCACGCTTTGTAAATCTTTCCGTATTTGTTGTCTCGTTGATTTAATATAACGAACTCACTCATACTATTCCTAGAAATGCCGCTTCGGCAATTTTCCATACTATCAACCTTTCAACATCGAAAATCTGTGTGACACCCCTAGTTTTCTTTTTGCATATCGATAGTCCTTGATGACACATTTTATACTTGCATAGTCATTGGCGGGAAAATCAAGATCCTAATTGCCAGGTACCGTCTTAAACAGCAATAAAGAGAGCTATGAAAGAAAAGGTATTAATTTTCTCTTAAAGGTGTTCAGTGTTCCTTGTCAAATACACAGGATCGTGGAGACGTACCAATATCTCTCTGTAAGTTTTTCTTTCTTAATCATATTATTGCTTACAGGGATAAAAAAGAAATCAAAGGAACAGATAAAAAAACAAATCAAAGTGCTCTGTGAGCAAACTCGTGAATTGACACATGATTTTTTAGATTATGTTTCATGTTATCTGGTTTAGGGAATTTTGTGGTTGATTGTCATATTTAAAGTACGAGCAGTAGTTCAGTGTTCGCTAATGTAGCAAAGAAACAAAGTAACGTTGGGATAA